GGGCGTCTACACTGCACGGTGCTGGCCCATGGGCCGATTCGTTCCACTTCATTTTGCTTGCATTACCAGAGCAAAAGCAGGCATGCGTACCAAGGACTTCGATATTTCAGGCTCTTAATGCGCTAAACGGCGGATATATTAGCTCATGAAGAGGTGCACCTGCGTCCCTACGAAGATGTCCTCCACATCCTTCAATCCCGCTCATACCATGGCATGCAATGCATGCTAACCTATCATAGCTAAGCAGAGCTCCAACAAATGTCGCCAGTACGGCACAACCCATAACCTGCTATACAACCTGCAACCACCTACCTAGCAGTAAGAGGTGCCACGTCGGGCCGATGGCTCAGCCGACACCTCCAACCTCTACAGTAAGAAAGCGGCTGCACTCGCTGTATGATCAAAGAGTTTTACGCCTGCCTGCAACAAACAACGCCACAACGAAAGGAGGGTCAATAACAAGGGTCAATTTGCAACCATCAACGCCAACGGGTCTTGACTCAAAGTGGTAAGTACACAGCCGTCCTTGGCAACGGCGCATACAATGAGAGAAGGACTACCAGCAAGTCCATCGCAGCATACAGCCACAGCGGTTAGGATAGTACGACAGTTACCCTGACACCGGGCTCATCTTGCAGCGCATCCCCCAGTACGACACACAACCCCTCCCAGCTAGCTGCTGCGGCCCGCCGTACACATAGCGGTGCGCCCCACTGTGATTTACTCCGTACTTCACGTACGCCTCATCACACGTCACGTCATGTCGCGTCACGTCGCCCATCCAGTTGTTACGCTCACGTTAGGGAGTGTGATTGCGCAGTAGTACCATTCTAGCAGTGCCTACTCTACATTCCTAGATTTGACCAGCCGACTACCCTGCCCGAGAAAGTACGGCTTGCCACACACACGCCTTATTAAGGAGCGGTTCGCTGAACAATATGATCAGCAGGCGCCCGATGGCGCGGGGAACCTACAAATCGTACGGCAAAACCATACATGCCTAGCCGGATATTTAGTACCCTCTCACGCCCGCCACCATTCCCGCCTCCCCTATTGCCGCCTCCGCCCCCTCCCCCTCCAGCAGCCGCACCCCACCACGCCTCCGCGCCCCCGGCCTGCAACCCCACCCCCAGGAGCAGCAGCAGCAGCAGCAGTCCCAACAGCAGCAGCGGGGGGAGGGGGGACAGGAGCCTCACAGCAGTGGGCCGCAGCAAGCAGCCGGACGCGACAGCAGGGGTGGAAGGACCCGCAGCGGGGACGAGGGCGGGAGCCTCATCTGGTTGGAGGCGCTGGTACACTACTGCTGCGGTGGGTGCTGCTGCTGCCGGGGTCACTGCTGCTGCTGCTGCTGCTGCCCCCCAGCTGCAGCTGGACACCCAGTAGTGCTGCTGATGTACCGCTGTGATGCACCGCTGTCGTCATCTGATCCCCCAGAATAACCAACGTCGCCGCCCTCAGCACCCAGGCTGCCACTGCTGCCGCTGCTGCTGGTGCCGCTGCTGGTGCTGCCGGCGAGGCTGCTGCTGCTGCCGCAGGTGCTGGAGCCGCTAGCGCTGCCAGGGCCGTGCTGCGGCACAGCGGCTCCATGGCAGGGGGCGTTGCTGCGTGCATCCATACCGGTAGCAGCGGCAGCACCAGCAGCGGCAGCAGCAGCAGGGGTGTTGCCCCCTGGCACTGACAGGGCAGCAGGAGCGCCGCTGGCATGCACCCGAGCCTTCCACCCAGGAGCAGCTAGAGCACCCGCCAGGAGAGCTGCTGCCAAGGCGGCCGCAAGCACCGCCCCAACCGTCCCAAGCGCTCCGAACCCCATGCAGCTCAGCAACACGCAGACGGCCCAGGCAAGGCCCAAAACAGCTGCTGTAGCAGGCGACCATAGGCGCACTCGGGCCGTTGCTGTGACTTCTGCCGCTGCCGCTGCTGCTGCGGTCCCTGTTGCATGGCCCCCGGGGGGTGTGTACGGCAGGTACGACTGTACGACCTCTGCGAAGTCGTACGCCTGGGGCTCCCAGCCGAGCTCCCGACGGGCCTTGTCCGGCCGGTACCAGTGCTCCACCCCCGTTTGGAATACCTGGTTGGGGGGTGGAGGGTGGAGAGAGGGTGAGGGGGATAGCGGTTACAGTGGGGGAGCGCAATGCGAAGGTTGGTAACATCGGGCCCTCTGGTAGATGGGGTTTCTATGTTGCTTTGCCGCTCTGGAAAGCACGTACGAGGACATGCCTCGCTAGACAGCTAGTCCCATCCCGCTATTAGCAAACGGCTGCTCTGTTGACACAGAAGAGGTGTGATACCATGCCAGGCAAGAAGAAAGGGGTAAGTGTTACCGCACCGAAACGAGAAACCAATGCGTCTATCTACCTCCGCCGGAGTCATCCACGGCTCCAGCAACGCCAACACGCGCTCAGGGCTCCAACCCAGCGCAGCGAAGACTCCTTCGCCACCGCGATCACCCAGCTGCCACCTGCCGCCTACAATCCTTGACGCAAACCTGGCTGTCGTCGCGACCAGCTGCGCCACCGCTGCCAGCCCCGCTGCAGCCAACGCATGCAGGGCGACCATGGCTCGCGAGACCGCCGCCACCAGCAGCAGTGGCACCTCCAGCTGCGGCGGCTGGTAGCCGAGCGCCTCCAGTAACGGTACCCAGAAGTCAAAGCAGTTGATCGGGCGCCCGTCAGATACAAAGTACGCCTGGCCTGCCGCCACATGGCCATGTGCCGCGTCCAGCCCGCGCCAGGCGGCGTGGATGGCAGTCACCAGGTTGCGCACGTGGATCCTGCGACCGTGGGGGAGAACAGGGGTTGTGGGGGGGGGGAGCAGGGGTTGTCGGACGGGAGAAGAGTTGCGGGGCAAAGTAAGTGGTCCTCTAGCTTCCCCTCCCACCCCCCTCCCACCCCCCTCCCACCCCCCGCCCGCCTCACCAATCCGCCACCGCATCCCGCCGCCCGAACCGGAACCACAGCAGCCCCGACCGCGCGAATGACAGGATGCGGGGCGTGTGCCGCTGCTCCCCGGGACCGTAGATCCCGGGGGGCCGCACTGCACACGTCAGCAGCAGCTCGGGCGCCTGCTGGGGGCCAGCAGCAGCGGCAGCACCCGGACCCGCCGTACCACCCGCTGTTGCCGCTGCCCCTGCTGCTGGTGCTGCCGCCGTCCGCACCTGTGCTGTGCTGGCGGTGTGTTCGGACCCAGATTGGCAGCAGCGGGAAGAGGGGGTGCCAGCGGCAGTAGCGGCAAGCTGCCCCTCCGACTGGTGGTCGCTGCTGTTGCAGGTACGGCAGCCTCCGTAGCTGAAGCTGAGGGTGGTACTGCGGCTGGCACTGCCTTCCATGGTGGTGGTGGTTGGCTGCTGCTGCTCTTGCTGTTGCTGGGGAGTTGAGGCAGCCGCGGCCAGCCGCGTGCCAGCCGCCTGCAGTACCATGCACTCCGCAATCGCCTTTGTACGGCTGTACTCGTCCGGATACAAGTCGTATGGCAAGTACGATGCCGTACTTTCATCTCCGCCCCGCACCACCTGCCGCCCCCAAACCGCATTGTAGCTGGACACCAGCACCAACCGTCGTACCCCCGCGGCTACAGCCGCCGCAAGCAGGTTTGCCGTACCGCCCACATTGACCTGCCGTACGGTTTCGGAGCGAAGGGACTCGGATCCCGACATGCCGTACGAGGCGAGGTGGAAGACCGAGTGCACGCCGGTGCAAGCGGCGGCCACGTCAGCGGGGTTGCGTAAGTCCCCTAGCACCAGCTGACAGCGCGGAGGGAGGGACACGGCGGACGCAGCAGCTGCCGGGGAGCAGCCTCCCTCCTGCTGCTTCCCCTGCCGCCCACTCTCTGCCTCCTCCTCTTCCCGACCAGCTGCTGCCGCCGCCCCCAGTATGCCCGCCACTGCCGCCGCTGCGGGCGGCTGCCGGTCGAACAGCGCCACCTCCGCCCCCTCCGCCAGCAGCAGCCGGGCAAGGTGCAGCCCCACGTAGCCGCTGCCGCCCGTGATCAGGCAGCGCGGGGGGGGAGGCAGCGGGGCGGGGGCAGCAGGGGGCAGGCAGCTGCGGGGGCTGCTGCGGGGGCTGCTAGTGCTGCTGCTTCCGTCATCAGGTTTGCTGCTGCCGCTTCCGTCGGCGCTAGGAAGGCTAGCAGTAGCGGTGGAAGGGTGTGCGGGGGAGCCGGTGGTGGCGCCATCCCCTTCATTGCTTTCAGGTGCTCCGACGCAAACGTGGAGCCCCATGCGGCAGGTACGCTAGACAACCACGTGGGTGGATGAACCGTGGTTCGGTGCACTGCTGCCCCTCTGGATGTCCCGTGGGTCAATTGGTGCGGCTTGGTATGGGAACTTCACCTGAGGATGGAAGCGGGTTGGGGGGGAGAGGGGGAAGAGGGAGGTGAAAGAGAAGTGGAGGTGTGTCGTACGATTGCACATGAGGCGAGGGTACGGTGGTGGAGCTGGCATTGGCGTTATACGACCCATGGGACAGTCAAGGGAAAGCAGTCGCACATCGCGGATGCGACGTCAGACAGCGACTGCCAATGCATGTGCTAATGCAGGCCGGAGGCGGTGGAAAGCGACGGGTAGCCGTTCGCAGCGTTTCTAATAGAGTCATGGACCCATATGCCGATGTCATGCCCCACGGTTTCGCACAATTCCGCTATCTACACCAATGTGGTATGAGGTCTTTCATAATCAGGTAGCAAATTGGTGCAACTAATTGGGAAACTACGGCGCCATGATTTTTTCTCTTTTGCTCTCGGTAAAACATCGCGGTAGACGCGTTCGTCCTCACCAGGAGCCGGATTCGCAGCTTGGCTATGTGGTAGTTGGAAGGCCAATGGCTTCGCTGTCCCACAAAAGCAGCTAGATAGCTACAGAACAGAAGCGTCGCAGTAGTGCATTAAGGCCTAGAGCGAAGCGCAGCAAGCGCTGAGGCTAAGTTCAACGCAAGCTGAAGGGCTCGTTCGCTGTTTGACAGCTCCTCGGCAACCGTAGCGGCCGCACCATGCTAACAAAGCCGTCAGTACGTTGTCGCCCAAGCTTCTACGCCTATAGTTACTAATAAGCCAGTGTTTAAGAGAGAGGGCTGCCGAATGATAGCGTGGCGCTCATGCGGCCCGACGGCGAAACTACCTACCTCGGACGGGGGAGGTAGGAACTGGTGGCTCGGGGTGTGAGATTGAACGACAAAGCGCGCATGCATACCTCAAAACCTAAACACGACTTGTGTGCTGCCGTTTATTAGGGGACGCAAGATCTACGTTAACAGCAAGCGCTACAAGGTAAGGCGTGTAGGCCTCCAAGGTACAAAGGAGTAGTAGCTGCAGGTGAGCGACCCATGGGCCGCATCATCGCGCTGCTGCATGCACAACATTCAACACAGCCCGCTCCGTGCGGCGCTATGCCATCCCACGTCACGCGCAATTCCAGCAGGCAAGAAGCACGGCTGACACGCTCCCGTTACAAAACGCGTGCGTCTCTCCCCAGCCCTGTCCCCCCCATTCCCTTGAGCAGCAGGGGATGCAGGTGCAACACCCTCACCACCTTTACCCCGCCGGAACAGCATCTCAAAACCGCTCCGCACATGCCGAGTACCGGTGCAAGCAACCCAACACTGCGCAAGAAGGGGGCGGTCACAGGTGCCTCAGACCCTGGTGAGGAGGTGAGGGGCGGACTCCCCCGGACAGCAGGACTCCCCCGGACAGGGAGCAGTACGGCAGTCCCGGCGGTGTGACACACACACACACACACCAATACGGCAATCACAGTACGTTTCGCCTCGCGGCCAGTTATTTTAACACACACACCAGCCCCACCGTGCTGTGCCCCGGACCCTTCCGTGCGCCTCAACGCGCTTGCCAATACGCGGGGCGTCGTCAGTGAAACCGTGCCAGCTATAAAGCCGAGCGGTCTGTGTGTGCGTGCCGACGTCGCAGGGCTGGGCCGAACCCCTTCATGCACCTCCCCTCAATGCTGGCCCTGCCATGCCAGTTCCTATCACCCCTCACCCTCACCCACCCAGCACGTGATGCCTCACCCCGCGCATTATCTGTCTCCCTACTTCAAGGAATAACCGATGTATCAAACCGGCAAATACATGTTATTAGGAATGCAATGCAATGCAATGCAATGCAAGCGCCCTCTACAGTCTTGCAACAGGGGCCGAGAGCAGAAACACAGGCACACGCATATGTACAATGGTCACTGGCACCCACACGCGCACACACCGCCCGTAAGACATCTTGATCGCAATAAAGGTTACAGAAGTACAACAGGAACCAAGATTGCGGCGGTCCCGCTCTGTGCCCAAAACCACTCTTAAGTCGCACAGGCCGTCCCTGTCACCGACAACTTCCGCCTCCTAGAAGGACCCACAAAGTCGCCCAATCTGTGTCAATCCGGGGACACGCGCTCACCCGTGCCGTACCTCCCCTGCTGCCCTCCAGCCCCGTACGCTAGACCGCCAAGCTATGGCCGCTTACGGCACACCCCCAAGACCGCTGGCACTGCCCGGGGCAAGTAGGGCCCTGCGGGGGTGAGGTGGGTCGGGCGAGAGAGGTTAGAGGGACGTTGCTTCGAGCACTGGTAAAGCTAAGATGGAGGAGAGGGTGGCAGGAACAGGGTCCAGCACCGTTGTCCTGTTGCTGCCTGAAACAAGGTAGGTCGGGAGGCACATGCAAGCCCAGCGCGCCCCCCAGCACCTCACCACACCCCCGAGTCCTCCACCCCACTCACCGCTTCACCTCCTCCATCAGCCCCTCCGCGCACTGCAAGCCGCGGCGCATCAGCGGCCACAGCGCACGGTACTGCTGCCGCTGACAGCTGCCGCAGCTGCAGCCGGCGCAGGAACCCTCCCCGGCAGCATGAGCGGCAGCAGCAGCACCCACCGCCGCCACCACTGCCTTCGCTCCTGCTGCTGCTACCACCGCCGCTACTTCGGCTTCCCTCACTTCAGCACAACAAGCCCCTGAGTGTATCCAAACACCCGAGCAGCAGCCCGCTAAACCAGATTCGGCTGCTGCTGCTGCCCCTCGCTTTCCGCTGCTGCCGCCACTGCCATCGCAGTGTCCCTCCTCGCATACATGGAAGGGCGTCGTCCCCTCCCTCGCCCCTGCCGTACAGCACCGCCTCGTACTGCTTTCCGCCCGCTGCAGCGCCCTAGCAGCCCCCGCGTACGACGCTAGCAACCGCAGGGCGGCGGCCAGTGGTACGGCAATGCCCCTGGTGCCGGGAACGGGTGTTGGAGCTGCGGACTTTGAGGAAGAGTGGTGACTGCGCGTTGTTGTTTCTGACGAGGTGGTGGTGGTGGTTGAAGGCAGGTAGGCTCCGGTGGTGATAGTGGTGGAGTACCCGCTTCTGGTGGCGGGGGCGGAGGTGGAGGAGGTGCCGTACATCCAGGGCAGGGTGACGGTGAGCCCGCCCCGCACCTGGGTCAGGCGGATGAGGTTGCACGCCGCCTGAAGTACTGCGCCTGTACGGCATGCGAGGTACGGCAGGTGGCGCATGCGGGCGTTAGGAGTGATGTAGTGCGGACGTAGGGAAGCAGTGAGGAGTTGAGCAGTGAAAGATACCGGTACTACTTCCCAGTCACCTCCCCAGTCTGCACCCAGCAGTCGTTTCCTCTTCACCCACCTTGCAGTAGTGTCCCGTCCGGCTCAAAAAACGCGTCCGGGTCCACCCCGGGTACGGCTGCAGGCTCCACAACAGCAGCACCAGCACCAGCAGCAGCAGCAGCCGCGGCAGGGGTCGCAGCAGGTCCCCCCACAGCGGTGGTGGCTGCTATAGCCGCTGCCGCTGCTGCTGCCGCCGCCGCCGCTGCCCGCAGCAGGCCGTCAAGGTAGGCGAGTGCGGGCTGGGGGGCGGGCTGGTGGGCGGGCAGCCACTGCGTGGAGGGAGCAGATACACACACTGATTCCGATACTACTCGATAGCTCTATTACAACATAGCCAACGGACTTCACTTCACCTGTGGCGTTTTCGGTGGAAGGACTTCCTCTTTCGGCAATCACAGTACGTTTCGCCTCGCGGCCAGTTATTTTAACACACACGGGGAGCGCAGCTGCTTAGCGAACAGTGGAAAACACGGCGGGTCGCCTAGCAAAACGTACAGCAAACAGCGAATGGCGTGTATGGGGTGCATGGGGTGCACAACCCGGGTGGGTGCCATGCAGCACCAGGCGGTGCAACGCGTCCCGGCACCAGCCTATGTGCGCTCGGCACCTCTTCCCTCGCCCCCACGCAGATGCGTGCCCCATCCCCACCGCCGCCACTCACACTGCTGTCGCCGCCGCTGTCCCTGCCGGCTGCTGCAGCAGGGCAGTGGCATTGGCCTCCTCGCCCGCTGCACCCCAGCACCTCCTCACCTCCCGCCCCGCCGCCACCACTGCTGCCGCACCCGCTGCTGCTGCTGCTGCTGCCGCCAGAACCCGCACCGCTGGTTATTACCGGCGGCTGCTGCTTCCCCCCTCGGGCCAGGGGCCACAGCCGCAGCACCACTCGGACCGTTCCGGTCTGCTGAACAGCCCCCGCCCCCGCCGCAGCAGCACTGTCAGCAGCAGCATCAGTGGTGGAGGAACCAGCAGCGGCGCTACATTTAGAACGCTTGGCAGCGATAGCATCGGCACCGGTTCCGGCAACATCAGGCATGGCGCTAGCAACGGGTGTGCTGCTTAGCTGCTGGTGGTGTTGGTGGTGGTGTTGGTGGTGGTGGTAATGCTGCTTAACTGCAGTTGCTACTGCAGGGGAAGGCTCAGAGGCTGCCTTCACTACCACGGGACCTGCTAGGGACTCAGGTGGTGCTACAGATGCCGCCGGGGCCCCTAGGCCAGCTTCCACACCGGGGTTTCCTCTTGCGTGCTTGTTTGCAGCTGCATCCAGCGGTATAAGCCGTGGTGCATTGGTGGCACCGCTGCTAGCTGCATTGCTGCTTAGGCTGATTGCGGTAAGACGAGGAAGCGCAGCAGTGGCTAGGCTAATGATGACCCCCTCTCCCTGCCGTACAAGGTTGCCGCTGATGGCCATGTGTTGGCGTTCTGAGATGGCAGCGGAGCAGGAGAATAGTGCAGGTGAAGGTGACGCTGGCGAGTGTTCTTGGCTGCAGCTCGTGCTTTGCAAATCATCGTCCGCGCGAGCGGCGTGGGAGGAGGTAGCGGCAGCGAAGCTGGTAGCGCAATGGCGGTTAAGACGCCGGCGCTTTGCGTCGTTACTGGGAAAAGCATAACGGCTGTAACTAAAGGATGGCTTGCACTTGAATAACTGCAGGGGAGAAGGATGGAAGGCGTAAGCTGCTTCTATGGTGTAGTATGTTGCCGCCGTTAGGTAGGACAGGACGTTTTCGACCAGGAAAGCAAATTGCCAACTGGATAATGGAAAGCATTATAAGTGCCAGAAGATTGAACGGCCCAGTCACTTACGATGTCGTTGGGAAGCGAGGAAACAACGTCGCACGTCATTGCCCGCAGCGTGTAGGACTCACGACCTCTAAAGCAAGCGGTTGCAACGTCGCTGCCGCCTGTATGCGCTGTTTTGAGGTTGTAATATAAATACCTGCAGTATGGTATGCGATAGCACTCAGGGGGCGTCCCGTTTACATCGCATGCCTGACAGATATAACGCCAAGTGGCTTTTCCAGGTGAGGTGAAAGGTGATCCGCCCAGGAAGACATTTTTTCGTAAGTCGGACTTAGTGCGATGTCCTCACCAAGGTTTCCGCCGGAGCGTATTGTTGGGTTGCCGGGCGTGCGAGCGAGAGCTGAGCAGGAGTTCCGACTCAAAATGGTTTACTTGTAAGCTCGAGGAGCAATAAAAAATTATTGCGATGTAGGACGACCACCAGACGTGCAGTTTCTACGCATTACGTGCCGCTTGAGTACCGGTAACCTCGTCTAGCCTGTCACGCGTTATCTGTTAACACGTTCGTACATATTATGAGTGTGCATCGCCTTTATGAGGAAGGCCATCCGGACTAATGAAGCACCTGCCACGGGCATCGGCGGGGAAGCTGCAACCCGGGGATACGAACTCGAGCAGCTAAGCCGTCGTGCATGGATCTTCAGTATATGCATATACGCTATACTTTCCAAAATGTGTTTATAGAGCAATTTCCCCTTGGTAGGAAAAGGGTCATCAACTGCCAAGCGTACCTGTTTGGGCATACACCGGCATAAATGGTCGCACAATCAATCTGCAGCCCTCATAGCGCAATCAATTGCCCTTTGCTTTGCTACCTTGCCGGGGTCTCGAAGGATACCCAATAACACTGCGAACTTTACACCGACATTGCCCGTTAACCGCTGCTGGATGATTCCTGCACTTCAGACGGGTTGCAAAGTTGTCACGAACTATATAAAGTTATGCTTGTTGGTTACTGCGTGTCACAAGGAACGCAACGGCCCTGCTGCAAATGCCATGCATGTTGCAAGGGACGACTACAAGGAAACGTAGAAAACCAATCCCACCAAACCGTTTCTCTTTATTCTTATCTTTTACTCGCTACACGCACTAGCAACACTTTTCTGTTGCGCTTTTTATGGACGCCCGGCATGCCTGCATGTTTGACGACCGATGCTTCGACGCTGCGGGCATGGCAGCAAGCTGACAGCCTTTCAAGCTGGCAGCAAGTGCCTTGCCTCCGGGGGCTCTCATTTGCGCTAGAAAGGAGTAGGACATTGATGATAGTTGGACAGCCCCACTTTTGTGGCTTTTGCAACCAGTCCAACCGCAGTTGCTAGTGGCAACCAGCACCGGTATTTGACAACACGTCCCTTACAAGGAGGAGCTTTACCCCCCTGTCACAACAGCGACATGTGAAACGGGAAATGTCGTTTATATGGACAGAGTCGCAGTACGACCTGCAGACGCCCCCTCCCTCTGGGCTCGTGGGCTGCCGCAAGCCGCATGCCCCAGTCTACATCGCACGATCGTACGTAACACATTCTATAATGCACCAGAGGACACCACCACCAAGTGTCAGCCAGCTCCAGGCGAACCATTACTAGTACGTGCAGCCCCACAACGTTATCCGCTTCATTCAGCGACGCCTTCATTCGTCTGCGTGATCCTACCATCATTTCAGCGCCGCGCCTGACCACGATTGACAACCACCACGATTGCAAACTCTTAAGCGAGCCACACGCAATACCCCATACTCGAGCCAAGCAATGCCGCTCTAATTGGTTTTGGATGAAGTGAAGAGCTGCAGTGAAGTAAACCGCTTAACAGTAAGAAATACACGACAGCTGCTCCGCCCGCTGCCGTACTGGCAGGTGTACGGCAATGCGTACGGCAATGCGTACGAAGTACGAAACAAGGGATTCGGGCAACTGAAGCCTTCATGAGGCAGCACTTCGAGCACCAGCACTTCGAGCACAGTTGTGGGGAAACAGTGAATGCAGCGAGGACCCGGGTGGTAAGGTCCCCAAGGGATCACCCAACGGCCCGGCAGTCCTCGAGAGCCTTAACCAAACACAAAACGGAACAACGGTTGGGCCAACGGTTTGCGGCCGAAAGCTTACATCATGACGGCTAATCAACCAACTCGCTTCTCAGCACGCCGCTTGCATCCACCTCATTCAAGGATTGAGTTAACTCACCAGCGCCAAGAACCTCCCACCTCCTCAACCCCTCTTCGGCACCAACAAACCTTCCAACCTCCCTCCCTCCCCTCACGCGCCCCTGCTGAACCCCCCCCCTCCCCGCCCTGGCCCCCCCCCTGGCCCCCCCCCTGGCCCCCCCCCTGGCCCCCCCCCTAACTGGCTTCGCTAATTCGGGTTGGGCGGTTCGGGCTGGCTCACATGTTGCAACCCATGTTGACGCCTTATCCCTCAGTCAGTTAGCTTTTTCCTCTTTACCCCCCTCACTTCTGCAGCAACAGCGCCAGGAAGGCGCTCACGCCCGCCCCCGCCAGCGTGACCGCCACACTCGCCAACGTGTTGCGCAGCTGCGTGTCGATGGGCACTCCGAACAGCGTGATGTACTCGGGGTTGAACTGGATGTACGACACAACCGACTGGCGGGGGGAGGAGGGGGGAGAGGAAGCGGAGGGGAGGAGGGGGAGGAGGGGGAGGAGGAGAGGAAAACGTGGTTATTGGGTTAGATAGGGTAGTCAGGTAGGCAGTGAAGTACGAGGGGGCCGGATTGAACGTACGGCAGAACGGAGATGATGAAGCACGAACAACCGGCGTGCGGTTCATAAAGCCGCACACACACGCTCGTGGCCAGTTTTCATAACACAACCCAATTAACACGCACGCACGCACGCCCTCACTCGAATGATCTCCTGGCACTCCCGCAGCCGGGATCGCTCCCAGGGACTCAGTCGGAACCGCTCAGCTGGCCGCCAGCGGAGGGTGGCGGGGGCGGGGGGTGAAGCGGCGACCCCGCCCTCCCCGCTCTGCTGCCCCTCACCCCCCTCCCCCTCCAGCCCGGGAGCTGTGAGCTCCGCTGCGCTGTTGAGGCGGTCAGCAATGGCCACCTGTGAGGGGGGGGGGAGGGAAGGGGGGGGAGAAGAAAAGAGGAATACCCAGGGAGGGGGGGGGTGAGCGGGAGGGGACATGGAGGAGAAGGGGCGTGCGGGGGGATTAAAGATAGACCTAACCATAGGAAACCACAGGTTGGGATGAAGCGACCGGTTTTGTTGCTACACCATCCTCCCCCGCCCCCGGCCCCGCCCCCCCCCCCTCCTCCCCCGCCTCATCCCCGCACCCCCCCCCCCCCCCCCGCCTCACCCCCCCCGCGGACAGAGTGGTGATACCGTCGTGGTACTGCTGGCCGGTGGAAGCCTGGGGGGGGGGGGGGAAGGGGGGGGAGGGAGGGCGGGGGGAAGAGGGAATAAGCGTAGGGAGGGAGGGTTAAACGGAGGAAAGTAGCTAACCGTGTCACATACAGCACTGGGCCCAATACATGCATGCATGCACGCAGCGCGACCGGATGCAGGGCCTCAGGGCGGGGGCAGTGGGCAGGGTAGGCGGGGCGAGTCGGTAGGAGGCAGCAGAGACCACGCCCACGCATGCAGGCTCGCAGCGGCCACCTCACGCGGGTAGACCCACCGAGAAGATGACGTCGATGACCAGACCCGCGACTGCATGGGCACGTACATGGGCGGGGTGGGTGGAGGAGGGGGGGGGGCAGCAGGCGGGCGGTCAGTGGGTTGCCTTCACACAAGCAGGGCCCTCGCCACGTAACACCACTTGCCAGCACATCGCTCTATTAGCAGGCGGGACACGGTAGAAGCGCACCGATGGGCCGTGCGGGGCACAGCAGCAGCACACCAACAGCACACCAACAAGAGAGGTGGGGCCCGCCCCCGCCCCCGCCCCCCGCCCCGCCCCGCCCCGCCCCCCCGCCCCCGCCCCCCGCTCACTCAGGTACATGAAGGGCGGGATGACCCAGGCAACAAACATCTGCAGGTCCGCATTCTCGGCCGTGAAGCGGAGGAGCGTCTTCTGCGGGGGGGGAGGCCGAGCGTGAAGCGCGCCGAGGGGTAAGGGGCGGGGCGGGGGCGGGGGGAAGCGCCACCACTCGCGGCCGCCGGCTGCTCTCTTCACACACCCACACCCGCACGGCAGCCCGCTCCGCACCCCATCGCGGTCATGCAACCCACTACTACATTGCTGCGGTACCAGTACCTGTACGAACGTCACAATGAGTACGGCAGTTACGGCAACCGCCGCCAGCACCACCAGCGTGAGGTGCATCTCGATCCACCTGGTGGGGTGGGGAGGGTGGGCAGTGGGGGACGTGAGGGACGAGTCGGGTCTTGTTGGGGGCGAGTTGGGTTGGTTGGGGTTCGCGTTGGGGAGATAATTGGCCAAACGAGAAAACGACAAACAGGCTCGCCTGACCCGGCATAATTGCGCCACAACAATGCAGCAGCAGCCCCCCCCGGAGGGAGGGAGCAGCATCCCCCCCCGGAGGGAGGGAGCAGCATCCCCCCCCGGAGGGAGGGAGCAGCAGCCCCCCCCGGAGGGAGGGAGCCGAGGCACGCACCCCGCTGCCTGGGTGCAGCTCGCAGCCCCAGTTGCCCGAGTGCGGCTCTGCTGCCCCCCCAGTACCATCGAACAGCCCTCCCTTCCCTGCACCCCAACCCTCCCTCCCTCCCCTAACCCACCCCCCGCCCCCCACCTGAGCTCCAGGCAGTTGGGGCTCTGGTAGTAGCGCCGCAGCTGGGGGCAGGGGAGGGAGGGAAGGAGAGGGGGGGAGGGGGAGGGGGAAAGGGAGGAGGGGAGGTGGCAGGCATGGAAAGCCTTACACGCGTGTGCGCGTGTACGGCTGTGGAGCATGTGCGGTACGGCGGGCTTGCACATGGTTCACCCATACAAGAGGGCCGGACTTGCACCCAGTGTGTGACCCGTGGGTCGCTATGGGTCGCGAGTCCCTGCCCCCTCCCCCCAATGGGCCCCGCCCTACCCGCGCCCACATGAGCAGGTTGCGTGGGCTGTGGTTGTTGAGCCACGGCAGCGACTGCGACAGCGCCTCCTCCTTGGTCAGCAGGGTCTGATAAGGGGGGGGAGGGGGAGGGGGGGAGGGGGAAACTACTAACTGGCCGTGTGATAGGGGGGAGGGGGGGAAAGGAGCACACGTGTATGTACGCCCCAGGGAGGGAGCGGGACGAGCAGGAGAAAGGAGGGGTTGGGGACTGGGGCAAGGTCGCCGGAAGGACGAGGGCAGGCCACATGCGCTTGGCGGAAGGGAGGATTGGACGGGCTGATAATGGCTGATAAAACCCTAAACCCCTTCCACACAGCTGCCCCCCCGCCCCACCCCCCTGCTCCTCACCTTGAACACCGCACACGTCTTCTTAAGCTGGTACAGGTAGGCCGTACAGTCGGCAGCTGTGCGTATGTACGGCATGTGCGACAAGGGAAGGAGGGATGTACGACACAAGGTGTTAACATCGCTGTATGAAAGAAGGGAGGGCAAATGAGGTGTCAAAAGAGCGATCCCATAAGATATTCACAAGCTGTTGTAGGCCTACGGCAATGCATGCAGCTGCAAGAAGAACAAAATGGAGTCTAAACAAGTAGCAAACAGCAAGGCCAACCATCCACCCCCCCAACCTCACATTCCGAGTACGCGAACCAGATGTTGTACAGCAGTCCGTACACCTCGAAGGGCACCACCACCCGGGCCAGCCGCTCCGAGGCCACCCAGTTGTGGACCAGGAACACACGGACCTTGGGGGTGGGGGGGAGGGGGGGAGAGAGGAGAAGACTAAGAACCATGCGTTGAATGAGAGCGGCCACGTTAGGTGCCATTAGGTGGGGGGGCAGGGCGGGATGACGTATGGGAGGAGGGATGCGAAGGGCGAAGAAACGTATGAAGCAAGCTATTCCCAAAACCCCAACGTAGGGAGGGAGGAGGAGGCGGGGCCAGGCGGTGCCCCCCTGCGCGCACACCACCCCGACCCACCCCGACCCGCCGGGTTGCACCCAACCGCTAATATACGGTTCGTTCTTATATTGCTTCCTCCCCCACCCCCCCACACCACCCCCACCCCCCACCCCCCCACACCAGCTTCCTGAACAGCTCCAGTGCGATGCTGAACAGCAGCGGCATCAGCGCGTTGAGGCGCCGGAAGTGGGAACTGGGGGGGTGTGAGGAGGGGAAGAAGAAGAAGAGCCATGCGTTGAATGGGAGGGATCGCACAACCACACACACACAGACCAGTTATTTGAACACACAGACCAGCTTTCGTTCCTGCCTGCAGGTCAGTCTACGGTAACATCCGCACATAGTGGTCTTGCACTTGCTTTGCCTGTCTTGTTTTGCTCGCGCATGCACTGCGACGTCTCGGCATGCTCCCCTGTTTTGCAACCTGTTCAGCGGCAGTTCCAGCCTATCTACCTACCTACTCTATTCGATACTGTCAGCTACTACATACATATCAACTTACTACTACGGGCCTTAGGTCCGGTCGTTTTACGAGAGTGCTTCTTCCGTCCTACATACTCTCAGCACCAGTACTGGACTTCTATATCTACATACGCTACAATGTTCCTCGGCTCCTGCGGCGGTTCTGTGGGGATTTCATCCTCCGACAATCACAGTACGTTCCTACTCGCGGCCAGTTTTCTTAAAACACAGACAGCCATCTGCCGTACTACACACACGGGTGCCATGCCCCTCTATTGCCGTACACTCACCAACCACCCGAACCCCCACCCCCACCCACCGGTTGAGTGTCTGCACGACCTGGCGCTTTATGTCGTCCATCACCTGCCGCAGCGTGAGGCCCGGGTAGCCCTCGAACTGGGAGGACACGTCCCCCAGCAGGAACACAGCCTTGCACTGGTCCTGTGGGGCAGAAGGGGGGGGGGAGGGTGGGGGAGGGGGGAGGAGGGGTGTTAGTGTGTGCATGATGGGGCGGGGCGGGGCCCCCTCCTTCCTTCCCCTTTTCCCCTTTCCTCTCTCCCTATCTTCCTGTTTGGCCTGTCTCCGACCTCCCGCTCCCTCCACCGCACCTTGAGGCTGACGAAGTCACGGCAGTTGAGCTTGAGGGCGCCCGAGGAGGTCAGGAACTGGGGGTTCGTGTGTGTATGGAGGGAGGAGGGGGAAGGAGGGGAGGGGGGTTGTAGTTCGGGGTAGGCGACCAGGCGTGTGAGGGGGAGAGGTAGGTAGGAGTGCACAGCCCCAACGGGCTGCTGTACCCCCCCACCTGCGGCACAATGACACGCACATGCACCCCCCCCCCCCACCTGCAGCACCGCCCAAGGCAGCACGCTGCCGAACACGCTCAGCTGCTGTGCCAGCGGGTTGGCGTGGAAGAAGTCGACCGCGCTGTGGGTGCGCCACATGTTGGGTATGCCGTGCGCGGCGAAGAAGGCAACCTGGGGGGGAGGGGGAGAGGGGGGGGGGAGGGGAGAACGTGTCAAACCAGCGGGGGTTGGGGAAGCACACAGGATGCGGGGAGGATGGGGAGCACGCGGGGACGGGGTCAGCACGAGGCGGCACTGCGGCCCCACACTCCCCCCCGGCCTCGGTCCCTACCCCGGGTTACGAGCTCCCACAACCCCCTCCCCCCTTGCCCCCCCCTTCTCCTCCCCCTTCTCGTCAGTTGCTTTGTCAGTGTCTCATTATCTATTTTTTTACCCCCCCCCTTCTCCTCCCCCTCCCCCCCTCCGCACCAGCGGCACGTATGTCGCCACGAACTGCGCCATCGTCAGCCACAGCAGCACCACGTGACCCCGCCGCTGCCCCGCCTGACCCCCCTGCCTCCCCAGCAGCACGCCCCTCAGCCCCACCGCCCCCAGCTGCGAGTGCAGCTTGGTGATCTGGTGCAGGTAGACGGGCAGCAGCGTGGGGCTGGTGGCCCTGGGGGGGGGGGGGGTGGAGAGGAGAGGAGAGGGGGGATTGGCGTTAGAGTAGGAGACAGGGTGGTGGGGTTGGAACCCTCCATGCCATCACCCCGTGTAACCCCTCTCGCTCTTCCACGTGCCCACCGCTCCGCGTGTCTCATCCAGTCTTTCCGCCCCAAAACACACACACGCTCCCCCTCTCCCCCCTTCCCCTCCCCCTCCCCCCCCCCGTCCCTCACCACAGCCTCCTGAAGGGCAGCCACAGCGGCAGCGTGTTGAAGGCCACCCAGCTGCGCGCGAAGCCGCCCAGGCTGAAGGTGCGCTCCAGACGGCCGCCTGGGGGGGGGGGGGGGAGGGGGGGAAAGGGGGGGGAGGAGGGAGGGGCCGAGTAGGCGATCAAGACCCGGACGGACGGGTGGGGAGCAGGAAGGCTGGGATGCGAAGCAGGTGGGATTGACGGACGAGAAGGGAAGGGGAACGGATAGGCGGGTCCCCCCATCAGCCTCCAGCCTCCTACCCACGCACCTGCGTACATGAGCAGCTGCCTGAACAGGCAAGTGGTCAGGATGCTGTACCGCCCCGCCAGCTCCACCCACAGCTCGGTGTCCGCCAGGAGGCCCTCGAAGCAGCGCTGTACGGCATCCATGGGCAGGAAACACTGGCTGCCGTACGACTGCACCTCCCGCCCCGCCACCTCCCCCACCCTACTCGACTGCTGATGATTTAGGGAGGCTGTCGTACCTGCCGTACCACCGCCCATGCCCCCTGCCTTGGCTGTGCTGCCACCGCCGCCCCGACCGCTGCTCCACCGCTGGGCCCCGGGTGCGGCTGCTGCGGTTGGCTGTTCGCTGCTTGGTTGGGCTCTTAGAGCTGGAATGGCTTGCGTTGTTGTTGGTGGTGGAGGAGGAGGAGGAGGAGCTTGGCATGGTTTGGGCCCCCAGTGGTTGTTGCTGGGTGCATCATCGTCGGTTTGTGCGGCATGTCGAATGGCGGCGGTTAGTACGGCTTCGAAGATGATGGAGCCCTCGGGGCGCTCGTGGTCCTGCGTGCCCAGCAGGCTGTCCACGAAGTTTGCTAGCTCCAGGGCGGATATCTGCGAGGAGGGAACGTGGAAAGAAAGGCACTATTAAGGAGGTGGGATTGAAGTTGGAGTTGGATAGGGAAGATGGGTAACAAGGAGGGGTGGACGAGGGCAGCGGTGGCTGCTGGGGATGACGCGAGTCCCATTGCTCGGTGCAAGGGGACGCGAGTGCTGAGGTCGAAATAAGACAAGATACAGTCGAGTACTATTATAAGGCCATGTAAACAATATGAATACAGCGTTAGATAAGCAAAGACAACTGCTATGCTCCGTCGACTATCGCATGACCCGACGCAGCTGAAACAGCCCAGTAAACGCACCATTCCATTGGCGTCAGTATCCAGAAAGTCCAGCAACAAGTGGAACTCAGAGCGTGGAAGCTCGGAGCTTGAGCTGACATTCGATGAGGTCCTTTCCACACCGCACTCTCTACTATCAGCCATTTCGGTGTTTAACACTGGTTCTTGTCTCAGGTTGTGTGAGCTTGGAGGCCCCAAATCCTTCTGAGGTGACGGGTACACCTTGGTCTGCATGGCTTTTTGCCGTGGTATCGAGAAAGGAACCAGTCCTAGTTGTCGACCACAATATTTAACAATATGAAAGCGCTTAGTACTTGCATGACCGACCACTGTTCACCGTCGGAGTTGCTTCGACAGCAGTTAAGAATACTCACTGCAACGAGTCTAAATAGAGACAACGGTCACTAATCGTTCCTTGTTTTGCTTCACTAGTGTCTATCATGCATGGTCGGAAACAGGACTCAAGATTCGCACGTACTAGCCTTGTACGGCAGCCTTCCAGCATAGCGTGCAACATAGCGAGCACTATTGTTAGCGGCCGCTCCGGAGATACAATATCCTAAAGATAAATCAATGATCCTCCTTCGCAACTGAACACGCATATATATAAGGATGTGATGGATACATCATAAGTGCTTCAGCCATGCTTCCTAGCTGGGTATCCCTTCGCGCCTCTGTGCTCCGACCACTCCCCAGAACTCTCCCTACATCCCACCTCTTCCTTGCAGTTCGCAGGGAGATCAAGACACCGCATCCCTGGCCGTCACCATCTGTCCACCGCTGCAGAGCTCGGTCGTATGATCATGCCACATCCGTTTCCGTCCCTTGTGTCTTACCTACTCTTTTCGGCCCTTGCTCCTGCGCGTTGCCTAGCCTCTCAGCATACTGCATCGGATGTCCAAGGTCCTGAACGCCCGCGCAGTATTAAGCCCTTCAGACGTAAAGAGCCCTGCCTTACCTCTCCGTGCAGGTGACCCACGGGTCAACAATGCATAGCAGCACCACCCTTTGGCATACTTTCCCTTCCACTTGCTCCCATCCATAGTAAGAGCCATATGAAACCACTCTATCTTCTGATGCTAAACTGGTCATGCATTGAATGTCGTTGCGCCCCTTCTGGCTTGCTCAGGCTCTCATCCATGCGACTTAGGAACAATACGTACGAACAACCCCATCCCACCGCTGTCGCCACACACCAATCGAGCATTACGAAGCTGGTTGGGTCCTCTACTCACCCTTAAGCGTTGGGCCCGTCCTCGCCCCCATATTATTAAAAAATCCAACCAACATCCGGCGGGTTGTTTGCCCCGTCACCTGCATACTGGGTTCTCTCGTTACCCCTCCCACCCCGCGTCCCTGGCTATCCCAGCCCCCCTCACGGGTACCCCCACCGCCTCCTCTCTCTACTGTCCTGCTCTATAAAAGCAAACAAAAAAGGAATACTGCGATGCTCGGTTGTTAAACTACATAAGGACTAGCCACCGTACATAGGATTGAGTTAGACAGGAACCCCGTGCGACGCCCTGAACGGCCGCTTCGTGCCCCTCCCCTCCTCCGCCCCTCCATCACCCGTACACCCGCAGTGCCCCCGAGGCCGCCAGCCAGTCCGCATCCGCCCGCCGCCACAGCGCCAGCCCCCCCGAGCGGCCCCGCGCTGCCAGCAGGTCGGGCGCCACTGCGGCGTACACGAAGAAGGGCAGCTGCTTGCGGGCCCTGGGGGGGGGGAGCGGGGGCGGGGGGAGCCAGGAGGTGGGGACAGGGAGGCGGGTGGGTCCACCCGCACGTGAGCTCACGAGACATGCGTGTGTCCCCTCCCTAGCGAACAAATGCCCCGGCTGCGCAAGACTTGGACACCCGAAACACGCAATTCATCAGCTGATGTTTCTACCCCAGCCCCGCAAGCAGCCCAGCCTCCCCCCCGCTCACTTGGGCTCCATGTCCCCCAGCGGCTGCTCCTTCCTGATCGGCAGCGCCAGCCGCCAGGGGCCCAGTCCCAGGCACATGGAGGTCACGTCGAAGTGGAGCAGGCGCTGGGGGAGGGTGGGGGGAAGAGGGGGGGAGAGGCGGGAGGTATAGAAGTGACGCACTGGAGCAAGGGCAGATAGGGTGAGGAGGTGAAGGGTGGTAAGAATGTAAGGTAGGAGCCAGCGGGGATGAAAGCGTGGGAATGAGGGATGGCAAACGGAAAACGGACTCCTGCACACACACGTGCCTGCTACGCCTCCCCAGCAGTTCCCCAGACGCGCTCGGAACACGACCGGTACTCACCCCGTCCATATGGAAGGGGCCCTTGAAGGTCAGGTGACCCACGGGTCCGAAGAACACGCCGTTCTCAAACACCCCGCCCTCGAACTTCTGCGCTTCACAGGCATGGCAAGGCATGTGGTTAGAACCGCAGGCAGGGAGAGGACGCGTCCGGAGGCTGGGGTGATGACGCGTCCGAGTCACTTGTAACTACTTGCATGTCCGGGCTCCGACTCTACTCCCCTTCCACTGCCGGCATCTTGCTTCCCTCCAACCACGTGCAGCCCGCAGCAGGCAGCATGCTGCAGCGACCCCTACACCTCCAACCGCAACGCCTCCGCACGCGCACCTGGCATGCTGCAATGGGGAAGTAGCCGCCCGCCCCGCCCTGCTTGCCCCTGGTGGCCGCAGTCACGGCCTTGCTGGCTGGGGAGGGGGAGGGAAGTGAGGGACCGCACGTGGCAGGGAGTGGGGCAGGGAGGGATTGGGGCGACAGCAGAGGGTGGGGCAGCAGCAGGCAGCGGGGGGGGGGGAGCAGTAGGCGGAAGGCAGGGGCGCAGCAGCAGAGGGGAGCAGAGGGCAGCAGAGGCCAGCCAGGAGAGGTTGTACGGATGGCCTGCACTCACGTGCGGAGTAGACCAGCTGCCAGCGGGCCCCGGGAGCCGTCAGCGTTGTGCTCCAACCATCAGGCTGCACCGGATACGGCAGAGTCATGAGGAAGGGCGGAACGGCGGGGGGAGGCGTAGCAGTCCTTGGTTGGATTGGGGTCGGCTGGGTAATGTTGTAAGACAACCGAAAGCAGCGGACCAACGTTTCCCCGGTAAAGGCAGGAGGAGGAAAATGGTTGGATATAAGCGACTGACCTTTAGTTTTGCCTTTTCCAAGGCGATGAGCGCTGCAAGCACGTCCGATGGACGCACGGCGCTTGGCTGTGATGCCGCGCGACGAAGCGTCGCCAGCGCCACATCAGCGGCTTCTGTCGCGATGGGGCCTGTAAGTAGTATCGCGAGGAAGATAAAGGGAGTATACGCTTCGGCTGCTCAAAGAGGATTTGCAACCGAAGAGCGACGCACATGGCAACAGGCGAGTGTTGCTGGAAAGCGCTTAACATACGGAACATACCCAATGATTAGCGTACGCGTACAACACACCTGGAGAGGCTGTTTGCAGCGAGCGCGTCACAACACGAATCCGTGCAAGCCCCGGTCGCCTCGTTGGCGCGGGAGAGCGCGGAGGTCCACGCAGTGATTTTGTCGCCAACATACTTTTCTTTCACGTACAATAGCTGTTTACTGCTCGCGGACGAATGCGTGCTGCGATGCTGTGCTTGCGGGCTTTGTGCATGACCTTCCGTGCATCCTAACCAGAGTCCATCGCTTTAACACGCAGAGCTAGACTGCCATATCGCCGCACAAAGAACTACTTAAAGCATGCTATACGTTCCTAAAGCATCTCCTTAAGCCTTTCTCTATAACCATCCATTATCAGCTTACAACAACAAACTTCCTCTCAGTACAGTTTACCATTAGCAGCACACTACTTTACAGGTTGTTGCTAACTCTCGTATGACTTAGGAGCCCGTCAAGTTAGTGCAGGAGGATTTCTAGTGACTTAGCCCCAAGCCTGTAAAAATGCCGCGATACTATTGCGATTACTGTGACACATACTTAACGCACGAATCGGTACGTCAGGGTGCTGAATGCTGGCTTCCTCTAGAGATTCCATGCTGACCGTGGCGGCCTTCACTCTGCAGGCTGCTGTCAGAAAGCAGCATAACTCTGGGTACAAACACAAGGTAGGATCAGCTCAGATGGTGCGGATAGTAGTCCTCTGTCTATGCCAAGGGCAAGCGCTCTTTAGGAGTGGCCATGTGAACACCGGCAGGCCAGAGCGGGCCTCTGGTCGCTTGCGCACAAAGTCCTGGCTCGGCGGCTTGTTGCGCCTAGGGTTAGGCTGATAAGGAGTCCTCCCCTCCTCCTCTCCCCCTCGCCACCCCCACCCCCTCCAGGCCAATGTTCGCAACTACTACAACAACTTCCTGGGCACCAGCGAGAGCGCCTCGGGCGGCAGCGGCATGGGCCCCATGACCTCCTCACCAGCGGCCAGGGTGGGTGGGTGGGTGGGTGGGGGCGGTGTGAGGTGTACGGGGGGGGCGGGGTGCCGTATGGGGGAGGGGGCTAGCTGGCGGGGCGCACCACCTCACCGGACGCGGGGCTGGAGGTCCAGGCGAGGGGTGGCTGGTGCGGGGGTCACCGCAGCGGTGGACTGGGGCACGCAGCTCAGCGACGTCCCCACTGCGCGGGGCGGGGGACACGTCACTGTCGCTGTCGCTGTCGCTGTCTGGCGGACTGGCGGACTGGGGTTGCAGGCCGGTCCGGGGGCCCTGGGTGCCGTGTGGGCCCTGAGGGGGGGGCTGGTCAGACCCGCTGCGCCTCCCGCAGCACTAGCGGCCCCCCTGCTGCCTGTGTGTCCTTACAACGGCTGTACCCTAACGGCGTTTCATGTGCCCCTCCCCTCCCTTCCCTTCCCTCCTCCCCGTCCCTCCCCCTGCTCCCTCCTACCGCTCCGGAACACAGCCGATGGGGCCGATGGGCGGAATGGGACCCATGGGTGGAGGCATGGGGCCCATGGGCGGCATGGGGCCAGGTGAGGGGTGCGGGGCTGCAGGCGGGGCGGCGGACGGGACGGTGCGCCTCTGGCGGCCGGGTCTTGCCATGTTGGCCTTGCATGGTGGCTGGTTGCATGGCTGGGTTGCATTGAGGTGCTGGCGCCTCGCGAGGTGGCTCCCGCGCCCCATGCGGGGGGTCACCTGTGTGCTCCCCGCCCTCGCCCGCATGCTGCAGCCCCCTCACACCTCTTGTCGCGCCCCCCTAGCCCGCCACGGCCTCCCTCTGTCCCTGACCTCCTCTCTCGCGTATCTGTCCTCCCTCTCCTCTCCCCCTCCCTCTCCCTCTCCCTCCCTGTGCAGGCATGATGGGTATGATGGGTCGGCCTATGGGCATGATGGGCGGCATGGGGCCAGGTGCGACAGGGCGGGGGGGCAGGGGGTGCTATTCATGGGGGGGGGGGTACTTGTGAAGCGGGCAGGGCAGGGCAGGGCAGGGGGGTGCAGGGGTGTACGGTCGATGCTGGTGGAGCAGCCGGCTAGGGACGGGGGGTCAGCGTTTGGAGGGTGTGTTGGGGTGGAGGGTGTGTTGGGGCACTGCACCAGCAATGTACCTGCTGCTTCCTCCCTGCTGCTGCTTCCCTCCCTCCCTCCCTCTCCATCGAGCCCGCGGGGGCGTCACTAGGCATCCCTGGGCCGCGCGTGCCTCACTTGCCTTTCCTCTCCCTCCCTCCCCCGCTCCCAGCTCCTCCTTTCCCTACTCCCTCCCCCGCTCCCCCGCTCCCCCCCTCCCTCCCGCGCTGCAGGCATGATGCGGCCACCCATGGGCATGATGGGCGGCATGGGCGGACCAGGTGGGGGCGGGGGTGGGGGATAGACAGGGGGTTGTCTTTGACGGTGCAGGGTTGGGAGGGCCTCGAGCAACTGGGGTCGTACGGGTCGGCCTGGATCGCCTGGATCCCCTGCTGCCCTTAATCGGCTGTAGCGCGATGGGAGCTCGCCCTGTCGTCTGCGTGCCCCTGGTGGGTCCCCTGGTTACACGGCCGCATGCAACGTACACTCCAATAACAGCCCCGTTCCTCGCCTCTTCCGCTGCTCCCCCACCCCTCGCAGGCATGATGGGCGGAATGATGGGTCGGATGGGCGGTCCCATGGGAGGCCACATGGGAGGGCCGATGGGCGGACCCATGGGTCCGGGCGGGCCCATGGGAGGCCACATGGGGCCCGGGGGCCCGATGGGAGGCCACATGGGACCCGGGGGCCCTATGGGGGGGCACATGGGGCCGGGAGGTCACATGGGGGGCCCTATGGGGGGACCCATGCACGGAGGACCCATGGGGGGCGGGCAATAGCGGCTTTGGCATGCAAGCTTGCGGGAGCGGTCCGGAGCGGGTCGGGTCTGCGGAGGAAGGAGTTGGTTGGGGGTTGGTTGCGCTGTCGCGGGCTGTGGTAGTGGCATATGGCGGTGGGTGTCGGAGTTGCGTGGGTTAGAAGTGTGGACAGGGCGTTACCGTCGCATGGCGGTGTCCTGGCGGTGGTATATGGGGGCGTGCAGGCATGCTAGTGGGCGTAACATGTACGAGACATGTGTAGAGTTGAGGGCTTCACTTTGCACACAGCTAACTTCGTATACTCACGTGTGTGGATCAAGGCAAATCTGTGGACAAACATGGCAGACGGGTCTAAGTAGCGGTGCACTAGGCGTGACATGTCTGGGACATTGACGTTGACATCCAAGATGGCGGAGTTGCTCTGGCTGGAGAAGAGATGACCGGTTCCGTTTTGGACTGGAGTATATATGTAAGGCTTAATATAACCAGAGCTCACTGGCTTTCAATTATTATCTCGGTCTGTCGTCGTGCAACCGTTAACGGCGCAGCGCGCAGCACCGATTGCGTCCAACCAGCGTGCAATCCGCGGTTGCGTAGCGTAGATGCTTGACTAAAGTTGAAGTATAGTTGCTAGGGCGTGAAGCGGTAAAGCGAGGCGAATTCCCTTCCGACAGACGCTGGTGCCTACTTCACAGTGACTGGCTCTTGGGCGAAAGGCCGGTCCAGAAGGCTTAGTGCGCAGTGCGCAAGATTATTTTGACTTTGGCCAGTGCGTGCGTCTGAGTGAGCCATTTCGCAGCGCAAAATGCCGCATAATAATGTGCAACGAAAGCACCAAAAGCAACAAACACAATCAACTAATAAAGCTAGCGTACCGCTTGGAATGCTGCGCTTTAAGGTGATCAGGCTAGAACGCTGCGCGCTTTAATTTTGCATCGCCTCACATTAAAGCTTGCCCCGCAGGCTGACGGTAACCTGGGACAAGTGACCATACAGCATTTGAACCCTCCTCAAATTACGGAAAGCAGCAATAGTCGACACCCATCCGTACCGACTTTGCGCGTCGACTTAAAGACGAGCAAGGTAATGTCCCTCAATCGCCCTTTCGCCACCGCTGTACCACTACCGCTTCCAACAAACTCAACAATTTCGCACTTCTTAGTACTTATCTCTCGCCTTCTTCTCAGGTTTGGGTAGGCTCGGCTGCGCCGCTACCCGAAGATTCCCCGCTCGTGTTGGGCATCATCGGCCTGCTCCGACTGGAGCGTGGCTCCATCCTCTCCGTCATCAGCAAGGCCAAGCGGGTGGGTACCAGCGTATGCCGGGGGGTCACATCCCCCGGTCCTGTGCGGAACAAACCCGGGAGTACCCGCAGAGCTCTTCACCTGCATGACTGCTCATTCCCTCCCTGCCCCCCTCCCCCCCCCCCCAGGTGTGCAGCTGCCCCGAGGGCCCCGTGTATCTGGTAGCCGACACCACTCTGGTGGCACCGGAGACCATCAATGGCTGCGACAACGACCTGCGGTGAGAGGGGGTGGGGGGCGGAGGTGGTGGTGGTGGTGGCACACACGCGCGGTGGGGAGGTGGTGGTGGAGGGTGCGATGCAGTGCCAAGCAGACTGTCCTCCCACGCCCTAACTCACCTCCTGCCCCCCCCCCGCCCCCCAGCCACGCCTCCCTGCTGCAGGAGGCCCTGACGCCCAAGTGCTTCGGCAGTCACCTCTACTTCAGCCACACTGCCAACATCACCAGCAGCAGGCAGAGACAGGTGGGGTGGGTGGGGGTGGGGGCGGGGCCGGGGTGAGGGGGGGGTTTGTTAGCGAAGGCTGACCACGAGGAGGGTGTCTGTGAAGGGACCGCGCGCCGGCCTGACCGATTTGGGGACTCCAGCGACCCATGGGTCCATGTTGCCCCAACCTGCTACCCCGCCACCCCGCCATCCCTGCCACAGGCGGACCTGGATGCGGGTAGCAACACCGCTGGCGTTAGCAATGACAGCAGCAGCGGCGGCGGCGGCTCGCCGGTAGCAGGGCAGGGCACCCCCAGGTTGGGCGCCTGGTGGAGCGGCGGCGGCAGCGGCGGAGCGGGTGCGGCAGGGGGAGGAGGCGAAGGAGGTGGAGGGTCGCTGTGGTCTCGTGCCGACCCGCGGTTCGTTTGGAACGTCGAGCTTATGCGGCCCATCATTGGTGGGTGGGTGGGGGTAAGGGAATGGAGTGAAGTAGTGGTGGGTGGGTGGGTGGGTGGGTGGGTGGATTCGGGCCTTACTTATGGCTCCCTACCAGCTCTTTCCCCCTCCACGTTGCACAACCCCCACCTTGGATTGAGGCGCCCTCAATCCCCTACTGCCCCCTACCCCTTGTTGACTGCATGCCTCCCTACCCCTCCTACCAACAGAGGCGGGCGGAGAGGCCTTCGCGCTCCCCCTCATGGCCGGCTACATCGGTCAGGCCACCGGAGCCACCTTCAAACTCAGACCGCCTCCTCCTTCTTCTCGTCCGCCTGCTGCCACTGCCGCTGCTGCCGTACCTGGTCGTAGTGAGGATGCGGGTGACGGCAGCGGCGGCAGTGGTGGCAGCAGTGGCCCGCAGGAGGGGGAGGCGGAGGTGTTGTGCCCCGGGGAGGTGACGCTGGTGACGAGGCTGGGTGTGGGGAGGCCGGTGGCGGGCAGCTGGCGCAGGGGGGCGGACAGGCAGGTGGGTGGGGGTGGGGGGGGGGGAAGGGGGGGGTGGGGTGGGGGGGGGGGGTAAATAAGAATAATACAAATAATGAGACAGGGTCAGCTGCGTTGTGAGTGCGGCCTGCGCGGCTTCTGAAGGACTGCCTGACCGCTGTTGTCTGACCGCTGACCTGCTGCTGCCGCTGGCCACACAGGGTAACACCGCGGGCTTCGCGGAGACGGAGGTGATTGTGACGCTGTGGCAGCCCCAGGGGCAGCAGCAGCAGCAGGGGCAGGGGCAGCAGGAGCAAGGAGGGGAGGCAAAGCAGCAGCAGCCCCAGCAGCAGCCGGACAGCCGCGGTGGTGGTGGCGGCAGGGAGGTGCGGCAGCGGTGCCGGCTGGCGGTGGCGGCCTACGTCATGGTGAGCGGCAGGGGGCAAGGCGGGGGGGTGGGAAGGGGGAGCGTTGGGGGGGGATAGCTGGTTTCCGGGTTTCGCAACGCAACGCGCTGTAGCTGGGAAGTGAGAGACGCGGAAGCGCTTCCGCCATGCAAGCAACACCCTATCCCCCGGTCCCCCCGTTCCCCTGCCACCCCCCCCCCCTACAGGCCCGCGGCAGTGCTCCCCTCTACTGGGCCGCCCCGCCCGACCTGCGCCCCCGCCCAGCCCCCCGGGGTCCCCAGCAGCCGCCCAGCCACACCCTGCCCTTCACGAACCACATAGCCGCACTACACGCGGCGTACGGCAAGGTGGGGAGGGGGGGTGGGGGGGGAAGTGTGTGTGTATTGGTGTGTGGTGTGTGAGCAGCCGGAGTGGATGTGTGTGTGATGCGTCCCTCTGATGTGCCCTGCGACATGTGTTTTGCCAGGCGGTGTAGCCACTCACAGCGAAGCCTAGTCGCGATGTCACAACTTCCCTTCTCCCTCGCTTCCTCCTACCCCCCCACCCCCCAGCACGTGCTGCTGCTAGACCTGCTGGTGGGGGGCGCGCACCGGGGGGCGGGGCTGAGGCTGCACGACACACTGGCGCAGCAGGTGGGGGGGGGGCGGGGGGGGGGGAGAAGACCCAACGTGGTGGCTGAAAGTGGGGTGGGCGGGAGCGGGCGTGCAAGGGAGACCAACACGGCTCCCCTGGAGCCAGCCAAGCCGTGAGGTACCGTACATGGGGGGGGTGGAGGGTTGGTGGAGGGGGGGTTGGGGGGTTCCGGAACCCGCCTGCGGGAAGCCGCCGACACCGCCCATGTCGTCGGTGGGTGAGGCGGTGGAGTGATGTCCCTCAGCCAGAGTGCGCAGCTGGGTTCAAGTAGGGCCCACCACCCCGCATGTCGCCCCCTCCTCCCTCACGCCCCCCCCCAACGGCCTCATGCAGGCTGCCATGATGAACGCACGACTCAAGGAACAAGCAGCTGCTGGTGGTGGTGGTGGTGGTGGTGGTGCCACATCCGCTACGTCTGCAGCAGCAGCTGCGGCAGGCGGGGGAGACGAGGCAGCGGAACAAGCAGCACCAGCCCCTGCAGCAGTAGCGCCGGTAGCAGCAGCCTCGGACTGTCCCTCAGTGTCGGTGGTGGGGGTGCTGCTGCAGGTGAGGGGGGCGGGTGGAGGGTGGGGGAGAAGGAGGGTAGAGGCGAAGGAGGGTGGAGGGGAAGGAGGGGAGGGACCAGGAGGGGAGCAGAGGGGAGCTGTGTTTTCCCCTCCCCTGTTGCTGTGGGTCGTTCAGCCATGCAGGGGGGACAAGCAGCTGCGACGCCTGTGCTGCTGCCTGCCTGCACCTCTGCACACCCTACCTACCTACAACCCAGCCAGCCCTCGGTCATGCCTTGACCCGCTGCCGCATCCTGCCCTGTCTCCCCCACTGCCTCCGCCCCGCACTGCCTCCTCCCCCCTGCCTCCCTCCACCTCCCCAGGTATCCGAGCTGCCCCAGCTGGCCTGCTGCGGCCCCGCTGCGGGCCGGCTGGAGGAGCAGCTGGGCGGGCGGGAGCTGCGGGGGCGGCTGGGGGCGTACCTGGCGCTGGTGAGGGGGGAGCTGGGGTGTGGGAGGTGAACAGGGGTTTGGGGGTCCATGGCGGCGGTACAGGGAGGGCTGTGTGGAGACCGCGCAGGGCTGCACGTTCGCTGCCCCCCCCCTCATGCGCTCACTGCATGAGTCGGGATTCGGGATTGGGATTGTGTTGTTGCACTTATTTATAATTTTCCCCCCCTCGTGTCACTGCCTCCATGTCCCTCGCTGCCCCACTGCCCCACTGCCCCCCCCCCGTCAGGAAGAACTGGAAATCACCACCACCCAGGCGCCGCCCGCCTCCACCTCTACCACCCCTGCCTCCACCCCTGCCTCCGCCACCAGTCGTCGCTCCGTGCGCTGCACCTCCCGCGCGGTGGCATGTCGGCAGCGGGGGGTGGTGCGGGTGAGCTGCGCCTCCACCGGGTCCGCAGGTGCGGGGGAATGGGTTGGGACACGGGTAGGGAGGCCGTGGGGTGGTGGGTAGTGACACGGGTAGGGAGGCAGTGGGGTGGGGGGGATGTGTGGGGTAGCTCGCATTCCACACTGCAGCCCCAGTGCAGCACTGCAGTCTGCCCCCTCCCTCCCGCCTCCACCTCTCCTCCCTTCTCCCCAGTTCACCTCCCCTCCCCCCTCCCCCTCCCCCCCTCAGGCGGGTGCTGCGAGGAGGTGGACCTGGCGCAGCACGCAGTGGCGCTGTCGGTGCTGGCGGAGCTGCTGGCGGGGCTGGGGGCGATGGAGGAGGCGGGGGAGCTGCGGGAGGTGCATGGCAGCGTGATGCAGGGTGAGGGGGGGGGGAGGAGGGGGAGGGGGTCATCTGGAGAGGACTTTTAGGCCCTTTGTTACAACGGGGAAGCGGGGGCCGATGCACGGCCTAACATACAGGCATGGGTCCGGCAATACTACCGGATATTAGGTTGACTGCCTTCTGCTCTGTCTTCACCCCCCTTCCGCCCTCCCCCTCCCCCGCCCTCTTCCCCCCTTGCACGCAGCCCTGGCGCAGCTCTGGTCGCACGCCGCGGATGTGATCGCGGACCAGACGCTGGGTACCGCCAGTGCGGCGGGCAGGGCGCTGAGGGCAGCAGCAGCAGCAGGGGGGGGCGGTGCGGGAGCGGGGGGAGGGCCCGCAGTTGCGGTGCGGAGGACGTGGCAGGCGGCCCTGTCTGCGGGTGAGGGTGAGGATGAGGGGGGGCAGTGGGGCACCTGTCTGCGGGTGAGGGTGAGGATGAGGGGGGGCAGTGGGGCACCTGTCTGCGGGTGAGGGTGAGGATGAGGGGGGGCAGTGGGGCACCTGTCTGCGGGTGAGGGTGAGGATGAGGGGGGGCAGTGGGGCACCTGTCTGCGGGTGAGGGTGAGGATGAGGGGGGGCAGTGGGGCACCCCTCCGCACTGCCCGCATGCGCCGTGGGAAGGCAGTGTCCTGAAGGAGCCGTCTGCTGCACTTGTCGCCGCTCACCATGTGGACTCCATGCTCCCTTCAGCCACCTTCTTCCCCCCTCCCTTTCTCACCTAGCTGCATGGCATTGGCCCAGGGCACTGACGTATCCCGCCCCCCCCCTCTCCGCAGCTGACGCGGTGTCGCGCTACTACTACTCCAACTTCACGGACGCCCGGAGGCAGGATGCGTTGGAGCTGGGGGCGGGGGTGTACAAGGTGGGGCGGTGGTGGTGGTAGGGTGGGTGGGTGGGGGCGGGGTGTGGTAGGGTGGGTGGGTGGGGTACGGGGCGTGGTGGGTGGGTGGGTGGGTGGCTGGCTGGCTGGCTGGCTGGCGTTTTAGCGCTGTACTGCAGGATTACACGACCCCGTGTTCACCCCCCCCCCACAACCCCCCAGGTGTCCAGCCCGCCCGCCCAGCTGCCCCGCCGCCAGCCGCCCAACACCTCCTCCCTGCAGCTGGGGCTGCTGCTGCTGCTGGCGGCTGCCATTCAGGTGGGTGCATGGGCCTGGATGGGGGCAGGCAGCAGCAGCAGCAGTGGGGGGGGCAGTGCACGCATGCATGCACGCATACATGCAACTCTCATGCACTGCCCAGCCAGCAGCAGCAGCACGATGCTGTCTGGGACTGTTGACCAGCCTCCCAGGACACCCGCCCAGGGCACCAGCTGTGTCGGGCTCACGTGATGTGTGACAGACGTGCTACACCGCACCACTAGCCCATTGCGCTAGATAGGCCGTTACGCTGAGTGATGGCGCATGAAGCTGCAAAGCCTCCCTCCCCTCCCTCCCCCCCGCTCACTGCATGAGTCGGGATTCGGGATTGGGATTGTGTTGTTGCACTTATTTATAATTTCCCCCCGCCAGGCCGCCCTGATCGCCTACCAGCTCCACCTCACCTCCCTGTCGGACGCGGCCATGCGAGTGGGCGCCCCCGCGGGTCTGGGGCTGGTGCTGCTGGGGGAGGTGCTGCGGCGGGGGGCGGGGTTCGTGGAGCAGCCGGTGTTGCCGGCGGTGGGGGCGGGGGGCGGGGGGGCGGGCAGGGTGCCGGGGGCGTTCCCCTGGACTGAGGCGGGGGCAGTGCTTGGGGAGGAGGGGGAGGAGGTGCAACCGTGGACGGAGTGATGGGTGGGGTTGGGGGTGCTGGGAGGTGGGAAGGGAAGGCTAGGACGAGGGCTTGGTGCGTTACGAGTGGGGCGGGGGGACGCGTTACGTAGGGAGAATGCAATGATGGGGGAAGCGTGCGGTGGTGGGTTGGATGCGTGCTGCTACATGCTTCATGTGTTGGCGCTGTGCGAGCGATGCTACGGGTTGTTGCGACTGTTACCGGTGAATGACTCGTTCACGTCCGGAGAGGACAAGGGGACAAGGAAATCCGGATCCCCCTTTGGGGAGCCCCTGTAACGGTCATCACTTCATTCACTTCCTGTCTGCCACGCATGGCACCGCATACAGGCTAGGCAGCTCTTTTGTTATATTTTTTCTGTCGCTTATTATATTTTTTAGGAACGGCAGTCGCCAGCGGGCCAGCAGGCCAGTCCAGTATCATTCGTTATTCCGCTGCTAAGCAAGGGGTGGCGGGCACACCTGCAAGGCGGGGCACCGCATACCCGCAACTGATGAGAGCACCTAGTAAGGGCCATCCAGCATGAAGCTACGAACATCGAAAACAACGGAAAGCAACAACAACGCAATACCTGCATGCAGCTTCAGCCTTCATTAAGGGGTCCACGCACCAAGCCAGCAACCACACACACATACCGGTAGATAGGTCCCCAGCACGCCCCAACAGCCAAACCAGCAGTGGAGGCATCCAGACTGTGCCATCCATGCCAACCCGCGCCTCTTCCCCACCCCCATCCGCATCACTAAAGCTCCCCTGCATGCACACGATAACCCGTGTGCTCTTCCCCCCGTGTTCTTCAGATAGGCGGGCTCGGAGCCCCCGATCCGCTGTCGTACCGTCATGCATGCCGTCACGAAGCGGGATCGCATATCGACACGCTATGGTGGCCGCCAGGACCCACATACTACTATGTGCACTGGACTACACAGCTTCCTATGAACACACGCCCCTCTGCAGCAAGCTAGTGGCCAGCTGCATGCAACGAACCCACCATCACACATGAAAGGGGCCCCAAGACAAGAGGCTGGAGCACTTTGAAGCTCCTCTAAAAGCTCACGACAAAATTGGCCACTCTTCCACCACCTTCAGGCCCGCAACCTGCACTAATACTGCATCTTCGATCGCTAACTACGGTAGACGTGGGTTTGTTGGATGGGTGATAGCTAGGGTAAGAATGATATCTAGGAGTCAACTGCAGATGATGATGGGGTGTGCTAGTACGGACGTGTGTTTTGGCCCAACAGTAGGCCGTCCGTAAATCCTTCGATAAATCAATCCAGCGTCGTACATATATATGTCGTACGACGCTCAGTATTAGTAAGCGCGTTCGCACACAAATGGTCGCTGCTGCATGACAATCGATGAATGTTGCCTGCCCTAATGGTCAAACTTTAGTCAACAAACACACAACTGACACCAATCCAACGACAGCCACGCCAACAACATGCCTGCTCTAAGTTCTTATGTAAACGACATAACGGTGCTAACAGACAGTTCAACGGCATTTTGACACGTGTGGATGCTAACAAAAGTAGTTATTAACCAACGTGCTGATTTCCGAGGTAACTGCCATTACCGTTATTCGTAAACGAGCCATGCTCCAGGCCACGGCGTGAGCCCGGGGCGACCTTGTACACAAATCCACCTTTAACTATAACCGTCGGTTGCCGTACAGTAGATGGCAAACTCGTACGGCCGTTGCTTTTAGCGAGCAATGACGCGAGCGCGTTCGCCGTAATGCTCGCTGCCGACGTACCACTGCTGCCGCCGCTGGCGCCGCTGCCACCGCCCCCACCGCCGCCGGCGCTGCCTAAGCCATTGCGAGCCGCCGCCGCCACCGCCGCAGCAGCTGTCACCGCATTCGTCGGCGAACCGGGTCGAGCGCTCGCCGCCGACAGCGACGCCGCCGCCGCCGCCATGACGACTCGGTTCGCCGCGAGCGAGTCGGCGACGTAGGCATCCGCCGCCGTTCGCGCCGAATGCGGCGCGCGTCGCGGAGACCCGCCATAAGGCCCCCGACTTGTACCACCGCCAGCCCCACCTGCCGCGGCCGCTCCACCACCACCGCCACCGCCGCCGTTGCCATTCCCAGTGCCGTTCCCAGCAGTGTTGAGGAGTGGCAGGTGAGTGGCGGCATGCCCTCCGCCCGCCGTGTTGGGAGAGTGGGGACCGCCCCAGAAGACGCGGGAGTGGGAGAAGGTAATGGGGCCTGTGGGGGCGCCACCGCCACCGCCAATGCCACCGCCATGTGGCGTGTAGCTGCCGCCGCCACCGCCGCCGCCGACAATGGCACCGTTAGCGGCATGGCTGCCGCCGCCGCTGCCAATGCCCCCGGCGCCAAAACCGACTCCCGTCGCTCCGTCAGCGGTTGCTGCCGCCATCGCCGCGGCGGCGGAGGCGGAGTTTAAGGGTACGACAGTCCATGTGTTGAGGAGCGGCGGAGTGGTCCATTCCCCGCGACCCCACCATTGCTGCTCCCCCTGCTGCTGCTGCGGGTCCTTCTGAGCGTCCCGTGGGTCTCTTGAGTGCTGCCGATGCTGTTGAGTGTGCGGTTGAGGCTGCTGGTTTTGATGCTGCGAGGGCAGCAACGGTTTCTGATGTGGAGTCTGCTTTAGCGGCTGACTGTTCCCCGGTTGAGGTCGAGTGGGGGTTGGTGGCTGGCAGCCGTCGCCTCCATTACTGGTGCGTGCAGTAGATGCACCTCCGTCTACTGCTGCAGTAGTGGCGGCCGCCGCCGCGGCAGCAGCAGTAGCGGTCTTAGGGGAGCTCAACGAGGACGCAACGGAGGCGGCGGGTACGGCAGGAGAGGCGGGGCAGTTGGCGGGTGAGGGTTGGGAGCCCTCTCCGAGGCCACTGGGGGCCCGGGAGCTGCCGTCGTCGTCTGTAGCGCACTCGGCCACGGTAGGAAGGGGGCCGCCGGCTGTGAAGATCACACTGGCGATGGCATCTGTTGTGGGCCCTTCGTCCCATGCAAGTGCGCCGCCGTCAGCCTCCAGGGCCGCCGTACCCGCAGCCAAAGTGTTCCTGCTGAGCTCTGCGGCAGCTAGTGAAGTTGATATTTCTGCGGTGGATGTCATCGCGGTCATGGGTGATGGCACAGTCGCCGCCGCTGCTGCCGCGACGTTCGAGGACTGAGACGCCGCCGAGGCATGCAACGCGCTCAGATGGACCGCGCGCTGGTGAGGAACCAACGGAGCGCCCACGACGGCAATGTTACAGCTCTGACTGGATGATGCGCCGGATGACGGCGATGTCAGACCGCCGCCGCCCCGGCGCTCATGAGATTGTCGTACGGCAACCCCCGCAATCGCCGATGCCGCCGCTGATCCTGCCGCCGCGGCAGGCGATGGCAGGTATGTCGTACTCGCAATCGCGGCCGCCGCCGCCGACGTCATCAATGGCAGACCGGTACTGCTGCCGCCGATGCCTTGGAGTGCATCCAGGTGGCGGGGCTTGTAGGGGTTTATGAAGGAGTCGTTGTTGGAGAGCAGTAGGGCGGGCAGGGGAGCCGGCGGGTGCATGGGCGGGACCCCCGGCGGGGGTGTTGCGGCGCCGGATCGCGGCTGCAGCGAGGGACTGGCGGCGCCGCCACGTCGCGGTGAGTGCGGTGGCGGCGGCGCGGCAGCTGCTACAGTCGGCGATGGAGGCGCTACAACCAGTGGTGACGGCGGAGCGGTTATTGCCGGTGACGCTTCCGATGTCATCTCGGCACCTTCGTAAGAGGCGTTGGTGAGTCTTGAACCGCCGTCTCCGAGGCCGCTGCCGCCGCCGCCACTGACAGGTGCACTTTCCGCCTCTCCGCGTGGCTCACCATCCATATTCGCAGCCGACGACACTTGACCAGGCGTCTTGGGCGAGAGTGGCCGTGGGGACACCTCCCTAGACGGGGGCAGGCTCTCAGCAGCCGGGCCCTCAACCCTCTGACCAGTGCCGTTGCCGCGGTAGCCCGGTTGCTCCCCGCCAGCTGCCGCCGCCGCCGCCGCTGCGTCGGCTTCCGCGTTTGCCTGCAGCTGCCGCGCCGCTGCTGCGGACAGCAGCATGAGGCTGCCCATGCCCATGCCGGCGGCGGCGGCGGCCGCAGCAGCCGCCGCCGCTGCCTCCATGGCTGCGGCCTCCGCACGGGGGCTGTAGCGGACCTGATAGAGGCGAATAAGAAGGGGGAGGAATAATGAGGAAAGGAAGGTTTGCCGTTACGTTGGTTGAGGAGGCTAAAAGGCATGAGGGAAGGCACATGCACGCGTATGTTGTACATGGGTATCTTCATACTGAACGGACGAGGGTTCAAAGAAAGATTTTTCCTTCAGTGTCCCAAAAGTACTGCTAGACAGCATCACAGCAACTACTCCATATCTTACTGCAGATGGGGCACGACCGATCTTCAAGAGTCCAGCGTTGCGGCGGATCTCAGCAGGCGGGGCCGCAGCGGCAGCCGCAGCCGCTGCAACCGCATCCGGGGTGCGCGCGTGACGCGGCCCTCGTCGCTCACGAACGGCATTCGCCGCCGCCGCCGCGATCCGCGCCCTTGCTCCGGGCGACATGGACTGTCGGGTTTGCTGCGTCATCCCCTTAACCACCCCCCCGCGACTCACACCCGCACCCGCGCTGCGTTTCACTTCGGACCCCAGTAGAAAGGCGCTACTGCCACCGGCGCCGCCACCACCCGCACCCAAGCCGCTACCACCTCCACCCAAGCCATTGCTCGTACTGCTACGTCCGATGACGCCAATTGCTGCATCAGCAGCGGCAGATCCAAACACCTGTTGATCTCCGTCTCCGGTGGTGTTCCAGGGGGCAGGAGGGGATCCCCCGGGGCTGCTGCAGCGGTTGCCGGGGAAGGCTGCGTTGTCGTACCCGGCGGAGGACAGTAACCCCCGGCCGTCATCAGCCGGGTCGGGGACGGCTCTGAGGCTCGGGCGCTGGTAGACGCCGTCATGTGTGGAGGACATCCGGCGTCTGGAGCTGAGTGAGGATGTGAGGGGCGGGTCCGCGTCGGCGAGGATGGCTTCAGCGTCCACGGGAATCACCACATCCGCGTCGCCGCCGGCACTGATGTCGAAGTCACCATCGCCGGTGCTGGTGGCAACGGGAATCACGTTATGCCGGTTATTATGGACGGAACCAAAGCTCTCGCGGCCGACGTTATTCAACGACAGCCGGGGAACGACAACGTACTCCGCGGTGTCGTGAATGCCGTCCAGGATATGGCCTCCGTCCGCGTCCTCCTCGCCTCTGTCAGTGTATATCTCAACGTCGTCGTCACCATCGGCGGGGTACACGTCAGCCTCAGCGTAACCATCAGCAGCAGCAGAAGGTTCCGTGGCGGCGGCGCCGGTAGTGGTCGCAGTGATGGCGCCATCAGTGGTGTTGTACGACAAAGGTGTAGATGCTGCCATCTGGAAGACCGACCTGGAGACGGGCGAGTAGTTGAGGGCCCCGTCTCGAAGGTGGATGAGGCTGCATGGCCCGAAGTTCCAGGAGCAATCCAGCAAGGGCATTGGCTGGCGTCGGGACGCCGGCAAGGGCATTTGCCCTCTTGATGCTGCCGTATCCGCTGCTGCCGTCAACGTTATGTTTGCCGTACGACCGCCGTCACCGCCAAGCTTACTGCCGTTGCCGCCGCCGCCGGCAGTATTGTCGGTCCTACCTTTCCTGCGTTTCTTCTTCGTCTTGCAATGGTGTTCAGCGCTCACCTCACAGCCGTCGCCGGTTCCAGGATTGCTGTATCCTGCTGTACCGCCGCCACTGCCGTTTTGCTGGTACGGCAAAGCCGTTGTCGTACCGTCTTCATCGCCACACGTGTCAAAGCTTGAAATTCTGGAGATGTCGCTAGAGCTGCTGTCGGTCTCTTCCTCGAAGTCCACTTCCTCTCCGGGGCCGCTGGCACCTCCGCCGGCGGCTGCGGGCATCGTAGGTAGAGGAGCTGACCTGAAGATGACAGCAGTGCCGGATGCACCGGACCGAGTCGACGATGTGGAGGCAGGCAGTTCGGGGGTACTGGCAACGGCGGCGGTAGAAGAGGAACCAACATCCGTCGCGGTTAAAAACACCGTGGTAGACGCACATCCACCTCCACTACCGCCGCCCCCACCACCGCTGCCGGTGCCGCCACCGCCGGCTGGCGGATGCAGGAACGAGTACCCCCAGCCGAATGGAAGCGCTGCCACCGTCGTCGGTGCTGGCAACTCGGCTGCAGGCGCCGCCGCTGCCTCCTGCCGTCCGTAGCCTTGTCTGCCGCCGCTACTACTGTGTATGTACGGACCCGCTGCGGCCGGAGGTCCGCTGCCGATGCTGCTGCTGCCGCCTGAAAGCGCCGACGCGCCGCTGTCTCTTCGAACATGCGTTGCCGTACTCTGCTGCGCGCCGGCCCTGGTACGGCAGCCGACGGCGGCGCCGTCACGTAACGCTGCTTCAAGACGCTGGGATGCGGCTGCAGCCGCCGCGGCGGCGGCGGCGGCCACAGCGGCCGCGGCCGTTGTTGCAGGGTACGCCGCCGCTGCTGACGTTGGCGTTGACGGCGGCAGCTGGTGGGGAGTCCGCAACCATGCGACGGCGTTGCTGCTGATCGCGCCCCACGCAGAGTGCGCTGGATCCGCATCTAGATCCAGCACCATGCCGCCACCGCCGCCACTGCCGCCGCCGCCACCTGCGTCAGGAGCATCCCGGACCTCGTCCTCGTCATCACCGCCGTTGCTGCTGCCGGCGTCGCTATAGCGGTACGACCGATCCGCATCGGCATCCGCAGCCAGGTTGTCGTCAGCGCTGGGGGCGGAGCAGTGCGGCAGACGGGGGCTGGTGGTGGGGCTGTTTACCGAGCGGGACATGGAGGCGGCTGGGGTGGTTGGGGTGCTGGATGAGGGTTGCGAGGTGGCGTCCCGCAGGTGCTGGGCGCGGTAGGGCGGGTGCAGCTCCTGAGGACGACGGACAGGTAGGTGCGAGGGGTTGAATCCATGAAGGGAGGGGGAGACGGGATAAACAAATAACTGTTTGCTTCCTTTTTTCTCCTCGAAGTTACCACCTTCAGCACCCAGTACCGGTAGCCGCCCACCTCACCCGCAGGCTGTGACCTCGAAGCACCCGGTTGAATCGTGAGGCCTCCCCCCGCTCCTCGCGCATTGCCTTTTCAAGCAACACCAGCTTGGTCTCCGCACTGGCTCGTAGCTCCTGATGGGCATGATGATAAGCGGGCGAGGGGATCGAGAAAGGGACTCGATTGCAAAGGGAAAAATAGAGAACGTGTGTGTGTTCAGAAAACCAGCCGCGGGTTAGGACATACATGGAGTTACTCACGGATACGTACCCCAATTAGCGCAACCACCCCCGCCACCATCACCCCTTCACAACCTACCTCCAGCTGCGCTGGCGGGCACAGCTTGAGGAAGTGCACCCGCTTGACTCGGTAGGCGGTCACATCGGTGGCAGCCCTCACGGTGGCAGTACGGCGGCGCAGCGCTCCAAACACACACAGCTCCTCCACCAGCTGGCCGCACTGGGCGGAGGAGACCTGGGGGAGGTGGGGAGAGGGGGGAGGTGGGGGGGGGGTGTAGAGAAGGGCTTGGATAAGACCAAGTGATAGCGAGGGCAGGAGGGCGGTGGAGGGGTATGCGGTGGAGGTAAGGAAGGATGGGGGGAAGAGGAAAAACCACCCAACTGACTGTGTGATACTAAGGCGTTTCGTTCCGGTCGGGACACTGACCGAGAGGTGTGAGAGGGGAGGTCCGCGGTCCCGATACTGCGGCAGCAGAGGGGAAGTAAGGTGGAGGAGGGGTGGCAGGTGGGCAGGGGGAGGAGGGACAGTGGTAGTGAGGAGCAGGACGGGTTCAAGCGGTGAAGGGGCTGGCAAGGGAAGGGTTCACAGTAATGCTGTTGGAGGCAGCAGAAGAGTTGTTAAGCACTGGCCGTGCATGCCGTCAAGGAGGACAAGGTACCACTCCTTCACGCACTCCTTCCCTGCCCTGCTTCCCCTTCTCAACCAGCCCCTGCCCTTCCCTCCCAAACTTGAACAACAGACAGCAGCTGCACCCCCACAACAGCAATCAGAGCGCAGGGCACCAAACGGCAACAGACAAAATGCAAGGCGGGGCACCTGGTTGGTCCTGCGAATGTCGGTTTCAGGTAGGCGGTTGCTGGAGGGACGCCACTGCGGGTCTATCAGGATGTGGCACCTGGGGGCCGGGGAGGGAGGTGGCGGGGCAGAGGTGGCGGAGAGGCAGGGGGGAGGGAAGTTGGGTGAGTAGAGAGCGGGGTTTGGGTTTGGAAGGGGGGGATGGTGCGTGTGTGCGGAGGTGCGTGGTGGGTCCAAGTGAAGGGGGAAGAGGGGCGCACGGAGCGAGCGGCAGTGGACTGGGGATTGTGGCGAGCTCCCTCTCTACGCCCAATTCGCTGCTCCACCCGCTTCATCTCCCCTAGCATCCCCACTCTCCAATCCCGGTTTCCCCCGCTGCTGCCCACCCCTCCAAACCGCTATCTCAGCTGCATCCCCGCCCCGACCCAATCCCCCTCCCTCCTCCGCCACCCCCCACCCACCCCCCACCCACCCCCCACCCACCCCCCACCCACCCCCCACCCACCCCCCACCCACCCCCGCTGGTTCTTCGTTTTAGCCCGTGCTGTCGTTTCGGTTTCGTCTTTTTGTTTGTTCGTCGGGTGCGGGTTCTGGGATTATTATGGACCGTCGGCGCGGCCGCCGACCCTCGATTCTTCGTCCACACCTTCCCAGCCTCCTTCCATGTTCCACCGACTCCTGGTAAGTACCACTTTTTGGTAAGTGCATTCTGTTCTTTCGGTTAAATTATATCGGGTAAGGTGGGATGGACCGGCTACCATGTTTGCACCCCATGGTGAGGCCTTGTCATACAGCTCGTCAGTTGCTTTGTCAGTGTCTCATCATCATATATATATTTTTTACCCCCCCCACCCCCCACCCCCCCCCCCACCCCCCCCCACCCACCCACCCCCCACCCCCCACCCACCCACCCCCCACCCACCCCCCACCCACCCCCCACCCACCCCCCACCCACCCCCCACCCACCCCCCACCCACCCACCCCCCACCCACCCCCCACCCACCCACCCCCCACCCACCCCCCACCCACCCACCCCCCACCCACCCCCCACCCACCCCCCACCCACCCCCCACCCACCCCCCACCCACCCACCCCCCACCCACCCCCCACCCACCCCCCACCCACCCCCCACCCACCCCCCACCCACCCCCCACCCACCCCCCACCCACCCCCCACCCACCCCCCACCCACCCCCCACCCACCCCCCACCCACCCCCCACCCACCTGCCGCTCAGCACCGCCCACATGCAATCCGCGGGGTCCCCCTGGCGGCACAGCAGCTCCTTGGGACCCGCCACCTGGGCCGGGGGAGGGAGGGGGCAAGGAGGGAGGGGGACACGCACCGGTAGGTTTCCAGTCCCGAACCCCGCGAACCGCAGACACCATCGGACTGTCACATGATGACGGGTGGCTGGCGGGGAGGGTAGAGGAGAGCAGAGGAGGGAGGGAGAGACAGGGGCGAAAGGAATAGACATACAGTGACCTGTCTTGTCTTGCCCCTGCTCTGCTGCTCACCACTTGGACGCACAGGGGTGCCAGCTTCTCTAGCACCTGCCGGGGCAGCTTCCCCAGGCCCGGCAGGGAGGCCAGGAAGGCGACCTGGCAGGGGAGGGAGGAGAGGGAAGGAGGGGGGCCGGGGCAAGAAGGGGGGAAGAGGTTAGGGAAGTAAGTACTAGACTGGCATGGATAGACGGGTAGGGGGGTGGGAGAGAACAGGGAAGAGGTTAGGGAAGATTGTTATGAGAGATTGGAAGGTTGTCTTCGGGGCCACCATCCGGTTAATTCATGTATTAGTAAGCGAGCCGGCCAGTCGCAGCGCCCGCACATGTTGTCGTACAACTGCCGTACAGCTGATGCTCGTACGGCAACTTGTACCTTTCTCGTGAAGGCTGCTCGTACACAGGGCCCTATGGTTTCGTGGAAGAGCGAGCGCCCCAGCACCAGCAGCACCGCCCGGTGGGAGATCACCTGGTGGGTTGGGTACAGGGAGGGAGGGAGGGAGGGAGGGAGGGAGGGAGGGAGGGAGGGAGGGAGGGTTCGGCTGAGCTGCTTGGGCGGGTGCGTGTAAAAGGAGAGATATGACGAGGGAGGGTAGGGAGGGTGCGGCCCGGGAAGAGAGGCGGGGGACAGGATGACCGTAAAAAGGGTGGGGAGTTCCGGGGAGTATCGTGTACGTTACCTAGGGGAGTGTCGCTGCCTCCAGCCCAGTTGCACAACGACCCTGACCCCCGCCCCCCTGCGCTCTGCACGGCCTGGTGCTGCCCTACACCTCCCTGCACCCCCCTGCGTCCCCTTCCCCCCAAACCCCCAGCCCCGCGCCCCGCACCTGAACCCTGCACGGCCAGCGGGTGGCTGCCAGCAGCTCCTCATCGCCCACCATGTCCCCCGGGCCGCAACGCTGCAGCTGGGACTCCTCTGGGGGCGGGGTGGGGGAAAAAAAGAACTTCCAAAGTGTGGTGGGGGGGGGCAAATTATGTGCAAGTGCAACAACGCAGTCCCAATCCCGAATCCCGACTCATGCAGTGAGCGCATTCGGAGACACTTATTCTGGAAACACGCAACTCCGGGAGGTGGGTGGGCGGGGGAGCAGGGACGTCGAGGAAGAATGAGGGGGAAGGCAAGCATGCTGCTGTATGCTGCCGTCACCCGGTAGCTCAAAGCACAACTAGCAAGTCCAGCGAGCGCTAAGCGAGCGAGCCAGCAAGTCCGAATGCTCCCCCGGTTTCCCCTCTTTCCCCGGGGTGGGTCAAGCATCCCAGCACCGCTAGCAGCCTGAGCCCTCATCACCCCTCACCTTCTCGCGGGTCCGTCCCGCCCCCATAGCCCCCGCTGAAGCCGCCGCTGGACCGCCGCCGCTGCGCCGCCGCCACCGCCGCCGCTGCGGCCGCGCTCGCCGAGGCATTGCTCATGTAGTGCGCCAGCGACTTTGAGCCATGCCCCTGACTCAGGTGTGCCCCGTGGCTGTGGCTGTGGCTGAGGTGACTGTGCCCGTGACCATGACCGTGACCATGACCGTGGGTGTGGTGGCCGTGGTAGTAGGGCGAGTCGGTGAGGCACACGGCGCCGTCCAGCACCAGGTGTACGCAGTCGGGCGCGTCGCCCTGCCGGTGCAGCACCTCGCCCCGGGAAACCTGCACGGCAGAGCCCTGAGGAGGGAGAGGAGGGGGAGGAGGGGGAGGAGGAGGAGGGGAAGGTGGGGAAGGAGAGGGCACGGGTGGGTTATGGAGGAGGAGGAGAAGGGAAGGGTTGTGGATGCGTGGAGGGGTGATGTTGTGCTGGGCGGCTTTGCGAGTACGGTGTAGGTGCGAACCAGGGCTCAAGGAAAGAACAAGCTCGTGCACCCACGCCGGCAACAGTTGCAGAGGCCAACTGGTTGGCTCTTTGACTCACCTGCCGGGCCAGAGCTGAGAGCGCACCCTCGCCAGCATCACGCAGCTTGGGGATGTGAGCGAGAAGTCCCGCAATTGCTGCCACCTGGTGTGACGGGGAAGGAAGAGGTTACGCGCGCACAGCGGACGACTTAGCATCGAGTAGGCAAAGAGTAAGGCCGGGGATTTGTCTGCACTGAGGGCAATGTCAGAAACGTCAAGAAGATGCTACCAATTTGGCAAAAATAGTACACTGGGCGGATTCCTCTAAGCTAAGGAAGGCTTAGCTGGCGACATGGGATGCAGCAGAAAAGCACGGAAACGTATGATCGGCGGGACAAAAGCAGTGCTCAGTAATTATTGAGAATGTAAATAAGCTGTTGCTTGTTTCGCATTTGGCTATTGAACTCGGCATCTTGTTGCGACGGACCGCACATGCCACGCGCACCTGCTCGGGCGTGCGAGAGTCTGGGGAAGCCAGCAGCCAAGCCGTCATCTCTGTAAAGGTGGCATTCCTTTTGTAAGCGCCGTCATGAAATGCTGGCGCTTTTTGCGAAGCTGTTTCCGCAATGCCTCCTCTGGCCTCGGCAATCCCGTCATCCGTCATGCCTCCAGATGAAACAACTATAACAATATAGCAAAGTTCTACCAAGCAGCAATCCTTCGAAGGCGCATATTTGGCAAGACTCTTTTGTGGTCTTTCATTTGCGTTGCCAGCGTGAAAATCAGAGACCGTAGACCGATATGCCTTTCTTGTGGGCCTTCCCAAAGAAGTTAGAGTTTGGCGATGGAAGTCGTTAGCTTATGTACTCCAAGCAACGGTCTCGCGATATAGCCCTTGAACTCCTGGCTTTAATCAGGCAATCTGTATAAATCATGCGTAGTAGATGCATTCTGTTTTTCACGAAGTCGCTTCCATTCTTCGCTTCCCCACGTCGCAAGACACTAACTTACCGTATTAAATCCCTTGCCATACTATGAGTTGGTAACCTTTTCTACATTAACAACACATGCACTAAGAACTGACATATCTCCGTTCGTTTGACAGAGCTCTTCTTCCTTCGCTATCAACGTGAATGACGGTTGTCGCCTTGCATATTGCATACCATGCTTAAATGACAGGCATAATCATCCCATAGTATAGAAGATAAATGTTGCGGCCATTGGTCGCTATAACAATTATACGAAGAAAAGGATGAACGGCGCCCGCCATAGCGATCGGTTGACCATCACAAATCTACATTGCAAAGTGCGAAGGCCAAAAGACATAAGCCTCAACTTTCCTGTAGATACGTTATGACACTGAACGGGTTCTCCACAGCTCGCAACGCCTGTCCGACAAATATTTAGGGTGCCGGACATCCATGGCGAGTCGACAACGCTGTGCTTGACATGACCTCCACGCTTCTTATGATACAAGTGACAGCAACATAGTACACTAGGGGCTCTTACCTCTAACGCGTCGAGTATTGCACTATTTCCTGACCGCTTACCTAGGTAGCGTTACTAGCGGCATTCGCCTGAACGCTAGTATCTCGCCGCTGGTATCTGTCAAGTGCAAGCTTAAAAGGAACACTTGTCAGGTAACGTTCTTGGACGTGCGCGGAGAACAACTGGGCTGGGTCATACGTCCGCGCTAACAGTACACCGCTTATGACGTTTTGGGGTCGTTAACATGTGATGTTAACAGTACTGTTACCTGTTATTATTGCACCCCTTGCCGCGCTTATCAAGGTCCATGGACCAGGCATACCTGTTCATTGCACCAATCAGCGTTGCTTGCATGTCTTATCAACATTTCTTATCTCTTCACCACAACACAGCAATTACTTTAATGTCACTCTCCTTCTATCACCGCCAGCGGCGAAGTCGTCCTTTGTTCGCTGCCTTCTGACAAATTCTATCCCATTTCTCCACAGACCCTAGCAGAGCCTGTGCTTTGCGAAGCCGGACATCTATCTAACATATCTACAGTTTGACATTTTACTCCGTCGGCTGAATGACGCGCCGGCGGGAGAGACCCATGGGTTCCGCCATGCCGCTGTCAATTCTTGCCTCACTGGTGGTACTGCAACTCTGTATGACTCCGACGCTTTCCCAGAGCTCCGGATCCGTACTGACACCTATCGTCATGTACAGCGACGCCCTGACTACCGACAGCAGGGATGTTGCACGCAAGTCAGCTCTGGCGAACAGCGTAAAGGTTAGTAACAGCTGCCACTGTGGCCGTTGTAGTGGTTATGGGGTTTGCTTCCGGTCTTCAGCATACCCAGCATAGCGTGTCTACATGCATTTCTTTTGGATAGGGAAGCCTAACGGATATGCGGTTATGGCGTCAGGGCTGCTTGGAAATCCTGGTCGCTCCTGCTTGGTACTCTTTCACCTTGTACGATATATCCCTTGTACGACAGAGCGTGGGAGCTTCGTACGCTCCGAAGATTGTGACCGGCCGACCGGCTTCAGTTTCAATTGACGCCCGGACGCACATCATGATGACCAACACGCTTCAAACAATGTCAGAGGTGAGGGAAGCATACCCCCAAGGTGCTTGCAAGTGTGTTTAGGCTGAAGAGTGATTGGTTTTTCTCTGAAGAGTGATTGGGTATTCTCTGCAACGCCCCTGCCCTTTCCATCCACCCGCCCTGACCACCGCAGCTAGCAACACTGGTGTCCTAATGCTAGCACCACCGTACCGCTTATTACTAGCGTATTGCTTCAAACCATGCTCACAATGGAATTGTTCCTTGCCCGCTGCTGCCGCCGGTGTGTCTTCGCCACTGCTGCTGCTGCTACCGCTTCAGGAGACCCTCAGCCTGCTTGTGAGCACCATCGACGCGCCTGGCTGCATGCTGGTGCTGGCGGCCACTCCCGACACCGCGCCCAACTACAACCTCCTGCTGGCGCCCTTCCTGGGACAGTCGCTCGCCTGCTCCTGGGTGAGTGGACGGACCCGTGGGTCGCATCTCCTGAACCGGCTATTTCGCCTGGCTTACCTTAAGATTACGGTAGTAGGCGTGTGACATAAGCTGCCCACCTGCGGCGCTGTAAGCAATCAACCATCATAGGCATCGCGAGGACACGTTGCATGGACATAACACGGCAAGTGTCAGGCACAGTTGCTGCGTCACGCGCATTCTCGTCCGTCTCCCGATGCCCGCAACCGCACTTCAATACCGTAACTCACCCCAAACAACCCCCGCATGCATGCATGCTACCTGCTATCTCGCCGTACTGCGAGCGTTACCGCCTCTTACCGCCTCACCGCTTTTCCGTCCCTCACAGCGAGACCTTGACCGAGCCGCCAACGCAGCCTACTCGTACCCCGGCATGGCGCCCGCCTTGTATGCCGGTGGCAGCCCCAAGGTGCAGACCTTTGACTGTAACGAGGGTGAGCAACGGGAGGTGGGAAGGAGGAGCGAATAGGGTGGTGGGAGGATGGGGACGTGGCAGCGGGTGAGGGACGGAGTGCCCGGTGAGATCGTGGCTGGGCACGCTACATGCATTGCTGCCCTGCTGCATGCGTGTACTGCGCTGCGCCCCGCCAACCCAGGAATATCTTGTCAGAACTTGATGACATAACGTTTTACAATGCACGCGTGTTATGAATGGCAGGTGCCCAGTGGTTCCCCACAAGCGATGGAAGCAGCCCGGTGTACTACTTCACCACGCCAAACGGTGGCTACATTAAGCTTCTGGGTTTCGACTGGGGAAGTAAGTGGCACACAGTTCAGTGATCAGTGTGGCAGCCGCTGTAGCAAGGCTACAATATAATTCCTAAAGGGAAACCTCACGACATCTCGAGAGGCCTTTTCGGACCGTTGTTACTGCCGCTATCTTGGTGCCGTCATTGGTAACCGCCAGGCTAGTATCATGCCTTGGTAAAGGTGTAGCTTGCTTTCATCCCCACCCCAACGACTTTGCTCCCGCCTTCTCCCCCAGCTGCAAGCCGCGTGAGCGACTGGTCTACGGTCCTGCTCTTCGTGCCTCCCTCACCGCCGCCTCCGTCGGCACCGCCGCCGTCGCCGTCGCCACCGCCGCCGTCACCGCCGCCACCATCGCCACCGCCGCCGTCACCACCGCCCCCGCCGCCACCATCGCCACCGCCGCCGCCACCACCGCCGCCGCCGCCACCACCGCCGTCACCTCCGCCGCCGTCACCGCCGTCGCCGCCGCCAGATATGCCGTCCTCACCGCCTCCGTCTCCCGAGCCCCTCCCGCCCAGTCCCCCATCTGAGCCCGGTGAGCGCTGCTGCTGCCACTTTGGTAACTTTGGGCGCTTGGTCATGCCTACGTAGTAGTAACGAAAAACCATTAAATTAAACATTTGTGGACGTCGTGTGTGTGTGTGTGTGTATTAAGAAAACAGGCCGCGAGTCGTGTGTGTGCATGTCCTCATCTCAACTTGACACTCGTACGTTTCCGGTTGCACTTGCGCCCTGATCGCTCCTCCACTCCCATTCTTACCTCCATCCAACCCCCCCATCCACCACGCACCCTCCCAACCCCCTACCGCTAACCGTGTAAAACCGTACTGCAGCCCCCGAGGCCCAGCTCGTCCTCATTACGGACGAGGGCGACGCGTCCGACTCCGCTCGCAAGGCCTCCCTGCGGTCCGCCCTGCAGCAGCTGCTGGGGCAGGCGGGTGTGGTGGTGAAGAGCGCCCCGGGGTGGGCGCCCATGCAGGTGGTGTACGACAACACGTTCGCCAACCTGCGCAGCGAGCAGCAGGAGGTGCGTGGGGGGTCGTCGCGGGTGCTGCTGCTGCGTGCAGAGGGATGGATGGGGTGGATGACTGTACATTCCGTACCCCGTTAGGGGAGATGGAGCGGTATGGAGTGCTTACGGCACCTTAACATAACGTGGCACTTTTACCATGGCTGCTTGTAGGACCTGGTCAGGAGGGTCAAGCTGGGCAGGACCACGCTAGCGCTCATCGTGACCTCCGACGACAGCGCTCCCAACCTGGCGGAGATGCTGGCCTCGCTGGCGGGGCAGGACGCCACATGCAGCAAGGTGGGGACGCCTTGTTGTGAATGACTACCGCCGCCCTTGGGCTTTTGGTTGGTAGGATGTAGGAAAAAAGCCTAAGCGAGCACCGTGTGGTGCAACGGCACGGAGGCAGAAGAGGGCACATTAGGTACGTACGACAGTACGAGTCGTCCGCCACTGCTTAGGAGTGAGCGATCAGCGGGCCCCTTGCTGACACGCATGTGCTGAACACCCCCGCTACCTTGTCCCCCACCACCACCCCACCGGCCCGCAGCGCCGCATGTCTGCTGGCGAGCCCCTCACCGCGGCCGCCGGCTCCCAGTACTCGGGGCTGCTGGGGGTGCCGCAGTACGGCAGCGAGATGGCGGTGCGTGGGAGATGGGGGGGTGGGGCGGGGGAGGTGGGGGAGCGGGGGGGCGGGGGTGGTTTGTTGTGTAGGATGGGGTTAAACGGTGGTCCGGAATCGTGGGAGGGACCCGGGACTTTAGAGCTGATGCTACGCTAGGAGATGATGCAGCTACGGTAGGCCGACGGGTAATCTGTCTTCAGGTCGGATCTGCCTCCTGGTGCATGGTACGCACATACACCGTAACAAGCAACGTCGCATGCCACAGCATGTCAGCATGTCATAGCATGTCACAGCGTATCACAGCGTATCGCAGCATGTCACAGCGGAAAATACAGCCACGTAACGCCCTCCCGTCCTCCGCAGCCTGCCGACAGCAGTGTGGCCCTGGCCTGCTCGCTGGGCCGGCGGCTGGTGGGCGTTGATGTGGACGACAACGAGGGCCTGGTCTGGGAGATCAGCCTGGGGGCTGGCATCCTGCGTCTGGTAGGGCTTGGTCGGGTTGTGTGGGGCCGCGCATACATACCTTGGGAGCACATACTTGGTTGTCAAAGTACCGATGGTGTGGTTCGACTATCCGCAGCACCGGTATAATTCATAACAGTAACCCCACGGTTCCGCTCTCTGCACACGACCGCGTTCCATTCTTCTCGTACGCCTGCGGCCTTCATCGCACACCTTCCAAGTATCCTGTTCGCCACATGTGTATCCGTACTCCCCCTTCTGCCTGCAGATCGGTTACGACTTCTCGTCGGGCGGCTTTACAGCAGACATGCAGCACAAGGTCACCTTTGCGCAGCGCCTGCCCTGCACTGCCTCCCTGGCCGCAGCCTACCCCACCTCCCTGCTGCCGCCACCGGCGCCAGTGGATGCTTCCGGCCCCCCAAGGTAAGAAACAACAGGCCGCTATCACCCTTCTTTCTGTTTCACCCGCCGCTTTCCGATCCGCCTCGCTCCACCGCTATGTTGTCGCGCCGCCCCCGCAGGCCCTCTCGGCCCCCGCCCGCCAGCCCCCTGCCGCTGTACTCCGGCTCCCCACCCGACTACATTCAGCTCTCCGACTTCGAACTGCAGCCGGACGCTGACGAAAAGGCGAAGCTGAAGGTGGGCCAGCAACTCAGCATAAGAAAACGTGCCCGGCTGTGCGGTTTGCGTGTGCTTGGGCCCTCCTTTAGCGTGCTGGAGGAAATATGTTAGCAATTGCTCCTGGTCAGCTGGTGTGTTTGGCAGGCGGAAGACGTTGTTAGGACGCGCGTGCCCCCTCATGTGCCCCTTGTTTTTCGCCCTCCTTCCCCGCTTCATCATCCGCTTTCTCTTTCTTTTCTTTCCCCCGTGCGTGCGTCTCTCCCTCTCGGCTGCCCTCCCCCCTTCATCCCCCTCCCTAGGACGGCATGGACGGTCTGGGTACGGCAGCCATCTGGCCGTACGGCGGGGTGCAAGGAGCCCGTGTGCACGTGGGTTTCGACACCACCCTGGTGCGACTGAGCCCGCTGGCGCTGGAATCCGTGACGTCCCTGGTTCGATCCCAGCAGACGGTGCTGTCCGTCGTGCTCACCTCGGCAGTACCGGACGCAAAGCTGCTGCCGCTGCTGAAGAAGATTACGGGAGCGGAGGGCCTGCAGTGCGCGACGGGCACTGTTGCGGAGACCACCCGTATCAACCGCATCGTGGAGATCCTGGGAGACCTGCGATCGGACGGCTGGCGCGCGCAGCCCGTCACTCGCTACGTCAGGTACGACTTCCCAACTGTACAACTGTACGGAGAGACGCCTTCCCTCTTGTTTGCTGGGAGGGGAAAGCAACCGCATCTAAACCGCACCTACCTTACCCGGCTTATGTCCATGTACGTGCGCATGCACGCAGGTGCAACATGGGCGTCGCAATCTACTCGGTCAACACGGACAACAAGGAGGCCGTCGTACATGAGCTCAGCACCCTTGGTAAGCAAGGCAGGGAGGGCGGTACGACACCCTGTGTGGTTCTTGGGGGCTCGGCGGAAAGCGCGACCCCGTCGTCGTGCTCATCAGGAATTGCTGCCGCCCATGTTTTTACCCGTAAACTTGCTCTCTGCTACCAGAGCGAACCAACTAACCTACATCAACCTACAACTGCCAACCACAACTCCCCCCAACCACCCAGGCGGTGGTATCGTCCGCCTGATCGGTTACAACTTTGCTTCCGGCGGCCGAGGTGACAACCGCAAGTCGGTTACCTCCCTCACCGTCTACCCCGGACCCCTCGTCATCCAGCCCTCCCTAGACGAAGCACCCCCGCTGCCTCCCAGCCCAGCCATCAACCCCCCGCCGCCGTCCCCAGGCCCTCCCAACCCCTCGCCCCCCGTGCCTCCACCCCAGCCTCCCCCCGCACCCGCCACCCCCACCCTGCCACCCTCCGAACCCCTGCCACCCTCCTCACCACCTCTCAGCCCGGCGCACCCCCGTGCTCCCAACAGCCCCGGAGCTCTCCTGCCGCCGCGCCCCATCCGCCCGCCGCCCCCGCCGCTGGGCCCCTACTATGACGTCATCTTCTTGGCGGACGCCACCGTGCCCTCCTCCGCCCTAGACGCCAGCCGCAAGTCCAAATTCATGGTGGGCGTGAAGACGCTGAAGGGTATCACGGAGGCCAAGCAGACGGTGCTGGGCAACGCGCCTGTGCATGTGGTGCGTGGGTTGGGGTGGGGTGGTGGTAGGATGGGGTGGGTTGGGATGGGATGGCAAAAGCTGTTTTTTGTGTGGACATAGCTGGGAGAGCCTGTAGGTGGCATGCGACAAGCTACGGTACATCGACAATGGCTTTTACCCAGATGTTTCTCGTTTGCGCCATCGGTACGGCAGGTGTACGACAACACCTACCTGGCGATGAGCCCCGAGTTGAAGGAGGACCTGCTGACCCGGGTGCTGCTGCGACAGACGCTCCTCACCATCATCGTCACACCGCAGGTGGGGGCGGATGCAGGGTTCAGGGTTTTGGGGGATTTATTTCAAGCTGGGGCTGAGTTTGAGGTTGAGGTTGAGTCTCCCACCCGCCTTCACTCCCATCCCCGCGCCGATCCTCCTATTTACTTTAATAAACAACATCATGGTTATTCTTCCCCTCCCTCTCTCCGCCTCTCCCTCCCGGCAGACCTCCGCCACACACATCGCCAACATCGTCAGCACCGCCACCGGCCGCACCGCCACCACCTGCACCAAGTCCGCAGTCAGCACCGGCGCGCGCATCGAGCTCGGCCCCGCCGCCCTGCGCGACGTGGTGGGCCCCTGGAAGGCCGCCAACGGCACCACCACGGTGTCCTGCAGCGGCGCCACGCCGCTCTACCTCACCGCCGCTGGGAGGCCCGTGGTGGAGGAGTTCCTCACGCCGGGTGAGGGGGGGGGGTCAGAGACCATACCGGGCGGGGGGAGGAAGGAGTGGGCCGCGTCGCGCGGGGGCCTCTTGCTGGGCTGCTGCTGGGTTGCCGCGTGCATGCATTCCGGGGGACTGGACTTGTTATGCTGGTTGAGTGGGATGTCTGTCGGTATAAGTTTTTCCTAATGAAATGACACATGTTGCAAACCTCCAACCTCGAACTCATTAAAACCACCCCGCCCTACCCAACCCATCCACTCATGCACCCCCCCGCAGGCGGTGGCACAGTCCGCCTGCTCGGCTACGATGCGTCCGCTGGCGCACGCGGCGCCGGCCGCCTCACCATCACCAAGCTAGCTGTCACGCCGCAGCGCCTCACGGCCATTCCCTCGCCGCCGCCGCCGTCACCGCCGCCGCCGCCACCGCTAAACCCACCGGCGCCGTCACCGCCGCCACCAATGAACCCGCTGGCGCCGTCGCCGCCGCCACCGCCGCTATACCCGCTGGGGCCGTCAACGCCGCCGCCACCGCCGCTATACCCGCTGGGGCCGTCAACGCCGCCGTCTCTGCCGCATGCGCCGCTCTCGCCGCCCCAGCCGCCATTGCCCAGCCCGCCTAGCCCGCCTGAGAAGGTGTGCCGGCTGGTGCCGAGTGCTGCTGACGAGCTGTTTCCGCATAGGACTAAAAGAACAAAATGCACCCTGTGTGCAGCTGTTGTAACTCTGTCGGAGCTTACTTCCTTGTTTGTGCGCTTGGGCTTTGCCACCGCTTCTCTCCCGCATCGCTTCTCCTTACAATCACCCATTTACGCACCCTCACTCATCCCACTCATCCCGCTTCTCTCTCCGCCCCATGCCCCACCTCTGCCCCAGCCTACGGAGCCCTCGCCGCCCTCCTCGCCCTCCTCGCCCGCCCCGCCCTCGCCTCCCTCACCTCCGCATGCGCCGCCTCCCCACCAGCCCAGCACGCCGCCCTCGCCGCCGCCACTGCCGCCCTACCCGCCCTCGCTGGAGGGTGTGCTGGTGACGGTCATCACGGACCCGCCGGGTGTGGCTCAGGGCATTGACCTGGCTCGCAAGAAGCTGCTGCTCAGCGGTACGTGTGGGTGCGTGTTAAGAAAACTGGCCACAAGGAGGAACGTGCTGCGATTGCCGGAAGATTGGAGTGCGTGGACGTGTCATAGGGGTCCATTACCCAGCTGTGTTTCTTTGTATACGGTTGGGGTTTCTGCCTTGTCGGCTGTCTAGCAGCAGACATCCGGCAGCAGCAGCCAACCAAGACCCGCAATCCCAACCAACCGCCCCTCTCCCCTTGTCTCCCACTCCCTTGCACCCCCACCCCTTCCTCGACGACAACGACATCGTACATACACGCCGTACATACAAACACACGCAGCACTGGAGGCCAAGCTCACACCCAGCGCCGTGGCAACCCGGGTGCTGCAGTACTACCCGGGAGTTACCTCGACCGTCGTGTACGACAACACGTTCAGCAGGACGGCATTCAAGACCTCGGACAAGGCTGACCTCGCGGCGGCGGTAAGCAGCAGGGGCTTTCACTCGATGTGTATTTGACTGCAAATTTGCTGGTTTTGCCTGTAAGTATGTAAGCAGGGCAGTAAATGTGGAGATCACGCAATATCCTGCATGTCACTGGCAGGCCCTTCGGGTGCTTCCGACCAACACAGTGCAGCGGGGGGGCGGGCGGTCTCCATTGGGCCTGACACGGCAGCTCACCAGGCCATCAAACACCTGACATGAAGGATCTGTTCACATCTACCTGCCCCGGCCCCTACCTACCTACCTACCTACCTACCTCCCCCCCTGCCCGGGCCGCAGGTGGACAGTGGTGAGACGGTGCTGACGGTGATGCTCACCCCCAGCTCCGCCACCCCGGTGGGGGTGCTCAACAACATCATCAAGACCATTGCGGGCTACGACGCCTCCTGCACCAAGGTACGCGTGTGCGGGTTTTATTGGTACGGCAGCAGCGGATCTGTTTGTAGGTACGGCAGCAGCGGATTTGTTTGTAGGTACGGCAGCAGCGGATCTGTTTGTAGGTACGGCGGGTGTGTATTAGCACGTGTTCAGGACGTACGTGCGGGTAGACCCGCGAGATACAGCAAATAAGGCGAAGTAGAGGAGAATGCAGTTTACGCGTCCCATCTTCACAAGCTCGCCTACACCCGCCTGCGAGCGAATCCAATGCACTAACCCCCACGAATCCGATCTACCGCCTCCCCTCCCGCCCACATCCCCTCCCCCCCCCAACCCCCCTCCAGACGAGCACCGTGGTCGGCTCCACGGCCTCCATCACCCTCTCCAAGGCCAACCATGACGCCGGTGCCGCCGGGCTGCCCGCCAAGCTGAGCAACGGCGCCAACGGTCTGTCGTTCAGCTGCTCTGGCATACCCGCGGGCTCCTTCTACCCCATCTACGTCACACCCACAAGCGCGTGAGTGCGGTGTGAGATCCCCCGGTGGGCCCACCGGCGCATTAACTCACGACGTGTACGTACCTCTCTTTCCTCTGTAGGTTATTGCCCCGTCCCTTCCCTTCTCGCCCACTCTATCGGCCTCATCCAGTTTTATTTCCTTTTTGACCCCCCCCCCCTCCCCTACCTCTCCCCCCCACCTCACCCCCCCTCTCCCCCACCTCACCCCCACCTCACCCCCACCTCACCCCCCACCTCACCTCCCCCTCTCCCCCACCTCACCCCCACCTCACCCCCCACCTCACCCCCACCTCCCCCCTACCTCTCCCCCATCTCTCCCCTACCTCTCCCCCACCTCACCCCCATATCTCCCTTCCCCTCCCGCAGCACCGCCATCGCGGAAGTCATCACGCCCAACTTCGGCGTCCTGCGCATTGTGGGATTTGACTTCAACAAAACCAGCGTGCCTAATGACTGGGCTGCCGTACTGTCGTACAACTTCAGGATTGCAACGGTGCCTTAACCACTGGCAAGAGCGCCGCAATGCTACGTAACCGTTACCGTTACAACTGTGTATGAACCGGTGCCACGCGACCTACCAAAGCGCCACCCGGGTGGTAACGACCTGGCTGTAGATGGTAAAGAAGAATGTATGCGGGTGTTACACGCATCCGCCCTGCTGAACCTGGTCCAATGGCCAGGGCTTTCATTTCAAGCGGTGTGTATCCAGCATTTGTTTGACGACCCACGGGTCACCACCGACCCCATGGCCCGTGACATGATGCAAGCTTTGCGCCTCAACGTGGTGAGAGCTGTCTACCAGCAGTTGTACGCCCCGCCGTACGTAAAGCGGGTTGCTTGGCTGCAGGGTTTCCATGTGCAGGGTGGTGCCCAATACATGGAAACTGCCGCCATGCATGTTGGTTGTTGGCTGCCGGGGTCACCTCTTAAGGGTGTGTGTGGGTGTCCTGGGTGCTGATTTGTGGGTTAACACAACTGGCCGCGAGTCATGGCTTATTATGTGTTGCGGCATATCGTTATTTTGCAGGTGTTTGCTGGCTAAGGCCTGTTCCACCTATTAGTGTATACTTGACGCGGTTCCAACTATGATACGTACAAGCCAGGAGCGTCCTTCTGACCGTCCATACTTTTGCAGTTCTTAAAGCTCCTTTCGATGCAAAGAAGGCAGGAACGAAGAGGATCGAAGTGGACCCTTTTGGTACGGGGAGGAGGAGGCAGGGTTGAGGAGTCATGCAGAAGGGAACGCGGGGAACGCATGCCAGCCCAAAATCCGAAAATGTTACCTACGGTTCGATCGGGGTCATGGCACGAGTTGGGGGAAGGTGTTTGGGCGTTTTTCCTGAGCTGGGCTAAAACATTAGGTTATCCATGCCGCCATGCATATCGCCCAACTGCTCCATGGGGGAGCTGACGGCAACCGAGCGCCCCTCATTTTGACGTCTTACTAGGGGGCCCGTGCTGCCATGTTTTATGTTTACTTTTCGTGCGTGACTCTGACTGGACGCGTGCCAATTGGGTGTACGGAACGACGAAGGGAGACTGATGACGATGCGTGTTTTGTTCTGTGTGTGACTCCTTTGGACATTTACCAAAACAACAGCGCCGCGCTCGCTCCTGGGACATTGATGGTGACCGTGTGTATCCCTGTGTGTTGTGTATCCCTACCTGCGTGCGTGCGGGGAATCAATGCAATGCACGTCACGAACAAAGCAAAGGAGTGATGGCCCTGATGGGGCTAGCTGGATGGTCTCTTACAATCTTACCTCCTAATGTGCGCCTGTGTGCGCGTGTGTTCATCAAGTAAGGGGGGTATAGTGTTAAGGGGATCGCTCTGGCAAAGTGTTTGTTGTGGTGTTTGGTAGATTTCGTTGACACGTGTTGCGGCTTTCCTAAATTTTCATGTTGACAAGTGCGAACGGAAGTCCTTACCCACGGCAACTGCTGTAACACGCAGCAAGCAACCAAAGCATCAGCTCCCTTGTGCTCGCTTGGCAGCTGCACGTACGGCAGCTGCACGGCAGCTGCATGCATGCATGCGAGGGGTGCGAGGGGCGCCACACACAACCACCTGCATGACCTGCCACGCCTGCAGGCGCAGTACGATACCTATAATGCCTGGCTGCACGGCTCCTTAACGCGCCCATCTTGCATCAACGTGCGACGGGTTGCCTGATGAGGCATGTATGCGTTACAGGCGGGGCCGCTGGCCAGCAGGAATAGCAGGGCAGCTTGCGGGTGGCTGACAAAAGCAGGGCAGCTGGGAAGCCGCTGCAACGTGTTTCTTGGAAGGCCAGCGGGACTAGGACTGAGCACAACATCTGCATTGCAACGAAGCTTCATGTCATCTCCATTTGACGTGGAACGGAGGGTAGGTGCGATGGTGTAGCTGTACGACTGCCTTAGGTAATAGAGCCCGTGCCCGTACAAGCGGCAGTTCTCTTAAGACGATCGGCCTTGTCTCTCCATATATGGCTTTACATATGCACAGCTTGTATGTAACTATAAATAGAGGCTATTAACATGGTTGGCTTCTCAAATGGACCCACAATGGAGACTGCTGCATCGTCGCGAAGAGAAGGACATCGGGAACACGATACGTCGGGTAATCCGACAACACAAGTACCCTGGCATTCCCAAGGGTAGGACACATATGTTTCATTCGGTTTGTCGCGCCTTAAGAAACCGGTAATAACTTTCGCCACATTCGCATGCAGGTGCTCGTTTCCCTACTTTGCCTCCTAGGCTACCACAAATGTCCGAGGAGGCTAATTCTGCATACTATGTATGCATTGAAGAGCTAAAGTTCTACCTTCGCCTGCTGCGGTGTTGCGATGTTGCCGATGGCACAGCCAATGCTGCAGCCTATAGCCACTCGCACGACCAATTACCAACAGAGCAGCCGCGCATCGAAATCAGCCCAGTTGCATCTGAAGATGGTGCGGCGTTCCAGCGGCAGTGTATGTTTGCTGGACAAGGGCAATATGGAAATGCCATGGCGGACGCGGTAGCAGTTGAAGGGCACCTACGCGCGATTTGGGAGAGCATAGAGCGCCTTAGAGGGACCCTTTCAAGCTAATTACATTTTCTGAATTGCTCTGCTGTCAGGAGTCGGTCAAACTCCACTCCGGTGTGTCGTTTCGTGGGGGAGGTTCTAAGATTGATAGCCCGGAGTGCCAAGATGGATAGCCGGGAGAGCGAGGCTATACTTCTAACATTCGCCTGAAACATCTCTACAGTCAGTGACTAGCCTACAGCTGTTTCCAACAGAGTACTGTCTAGCTGTGAAGCGTGTGAGCTGATACCGGCAGTTGATGTGAGTTCCCCCTAGACGTATAAAGAGGGATGCTAGGACTCTTGACGGGATGGCCTAATTTGGACAATACCCGGACGGCAGAGCACGCTAGCCGCATTGCAGGCATTGCGATTGCTTTCGCCAATTCCCGAGTATGTAAACATGTATCCGTCCCTCAACTCGAGCTCTCAGCCCGCCAAGCTATTTCACACATCCCAGCAGCATGACCAAGCCGTTGTTCGCTTCTGCTGCTCCTCCGAAACCCGCCTCGCCAACAACCCTCCATCCACCCCACCCCCCTCTCACACGCCCCCCGCGGCACGCGCATGGTCCCCCCCCACCATCTCATAGTCATTCATCACAATGCCGCTTGGGAATGCTGATGACGTCAGCAGCCGCAGTCGCCGTACCTCGCCCCCACCGCCACCAACCTCCCCCTGATGATGCGCAGCCCCCCCTCCTCCGCCACTGCCGCCCCCTCCTCCTCCCTCCGCTCCTCCTGCTACCCCTCCTCCTCCTCCCGCTCCTCCTGCCACCCTCCCAAACAGCGGCACCCCGCCCCCCAGCACCACCGGTACGACAGCAACCACCAGGCGGTTGATGCAGTTGCCGTGCAGCAGTTGACCGGCCAGGTCACCGCCGCCAACCACCCAGATTCCCCCGCCGCCGTTGTTGTTGTTGTCGCTGCTAGCGCATGATGATGCTGCTGTTGCCGCTGCTGCCGCTGCTGCTGCACACCGGAACATGTACTTTGCGTTAAGAAGGAACGTCCATAGCGGCCGGAAGTTACAAGCACAGGACATGGTGCATGGATGGGGCCCGAGTCACGACGAATGAAAGAGCAGACCAGGTGGCAGTGGCTTAGGGCCTAGTGCTCGCTCATCCCCGCCTAGACTGCTGCTTGTGTTGCTACAGCCCCCCTCTACTTCATGACTGGGCCCGATAGGAACGCACCTGCTGTTGCTGTCGGAGCTTCGGCCTCTGCTGCCTCTGCGCCCGATCCGCCCGGACCGCCTGCTCCCGCTGCTGTTGCTGCTGCCGCCGCACCGCTGCCCCTGAGCGCCTGCAGCACCTCCAGCGGGTCCGCATCCGTGAACTCCACTTGCGGCCCCCTGTTGCCAGGGGCAGCCCCCTCCCGCCGACCACCTGCCTCATCACACCCGCCAGTCGCAATTGCAGTCGCTGCCGGGCCTGACTCCGCAGCCGCCGCAGCCGCAGCAGCCGCAGGAGTGGCGGCCGATTCAGCAGCAGCAGCAAGGACGGCAGCAGCCGGGCTGCGTGTGAAAACCACCGCACGTTAGCCCCGGTACGGCCACCGACCTGCGCCCTGCCGTACAACCGCCTCGTACGTCTTTCTGCCCATGACAACCGTACTAACGGAATCCAAAAAGGCCGTATAACCGTACGGATCTTCGTTTGGGCCTTTGGGCTCAAATTCTAGCAGCCAGTCTATGGATCCATCGTACCGAGCAATGAAGCCGTCTAGGGAGGCTGCCACGTAGTAGGTTACGACCGGTGCCTGCTGCTGTCTGACCCACTGCGGCGGTACCTGCTGCTGCTGCTGCTGCTGTGTTGTGACAGGGTCTGCTACTGCGGAATCGGATGCAGCTGAAGAGCTGATGAGGCCGGCAGTGGGGGTGCTACAGCTAGGGGCACTGCTTGCGTTGCTCATGCCGCTGGCAGGCAATTGGGAATTAGATTAGATGAAGTGAAAGTGGCGGCAGTGGTGCTGGCAGTTAGAAATGGTGGATACGTTTGGTCAGGCCTTGTCGCTAGCCCGCTGGCAGCTGGTTGCGTATGTGGTTCGGAGGGTTGCGAGAGGTTGGCCTGCGTTCGCCGGGATGCTGCGCTGCTCGCAACGCCGCCCGAAAAGAAAGCAGAATAACAGCTTGCAACTGCAGACACACCTGGGGATCTCGATCCACACACTCCAAGGCCAAGGAATTGATGAACGGGGACGCGCGATGAGATGCCAACCCACGGCAGCGGCACTTTGGACATCGGATATGAGATCAACATCCAATGGGGTCGTACTGGGTTGTTGATTACACACACGTGTGCTGTACGACAGCGCGCGCCGCCATACACCCCCCCCCACACACACACACGCTGTCAGAAGGGCATACCACGATACCAAACATCTTGCTCCCGTTTCAAACCCGCTGTTAACCCTCTCTCAAGATGGCCTAGATGCTTCCTTCCTTCCCATCAGTTCCACCCATTAGCGCCCCCTCCTAACTGAACGACACAACCCCCAGCGTGCGGTGTTGCGTGCGAGATGCATGCAACCCCCAAAAAGGCCCAATGCCTGCACCCCGCCACACCATCCCACAACTCCAAGCACACGTCACACCCCCCTCCGCGCTCCCGCACCCCGGCAGGACCGCCCACACGCGTCTCCCATCTTCAGGATGGGGGCCCAAAAAGCACATTGCAACGCGTCTGTAATCGATAGCCCTCTTCAACCATTCAGGTTACCACATTCCCTAGAATCCAAATCCACCCAATCATCAACGAGTCCCGATCCGTGAGGAGAGCCCTCCCTGGTGGCGGGTGGCGTGCAGGTGGCCTAGTGACCCATGGGTCGGACTGGTCGCAGCTCGGTCCGTAGAGTCCGCGACGGCTATGCGTAGCGGCGCATTGCATGCGGCTGCAATGCACGTCACATTCAGGTAGCGGTGTGTCCGAACGAAAGGGGGAACCCAACCACTACCTCGTGCACGCCGCCCCACGCCACCATACGCCACCCCACGTGCGGTCCCACACGAGGGCGCTGGAGGCCCCCACGCAGCAGCCTCACACACACCGCCGCATGCCGGCAGTCGCTGCAGCACACACACCGCCGCATGCACGCCGCCAAGCACCCGTCCGCTTTCGGCTCAGCAGCACTCCCAATCTGCACTCCCACCCGCAACACCCGCCTCCCTCACTACAGGGTGGACACGTCAGCAGCCGCAAGACAGCAAACAAGGCAGCAAGCCGAGGGGCTGACGTCCGAGGGGGGAAATTATATAATAAATGCAAACGACTGCAAGGCATGCGAAGATGCGATCAATTCCCTAGCGCCGCCGCGACACTACGTAGTACGCCAAAGCGGAAGAAAGACACCCACCACTGGCACGACACCGCTGGCACCACTGCCTGCACCCATCATGTGACGGGCAACGCGGAAGGGCAACACCCTGCCTGCGCCAGTCGCCGCCCCTTTCCTCTTGCAACACGAGCCAGTCGCTAGCACCCCACACCCCCTCCCCCGAGTGATTCCGAGGAGCACTTCGCCCTCCTGCTCCCTCCTGTTCCTACATTCCTCCTTTCCTCCCTGGAGCACCTCCTCCGTCTCCCTCCCTCCCCCGCCCGCCCGCCCCAGCCCCCCTCCCCGGGGCCGCCTGCCCTCTTCTCTCACACCACACACAGCTTTTCCGATGCCGCACCTCACCAACCGGCAGCTGCGGCCCTTCCTCCCGCTTCCTCCCGCTGCCAGCAGGTACCCGCTGCTGCTGCCTCGCCCTCGCCCTCGCCCCCTCCCTCTTCCTCGCCCTCCCCCTCCCCCCCTCCCTCTTACTGCCAGTACATGTCCTGCGCGAAGGCGGGTCCCGTGCGCGGGATCTTCCACCTGGGGGGGGGGAGGGGCGGAGGGGGGCGGAGGGGCGGAGGGGGGGCACAGGGGGCGGACACAGGGGGGCGGGGGCAGGCGGTGAGGGGAGGGAAGGATTGGGCGGTTGAAGAGGGGCGGAGGAGCTGCGGCTTATAGGAGCTGCGGGGGTCGGTGAGGGTCAGGACAGACGTGCCCCCTCCCACCGCCACACTCCCTCCCTGGCTCGCCCCATCGTCCCTCCCTATCCGCCCGGCGGCCCCTCTGCTTCCTTCCCCCCCCCTCCCCCCCTCCCCTGCCTGCCCTCCTCCTTGCGCCCCATCCATGTTGCCTTCCCTCATCCAGCCAGGATGCAACTCTGGGTGCAGCCCAGACCGTGTCACAGGGTTCGCTTTTGGTGGTGTCACAGGGTTCGCTTTCAGGGTTCGCTCCCTCCCTCCTTGCCCCCTGTGATTCCCCAGCCAGCTACTCCCAGCCCTTGTCCTCCCAGCAGACCCCTTTGTTTCCCAATTCTCACCGCTTCCAGTGCAGGTTGTCCCACCACATGCGCTCCCAGCTGTCGTTCACCATGCGGGGGCCGCCACCCAGCTGGGAGGAGGGAGGGCGGAGGGAGAGAGGAGGGAGGAGGAGGGGGACGTTAGGGCGTGTGGTGGGCATGCGAGGGGGAGTGTAGTGTTAGGGAGGGAGGTGGGCTTTGAGCGGTTTGGACGGATTCCGGCAGCAGACATCCCATGCGGGCAACGGGGCGGCAGCAGTACGACAGGACGAGGCAAGCGACCCACCCACCAGCCACATGTGGGGCTTCTTGCCCTGCAGCGCCTCTCGCCGCATGCCCTGCTCGTTACAGCAGGAGGCGATGTAGTCCGGGCTGCGCGGGAGGGTGTTTGAATGTTTCTGAGGTCAGCGCTCCCGGGCAGCCAAGAGGCAGCGTGCACCGCAAGACCTCTAGTTACGAGCTTGCATACGACTTGGGTGCGCGATTAACTTACTCCCATTTACGGACGTGTAGTTCGCTGCCGAAGAGCTTGCCAGGGAACATATGCGCAAGCAGAACCGTCTGCGCAAAAGCCGCCACGAAAATGAATTCGCGTCGGGATAGACGACCATAATAAGGGCATCGGATGGTGCCAATTGTGAATTAATGACTACAAGCAAAGTGTTGGGCGCAGCGATGACAAGATCCAGCAAGCGAGACGCTTACATTCGTCGCCAGGAAGAATGCGCCGAAGACCTCCGCGCTTGCGTGCGGAATTGACGCAGGCCCCTTATAGACGTTAAGCGCAAGGTTAAATGGGGGTTCCTCGTCCATTGTGATACTTTAAAATAAGGTCGGGGCTTGCTCGCCGATAAGTGTTTCGCAGTTAGGGTCTTAAGCCTTGCCAAGTCAGCTAATGCAGTATAGGCTATAGATGCATGACAAAAGCGGTGATAGGCATGACAAGTTCCACAGCGTGCCAGTGTGCACGTGGTGTTGTACGGTCTTTCCTGGGGATGGTGCATCGTGCTTTGCCAGAGATAGCATATTCTTGCAACCCATATAGCCATTCCACGATTTCCTTATTAAAGACGTTGTGCATCCAACTGCTTGGGTAAGATGGTGTTATTATATACTTCCAACACAGATCGCTCTATGTACTTCATCAGCTACATGCAAACGCTGGTATATACACGCAACGTTGTTTGATCACCTTATAAGATCACCTCGACTGCTACGCAGCTGTTACGGGGCAACACTTAGCAACGCAACGAAGGCAAACGCTTACATGTCCAGCTTGACACGCTAGCTTGCATGTTTGACAGCTAATATCGCGTTAACTGGGACGCTTGCCGGGCGAGAAAAAGGTGCAGCATGGCACCATCGGGGGCCGATGCCCTTACGTTTACAGGTGCGTACATCCTTCAACACACAAAGCATATTAAAGATTAAAACTAGGTTCCAGTAGATGAACTTTGGTTGGAATGCCAGAGACGTGTCCTGTTGAGTAGCTTGTTCCAACCGTCCATGTGTTTTGATTCGCGTCAGACGGTCAACGTGTGTCTTGGCCTTTCACCATCGAAGGCCTTCGCGCCACACAGCACCTCTTTACGCTACGACCAATTTCCCCGTTGCCCCACACACGCTGTACACCACCCGCACCCTGCACCTCGCCCCCTCTTGTTGTTGCCATGCAACACCTGTTGCAGCGCCCCACGTGAGGCCCACATAAGGCCCGTTCCCACAATGACTCACCGGCGCTTCTCGCCTTCTCCCCAAGCTATTGAAAGCCCCGTTGTATCACCACTTCGTCGACCCCTTATAGTACAGCATGAAACAGCCATGCATTCCGCTGCGTTAGTAACTGCAAGGAGGAATACAAACGGGGGTCCAACACTAGTTTGCACCCAGCAAGCCCTCCATCACCAAGTCACCACCAGCCACTTACTCCTCCTCTTCTTCCGCTCTCGACACGCTCCCCCCTTACCTCCATACACACCTCCCTCCCCCACCTCAATTACACACCTCCCTGCCTCCTTCCCTCCCCTGTCCTCTCCCCAATCATTTCTTCTCCTCTCCCCCCTGTCCCCAAACCAGACATGCGCGAGTACGCGCGGGCTCACGACCCGTACGACGACGACTCGTACGGCGCCGCTAACGACCCGCTGCTGGGCGGGCCCCGGCAGCGGCGCCACCCGCGCAACGGAGGAGGTGGAGGAGAGGACGGCAGCACCGGAGGAGGAGGAGGAGGAGGCGGCGGTGGTTTCGTAGCCAGTGGTGGCGGTGGTGGCGGGGATGATGACATGGACGGGGGTGGAGGAGGAGGAGGAGGAGGGGGGTCTATGGGGGTGTCCTGGAGGAGGGCATGGCGGTCCATATTCAAGGTGCGGGGTGCGGGTTGGGAGGCTTGGGGGGGGCGGCGAAGGGAGGTCGCGCCGGGGAAGGGGTGTGTGGCGTGATGGGAGGAAAACACATTCCATCACGTAGTCCCCGGGTCCGAGCTTGTCACCAGTTCGCTGTTGCGAGAGGGAATGTGGGTTCCCAGGTGCAGCAGTGGGGCCTCGGTGTGGGGCCTTCATGATGTGAGGTGGGGCGGCTGCCATGAGGGGCCCTGCGACCCTGCCAGCTGGGGAGGCCCACCCCCCCCCTCTCACGCGGTGCGCCTCCGCCCCGTTCCACCTCTCCACCGCCCTAACCAACGGACTAACTGACCGCAACCAAACCACATGGCTAGCCACACATTGACTGACCTGACCCCATGTACACCCCATGTGACACCCCCCCCCATGCACCCACCCTACCGGCACCACTCCCGCCCCTCCGCCCGCAGAAGGGCAACGATGTGGAGAGCGCACGCGTGAACCACAACTTCACACCCGAAGGTGAGGGAGTGCGCGCCTGCCTGCCTGCCTGCCGGGGGGGGCTGGGGTGAGGGCGGGGGGGGGCTGCTGCCTGGAGGGGTGGAGGGGTGTGGGGGGGTGTGGAGGGGTGTGGGGGGGTGGGCAGTCCCAACACACGTCTGGGTGCGCCCCCCGGAGAGCACTGGCAGGACATGCCATCCGTTAGGTTACTAACCGAAGTGTAACAACCTCCTCCACCCCACCCCACCCCATCTCTCCCCCCCAGAGCGTGTCAAGCTGGCCAACGTGGAGTCCATCGACTACCTGGCGCCCAACAGCGCCACCTACCGCAAGTGGCTGGCAAGACAGGTAGCAGGGGGGGGGAGGGGGGAGGGAGGGAGGAAACCCGCAAGCAGCGCATCACAGCACGCCCCTTCCTTGCCGGTACTCGAAGAAACGTGCACCCTACCGCTACCAACTTGCCCCCCCTCCTGCAGCCCCACCGCCGCTCCTGGGACCGGTGGGTGATGATGGGCGCCATCGGGGTGGCCACCGGGCTGGTGGCGTACCTGCTGTACGTGGTGAGGGATGGGGGGAGGGAGGGGGAAGAAAGATACTCAATTGGGGGGAGTGACCCGTGGGTCACAGTGGACCGCATCCTGGGCCTGTGAGCGATGAGGAGGCACATGTGCAAGCCTAATAGCCGCCATGTGCCGGTTGCGGGTTACGGGTAGCTGGTGGTTGTGCACGCAGTGTCTGTAGGGCCGGAGCGGCTCCTCCTTACTTCCTCCCCAACCCCCCAACCCCTCCTCTTCCTCCCCTCCCTCCTCTCCCCCCCATCCCCTCCCCCCCCCTCCTCCAGCTCATCTCCTCCCTCGCCGACTTCAAGTACGTGGTGACTCGGTGGCTGCTGGCGCACACCAACATGGGGGTGGCGTGGCTGTTCAATGTGAGGGGGGGGGGGCGGGCAGGAGAGGGCGGAGGGCAGGAGAGGGCGGAGGGCAGGAGAGGGCGGAGGGCAGGAGAGGGGGGCGGGGGAGGGCAGGATAGCAAGGAAGCAAGGATGGGCAGCCGGGCAGGGGGGGAAGGCTACTTACTGGCTTCACTTGTGAACGTGAAGAGACACCCGCTGAGCTAGAGCGCAGTACGCAGTACGTAGTACGCAGTAATCCCCCCCGCACTGGCTTCCTCCCCTGCCCCCCTCCCCACCCCCGCCCCCCCCCAGGTGACCGTGAGTGTGGGCCTGGTAGCCGCCAGCAGTGCGGCGGTGATCGGGTGGGCGCCCCAGGCGGCGGGCAGCGGGGTGCCGGAGATCATGGCGTACCTCAACGGATGCATGCTGCCAAAGGTGGGGGGAAGGGGGAGGGTGGGAGGAGGGAGGTAGTTTGGGCGGGGGGCCGGCGGTAGGGGATGCGGGTGCAGAGCAGTTAGTGTAGGAGGGGAGCAGGAGGGGAGCAGGGGAGGGGAGCAGGAGGGGAGCATCAGGTGCATGCGGCAGCTCCTCTCACCTCATCACACCCCTGCCAACACCCCTCCCTCCCCTCCCTCCCTCCCCTCCCTCCCCCTCCCCTCCCCCCCTCTCCCAGCTCTTCAACATCGCCACCCTGGGAGTCAAGTTCCTGTCGTGCGGGCTGGTGGTGGCCAGCGGGCTGCCGGTGGGGCCGGAGGGGCCGCTCATACACATCGGGGCAGCCATTGGCGCGGCGCTGAGCCAGGGGCACTCCACCACACTGGGGTGAGGGGGGGGGCAGGAGGGAGAGGGGGACAATACGGAACTGGAGGGGAATTAGATAAACTGGGCGGAGAGAGTGTGTCGACGTGGGCTGGGGCGCATCGTGGGTCCTAGCTGTGGTTCACTCCCGTCCCCCACCACCGCCCTAAATCCTGCCCTCCCTCCCCTTCCCCCTCCCCCCCTAGTTTCACCACCGCCCTCTTCCGGCGCTTCCGCAACCCCAAGGACAAGCGCGACTTCGTGACGGCGGGCGTGAGCGTGGGGGTGGCGGCGGCGTTCAATGCACCCATCGGTGAGGGGGGTGGGAGAAGGCACGGGGGGGGGATGGGAGGTGAGGGAGTCAGGGAGAGGGGGCAGGAGGGGAATGAAAAGGAGGGAGGGGAACGACGAGGGGAGGGCAATGAGGAACGGAGGGGAATGGGGAGAGCGCTTCAGCCCCCTGCCCCCCTGCCCACGGAGCAGGACAACATGCCATGGCTCCCCTCCTGCCCTCCCCCCCCCATGCTACCAGGCGGCCTGCTGTTCGCGTTCGAGGAGGTTGCCAGCTTCTGGCAGCAGCGGCTGGGCTGGCAGGTGTTCTACGCCTGCATGTGTGCCGTACTCACACTCAACCTGAGCCGCTCGGCGGGCAAGGCGGCGCTGGGGAAGGGCAGCTTCGGCTGGTTCGATAAGGAGGTGGCGTTCGAGGTGGGGGTGGGGGGTGGGGGGGGGAGGGGATGCTTAAAAGTTGGAAGTTCGGCATTTGGCTACATTATAGGGTTATGTTCAGTCGTACGGCAGGGGCGGGGAGGGAGTAGAGGGGAGGGGCTGGCATCATCACGGGGGTTTGCCAACCTGTCGCAGTCTGGTCATATCCTCCCCTCCCTAGACCTGCCACCCCCCCCCACTCCCCCCCCAGCAAATCGGCATGTCCTTCTCCAGCCACGTGTTGGCGGTGCTGCCTGCCGCGGTGATCGGGCTGGGTGCAGGGCTGCTGGCCATCGTGTTCACGGTAGCGAACATCAAGGTAAGGTGGGGGGGAGGGGGTTGGCAAAGCAGGGGAAGCGAGGGGAGAAGTAGGGGTCTGATAGCCACCCGTTCGGTTGCTTCTTCCTCCTCTAAGCCCACTCCACTACCTCCCCCGCCCCCAACCCCTCCCCCGCCCCCCCCCCGCAGGTCACCCGCCTGCGCTCCCTCCTCACCGGTCACCTGCGGTGGGGTCGGGCGGTGGAGCCCTGCCTGTTGGCCGCGGTGTACGTGACGGGGGCCATGCTGCTGCCCCTCATGTTCCCGTGCACACCCGCGGAGTGCGTCAAAGTGGAGGTGAGGGGGGGGGGCAAGGGGGGGGAGGGTGAGGGGAAGGAAGAAGAATAACCAATGTGGTGGTGGGGGGGTGTTTTGCATGGATGGGGGGAGGAGGAGAGGGGGCTGGGAGGAGCTGTGTACGGTAGATGGGCAGTGGGTATAGGTGGAGGTGGGGGTGGTGGGTTAGGCTTTGCTTCACTCTTCACTTATCTCCCTCCCCCCAACCCACCAGAATGGTGAGCTGCAATGCAACACGGGGCTCAGCGGCCCCACGCAGGGCGGTATTCCCACCTACGCCCCCTCCCTGCCGCTCTACACCTGCCGGGTCATGGAGCACAACGCTACTGGCGCCCCCCCGCCCCCCTCACCCTCCTCCGCTGGGGAGGGCGGGGGTGGCGGGGGGGCGGGTCGGTGGGTGCCGCGGGGGGGCGGCGGCGGCGGCAGCATCACCCCCGACGAGGCGGCTGCCAGCAGCAACGGTACCACCACGGTGTACTACAACCAGCTGGCCACACTGCTGTTCAGCACGGGTGGGTGGAGGCTGGGGGGGGGCGGGGGCTGGGGGGGAGGGGAGGGGGTTGCGTGTGTGTGTTACACAGGGTGACTCTTAAGCCGTGTGACTGGCATTGAGCCTGCAGGAGGGGGTAGCGGCAGTGGGAGGCTGTGTCGCACCGCAGGCTGTCATGATGCTGGTGGGTGTGTGCTGCGCCAGCTAGGGGGGGATTTATCCCGAATACCTAGTGTTGTACCCGGGTACGGGTCATTCCTCTTCCCTTCTACACGTTCTCCCCACCCACTCCCCACCTCCCCACCCACTCCCCCCCCTCCCCCCTCCCCCCACCCCCCTCCGCTGTCCAGGCGAGGAGGGCATCAAGCACCTGCTCGCCCGCGGCACCCACCGCCGCTTCGGCTACCGCTCGCTGGCCGTCATGGGCGCCTACTACTTCTTCTTCGCGGTGCTGGTGGCGGGTAGCGCGGTGGCCAGCGGGCTGTTCGTACCCATGCTGATGATAGGCGCGGTGCTGGGGCGGGTGGGCGGGCTGGCCACGGTGGATGTGGCGCTGGCGCTGGGGAAGAGGTGGTCGGTGGGTGAGTGGGGCGGGGGGGGGAGGGTGTCAGAGATATACAGAAGCACAGGTTGAGGCAAAGCAATGGGGATAGAGTGAAGCGGGTAGGGGGGCGGGAGGAGGAGGAGGTGGAAGGGGCAGGCTGGGGAAGGGGGTGAAGCACTGGACGGGAGGAGGGTGAGGTTGCTGGTCCGAGCATTGCTTCCTCTGTTGGCAAGCAAGTTGGTTGTTGCCTGCCGGAGTCACACCTTGCCTGTGTGTTTCTCTTCCACCCCCCTTCTCTCCCAAAGACACGTTCGGCCCCTGGACCTGGATCGACCCGGGTGCCTTCGCGCTGGTGGGGGCAGGGGCCTTCATGGGGGGGGTCACCCGCATGACGGTGGCGCTGGCGGTCATCATGATAGAGGTACGTGGGGGGAGGGGGGAGGGAGGGGAGGGGGGAGGGAGGGGAGGGGGAAGGGAGGGGAGGGGGAGGGGGGAGTTAGAGAGAGGGAGAGGAGCGGGCGGAAGGGGGCAGTTATTTCACCTGGTACAAGGGGGTCAGCCGCCTTGGCGCGCCGCTGCCCCCCTGCCCCCCTGATATCCAGCCTAATGCGGAGTACGTATCGCCATTAACCTCCCCCCTCCCCCCGCAGGTCTCCTCCGACGTGCACATGCTGCTGCCGGTGCTGGTGGCCATCATGGTGGCTAAGTGGGTGGCGGATGCGGCCACTCACAGCCTCTACCATGGGCTGCTGGAGGTGGGGGGGGAGGGGGGTTTGAGTCTGGCCCCGCGAGTACGGTATTGGAACGTCGGGGGAGCATGGGTGAAGAAGGGGGTAAGGGTGGCCATCACTGTCCCTCCTGTGCCTTCCTACGTTGGGCACGCTGGGTCGGTGTGTTGCAACGAACACCTCAAGCTCAACCCCCCTCCCCCCTCCCCAGGTCAAGTGCGTCCCCTTCCTGCCCCCCGAGCCCGTCTCCGCCTTCTCGCTGGACCTGCTGCCCGTGTCGTACGTCATGAAGAGCCCCGTGGTGTGCCTGCGCCAGCGAATGACGGTGAGAGGGGGGGGAGGGGGCTGATTGTGTGGCGGGTAGGAGGAACACACAGCGGAGGAGGCATGACCCGCATGAGATGGCAGGAGGAGGGAGATGCAAGGGACGGGCGCATCTCTCCTGGATTAGGCTACGCCTTTCTATGTGTGTCACCTCCTCCCCCCTTCCTTTCGCCCCTCCTCCCCCTCCTTCCACTCCCCCCCCTCCCCCCCCCCCTGCCCCCAGGTTCGCGAGCTGACCGATGTGCTGCGCCGCTGCCAACACAACGGCTTCCCCGTGCTGCGGGACGAACCCCTCCCGCACCAACACCCGCAACACCACCACCAGCAGCAGCACTTGCAGCACAACCCCACCGCTGCTGCCGCTGCTGCCGCTGCTCCCTCCCACCCGCCGCCCCCCTCCTCCGCCGCCTCCCGCCAGCACCTCCCCACCGCACCCGACGGCCCCCTGCCGCCCCCCCTGGCTGCGGGAGGGGCGGTGCGGGGTGTGCTGGGGTCCGGTGGGGGGGTCGGAGCGGGGGGCGGGGTGGGAGTCAGCGGCTTCCCGCATGCGGCTGGCCCCCACCATCATCTTAGCAATGGAGGGGGGACTGCTGCTGCTGCTGGCGCCAGCCTGGGGGGAGTTGCAGTCCCAGCTGCCCCCCCATCTGCTGCTGGTTTGTCCCCCGGCAGCTGCTGCGGACTCATCACTCGGAGCCACCTGCTGGTGCTGCTGCAGAAGGCGCTGCTAGCGGGTGGGAGGAGGGGGGAGGGGGAGGGGGGGGGGGGTAAAAAAGAAATTCCAAAGTGTGGTGTGATAATGATGGGGCTGGGGGGGGCGGAGGGGGGAGGGAGCGAGGAGAGGCCAGTGGGGTAAAGAGGAGGGGGTAAGAGGGGGCCGGTTGGGAGCAACATGTTGGGCTGATTCCTGCCAGTAGTACGGAATGTATCCATCCTATCCTTCTTCACCTTCTCACTCTCCCCCCTGCCCCCCAGGTCGTGTGGAGGGGCTGGAGGCCGACTGGACGGAGCTCAACCGCAAGATGATGGACCCCGTAACCGCAGCAAGGGCCGTCACCGAGCAGCAGATGGCTGTCATGTCACGCGAGCTGCGCGCAACCACATCGGGGGATTCAGGGTCGTACGACATGAGTGGGCTCAGCGTGCTGGGGATACTGAGAGCAGCGGCGGCAGCAGCCGCTGGCGGCGGCGGCACCGGTCGCCGTACCTCCGGCGGCGGAAGTGGTGGCGGCGGCAGTGGGGGCCGGGGGTGGTACGGCAGCGGCGGCATCGCGGAGCCCATGATGACGCCGGCGGCGGCGGCGGCAGCGAGTGCGGCGGAAGAGGAGTCGCGATTGTTCGACGCGGAGGGGTTAGCGTACGGCGGGTACGGTACGATAGTGATGCCGGGAGATGGGGTGGCGGCGGCAGCGGAGCCTCCGCCTCCGCCGCCTCCGCTGCCTCCGAGGGCACCGGGGTTGCAGGTACCCGCTGCTGCTGTCGCCGCTGCGACGGAGGGGTTGCGGGGAGGGGGACGTCACGGCGGCCGGCTGGCGTTCGGCGACGAGTTGCCGACGTCGACGTCAGCCTCAGTGACGATGACGTCAGCAGCGCCGGTGGCGGCGGCGGCGGGAGGCGTGTACGGCAGCAGGGGCGGTTGGTCTGGGTCAGCGGCGGGCAGTCGCGGCGGGGCAGCGGTTAGCGGCGGCGGTGGCGGCGGAGGATCGCGAGGAGGGGATGACGGGTTGGAGGGCGGCACCATTGATCTCACGCCGTACATTAACACAAGCGCCTTCATGGTACGACACCGTACGATACGACCGATAATTTGACTTAATCATGGGTGTACGGCAACAGTGTCTTTTTGGAGAGATGTGTATCGCCTGCTCCTCTCTCTCCCGTTCGGCTCAAAGGGATAATATCCGCACACGTGTCACCCATCCTAGTACGGTGCGGGTCCACACCCGCCTCCCGAACCACCCTCCTCGCTCCCAACGTCTCTCTCTCTCTTCCCCGCAAACTTGGTCTTGTACTTCTCTCCCCCCTTCCCCCCCTCCCCGCCTCCTCTCCCCCCCCAGGTGCCCGACTCCTTCAGCGTGGAGCGCACCTACGTGCTGTTCCGAACCATGGGTCTGCGCCACCTGGTGGTGGTGGACGAGCAGCACCGGGTGCAGGGCATCGTCACGCGGAAGGACCTGCTGGGTTACAGGTGGGGGGAGGGGGTGTACAGGTAGGGGGCGCATGCGGCCGATGCAGGCGGGGGCGGTGGGGGTTGGGCGCATGTGGGGCTGAATACACACTCTTCCCTCTCGAGGGTCTTGACTCCCTCCACCTCCCCCCACCCCTCCTCCCTCCACCTCCCTCCCCCTCAGGCTGGATGACGCCCTGGCTCGCGCCCTCAACGGCCCCCACGCCGCCCCCTCCGCGCCCTTTGGCGGCGGCCGCCCCTTCCCGCCCGCCGCCCTGGGTGTCACACGCACCCTCACACCGCCCGGCGCCACCACCACCACCACCGCAACAGCTAATGGCCACGTCAGCAGCAGTGGCGGCGGTGTGCTGCTGTCGCGTCCGGGTGTGAGCGGCGGGCTGACCTGCCTGCACCCCGCCACTGCAGGCATGCGCAGCCTGCTGGTGAGCGGGGACGTGGCGAGGCCCATTGCATCGGGGGTGCAGCGGTGAGGGGTGGGGAGGCGGTGAGGGTGGGTGGTGACGGGGGTGTGCTAGAGCAACTGAGCCGCATGGTAGGGGCGCGAGTGTTAGTGTGGGTCAGTGGGTTGGGGCAGTTAGGGTGTGCGAGCTGAGCGTGTGCGGGTGTGTGGAGGGGTGCGGGGGTTCCTTTGGTGCTGCCAGCGGCGGCCGTACAGGGGGGTAAGTCGTACAGAGAGGGAGAAGGACAGAGGGGTGGACATGAGAGGGGCGTGTGTGCGGAGAGGGGCGCGAGGCATGTATGGTGTGCAGAGGTGCGGAAACCGCAGTGCGGGGAGCAGGCTGGGCTGCAGGGGCGTGCCTAGGGGTGGAGAGAGGGGTGGTGTGTCGCAAGGGGCTTGATCACCGCGATGGGGCAGAGAGGGGGCTGGAGGTGGTGTGAGGAGGGCCGTCGTGATCGGCTGGGTCCGGCAGGGGGAGGAGGGTGTCCTGGAGGAGTGAGGAGGGGAAAGAACTGTTGGAAGGCAGTTTGTGTCACCGGTGGTGCCCCGTGCTACTAGCGTATCTACGTACCGACTGCGTTGGCTGCTGCGTTGTGCCTTGTTCTCTGTTTTCCCAACGGGCGGGGGAAAACGTTTTCAGTCCCTTACAGAGACGTGCACATGCGTTACCGGTAGTGTACAGTGTACAGGTTGGGGCTACGTGGCAGTACTATGATGGCGGGCAGTACGGGTTGTTGTCGTGGAGAAGACACCCGCCGTATCACGTGGCGGCATGTAGAGGAAGTCAAGCCACAACAGCGTGCGATGCGGCTGGATTAAATACGTCCTCCTGCTGTCTCACGCCATTGCCCGCGTCCCGAAACGTTTCGGGTGTCCATGCAGCACCTGCATCTCTACCCGTGTGTAGCCACCCACTAACGAACACCACCACACTTGCAACAGTGTTCCCTGCTTCCCTCCCCGCTGCCAAACATCAGTGCGGAATACCGTACCGGTATCTATTAAGGCCTCCCGGGCGAATCAACACACTGAGATACGGCTCTGCCTAAACACCATACAGGGATCCCGGGCATGGCCGGGCATTGCTGCAGGCGGGACCCTGAGGTGGGGGCGGCCGCTAGATGACCATCACCCGCCAGTTCAGCGACTCAGTGGGCACAGCACATTCCGACTCGCGGCCAGTTTTCTAACCACACGCAGTACAGCCCTCGTTCAAATGTCGTACCATGCACCCCACACCCAAATGCCGAAACAGCGGCGCTCCTGCACAAATGCATCGGCCCCTCCAAATGAGCTAGGCCTCCACATGCTCCGAACTCCTCTCTGCTTCCATGCTCCCAGCAGCAACAGCGCTGGTTGCTGCCGCCACGCCTTGCTGCCGCTGCTGCTAGGCCTGCTGCGGCGGCGCGAGGAGGGCGCTGAACGCCTCCTGGCACCGCTGCAGCATGTCGCGGGGCGCCTGGGTGGTCTCCTCCTGGGGGAGGGCAGGCACACGTGGGGTGGGGATGAGACAAACAAGGTCTACAAGACCGTACGGAAGGTGTGTTCCACCTCGGAAAGCCCCCCACGCGAACGGTCCCGTCTCATCCCACAATGCGGTGCATACCTCCATCACTCCTCCTCAACCAGCGCACGCTTTTCTGCCCCGCAGCCCCAACCAGGTAAGGCCATCGAGCCGTGCTGCAGCCCATCCCGAGCCCGCAGCCCCACCCCATCCCGAGCGCGCAGCCCCCCCTGCCGAGCCCGTAGCCTGCAGCCCCTCACCTCCAGCTCCTGGCAGCGCGTCTCGAAGAACGCCCGAAGCAGCTCCTCCACCGTCGCGTCACACAGCGACCGCGGCTCAATCTGTGCGAGCGCATGTGGGGGAAGGGCAAGAAGAACCATGCGTTGAGTGCGCATGGGGGAGGCGGTTCCGTGGGGCGGATGCAATGAAGGGGGGGGGTGCCGGCTGGACGCAAGAGGTGCGAGAGGGGGAGATGAAGCAGGAGCAATGGGCGGTGTCTTCTTCAGGGTTGCCGTATGGAGAAGAGGCCCGACCCAGATGAGATTTGCGAGTAAACATGGGCTTGTGTACACGCGCCCTCCCTGACAGGCGGTGGCTATGAGCGTCTGTGTTATGACCCACATCCTAGACTGCCATATAACACAGATCAGCACAGATATGAGTGAAGCAAGCCGTGGTTAGCAAGGTAGCCGCCCAACTAATGTTCCAATCGACATGTCGGCATGCCTCTAATATGGTGTTGCTACATCCTCCGGGCGTGGCAGCTTAGCCGAACTCACTGTTACTTCGGCAACTGTATCCGTGCCAAATTTGATGAAGTCCCCGGACTTGAGTGGATGTGCGACTGCATGGGGTGACCCGGGACATAGACGTGCCAATTGCGTGGATCAAGATCGCTTCGGCGTGGTTGCTGTGTGAAAAGGCACAGGCTACGGTGGCCCTGGAGCGTCGAACTTACAGAAGGGCTCCAGGGAAGCGTGGTTGAGCCGTGTCCCGTTGGAGCTGTCCGTATCCCTCAGCAGCCAAGCTCCCTTTTGCCCATCCCAAGCCATCTCCGCATGCTTCTCGGAGATGGCCTTGTCCTTGAGGTAAATCTTTGCCCGCTGTGGGGAATACGGCGTCTTGGTAAGGTGCATGCAGGAGATGGTGGTTGGAAATTGTGGAACGCTCGCTTTACCTTAGCGATTCTGCCGACGGTTAGGCATAGGCTGTTGAAACTAGTTGACTCAATTACTTGCCCCTTGCAAGGTCCCTCGGTAACGGACAGCTTCAGTCTTGAGGGAACAGCTATGTCAATCTTCGCTAGTGGCGCTTCCGAAGCTGCCATTGCCATTCTCTCCTAAAATGTTTCTTAGAATAGTAAACGATATTGCTTGAAGAAAAAATAACGGAGTGGCTTTGGATGTGTCGGGAACTGTGGCGAGCTGCTTCACTTTGCCCTTTAAACAAGTACGGCATCAGCGGAACCCAACAAGCCCGTAACAAAGCAGGTAGTGCATGCACTCTGTTGATCATACACGTAGTGCCTAGGTTAGCAAACAGGTAGTCGCGCTACCTTTCCCTTACTCGCGAGGCCTCTCTTGCGAGTCGCCTCCTCTCAAGCGCGCCTGCATTGCCATATCCTAGGACTCGTGCTATCACCACCATGACTCTCGGCGAGGCTTACCTTAAGGATATCCTGCGGCCTCCGCCGACGGGATTCATGCCCCAGAACGTGGCGCATCCCTACCAGAAGAGCTTCTTCACCTACGCTACCAAGAAGCTGATTCCCAAGCACTGGTTCCTGCTGGCGGGCTTCACCTTCACCATTACCCTCTACGGCCAGCTGGACGGCCTGCGTGATGCCGGCAAGAAGAAGGCCTACGATGAGGCCGTGCTGGCGGGCAAGCAGCCTTGTGAGTACCGCTTAATACGTCTCCGTTTAAGAATCCACTATGAAGTCATTTACTGGTACTATATTTAGTTGGGTCGCGCTGCCGAGATGGCTGCGGCATACCGACACCGTGGAATATATTCTTTTATCGCTTTTGTTTGTCGCATGTTGCTAACACTCCTATATCCTTTCCCCATGCAGTCACCGCTGGCGGACACTAAGCTGCGGAGAGTATCGGTGATGGCGCATAGCTGGAGTCGCAACGGAGGGCGCGCTGGAGCTTAGATGTGTTAGGGATGCTTGATTCGATTTTCGGAGGTGCTGTGGAGGCAGTCGCTTTGTGCCTTTCGCGTTGCCTGAGGATTGAGGAGGACTTCTTCTGGGCATGCGGTGCTGTATGGGAAGGGCGTATGCAAACGCCCAACGGCGTTCAGACTCGTGGGCTTGTCATGCCATGAGCAAGTGAGGTAGTGTAAAAGTCTACCTACATGCTGGTCCCCTCTGCGCGTCTCGTAACCGGCACGCGCTCACACACGCTTTGCTTTACAGAAAGGGGTCAGCCGAAGACGGTCTAGTGGTTATTGACAGCGGCCCTCGTTCAAATGACAGCCGTGGAATCCTCCTGTCAGCCTCCCTCCCCATTCCCACACGGTTAGTTTCTTCCTCTTTACCCCACGCCCACTATCAGCCTCAACCCAGATCCATAGCCACCGATCGCCACACACGTTTCGGAACCGCTCTGCTGGTTTGTGAACGCGGCCTTTTTGGGGCCATGGGCTCGAGCGGTTGGGTCGCTACCAACGGGAAATTGGACGATGATAAATATGACATGGCAACTGGAGAGTCGGCACAGGGCACCGCCATGCAACCGCCATGCCAGTTGGTCAGGGGTTCAACCAGCCAGGGGGCCAGTCCAGGTGGCGCCATGTTTGCCTTAGCAGAAATACTTTGACACGAACCAGAAGCCTGGAAGTCTTGCGGAAGGCATCGCCCCTGACTTGTCCCCGCCTCTCCCTCTCACCAGAACCCTACCCAGCATCCCCAGCCTGCAGCCAGCCTCAGTCGATAGTACGTGCACGCGCTACTTCACTACAGCCATGTCGGCTGTTCGGAGCTCCTGACTCTGCATGTTCATGAGCATGCATGTCTTAAGCTCACCTAGATGCCATACACGCGGCCAATTCCATGCCGTACAAACCGTAGGACCAACTCCCACTGCGACCTGGAACATGTCACGTGCGCACTTTTCTCCGATATAGTTTTCCATTAGTATTACGGCATGTCCTATGTTTAGAGTTCAACCCAATTCTTCACCATGGTGCAGGGAGCTGCCCAACAGTTGCCTTGTTATTCACGTTATTAATCTGGTCGCACTGTAAAATGGTTGGAACAAACCAGCTTCCTGATCATATCCAAAGTGCCTTGCCATGGATGTCCTGGGCAGCGTCGCAGCTGCTGAGTTCCCATGCTGCTGCTGGAGATGAATACAACACCAAAGATTGCTTCAGCGACGCGAGTTCCGTTCCGTTTGATGCATCACAACTTCTTATGCTCGATCAATGTCTCCGGATTCCGGACAGCTATGTAGTGGAGCAAGCCAGCATGGGGAATGGCGCGACTGCAGCGGTAACCATTCTCTCACACGACGACTTCCGCGTTCCCTTTCAGAGCATTATAGCATGCGCATTTCGCTGGCCCATGCAAGGCCCGTCTCTCGATACGGGCAACGCTGTGGTTGCTGCGCTTCGCCAGCAAGTGGTCTTCGATTGCAGCTTGGGGGTGAACAACATCGTCCTGTCTGCCCTGCTCGCTGGCCGACCGCCCGAAGAAGTCGTCCACTTTATCCACACGCTGCTTAAGATGCACACGCTGCACTGCTGCAGTCGTCTGCTAAGCACGACAACTGGACCGTTCGTCCCAGCGCATGACCTAGGCAATGCCGACCGAGAGGGCATCACCGAAGAGCGCGTCCTGCGCCTCAGCAGGTCGTTACAGCTTACAATTCAGTTCCTCTATTCTTTAGTCGTCTTGGCTACGGAGCGCCCTGGCCCGCAGCATCAACAGCGATACGGCGGAGGATTGCCGTACATGTACGATTTCGAGTATGAATACGCACGTGCACTAGCGGAAGCGCTTAACAGTAGCTGCTTGCTAGAACACGCTGCACGCGCTGTCGTACTCCTCGCTGAGCTGGCCGGGCTAACCCAGGACGACAGTGGTACGGCAGTTGCCATGTCCCTACCCATGGAAGCCCAAGGTCAACTGTCGTACGCGTTTTCCTTCCTCACGGCAACCCTGTCGGGCCTAACGCAGCTAGCCGAACGCTGTCATGAGACCGTTGGTACGGCTGCATCAGCCAGCATGAGCTGCGGCTCCCCTGCTGTGGAGGAGCTGGGCCCTCCAGCAGCAGTGGCGGAGGCAGCAGCTGCGGCCCGCTCCCACCTCCTGGCGGCGCTCTCGGGTCCCTGTGTCCGGCACATGCTGCTGTCGGCGACGCTGGCGGCGTTGTGCGCCGCCGACGGAGGTCCGTCGTACGGTTTGCCGGCGCCGTTGCTGCTCGGCATGCTGCCCAGCACCAGCCCTATCGACGACGCTGTCGCTGCTGCTGCCGGTGCTGCTGCTGCGTCAGCATCAATGGCAGCGTCAGGGTACCCAGATGCCGTACATGTACGAGCAGCACGGCACATGTACGGCAAACATCAGTTGGACGACCGGATTCTCCGCTGTCTACCTGCCGTACTGATGCTGCCGTCGTCGTCATCATCACTGGCAGCAGCAGCAGGAACCGTCGGGACCAACTGTCAACCACCGCCTCCACGACCCACGGGTCCTCAGCCCCGGCAGTTGTGCCGGCTCATGCTACGAGTAGGTCGACTGGCGGTGGCGTCCGGACGAGCCTGGTCGGGTCCGACAGATGACGCTGCCGTTTATGCGGATGCGGAGATTATGGATTCCTCATTAGATCCTCCTCATGGTCACTTGGTGTTATCTCCGCAATCCAGCTGCTCGGTGGCCCTGGCGGCGTTACGTTGCTCACGACGGTCGCTGGCGCCCTCCTGCCCGGATGCGAACTGGTGGCGGGTAACCACGTCAGCAGTACGACACCTGGTCCCATGGGTCACCGAGGAGCAGCAGCTGAGTGAGCTAGCGGCGCTTCTAAGGGTGCCTCTGGACTCCTCCTCCTCCTCAGCCGACCCATGGGTCACGCTGGGAGAATCCTCCTCCTCTTCCGCCTCATCCTCATCCTCGTCATCATGCTTCCTCTCTTCTACGACAGCCACCCTGCCTGCCACGCCTCCGCCGGCGGTGGCAGCGGCGCTATCCGGCGGCCTGATCCCCTGCATCGAGTTGTTGTTTCGGAGGGCCGGTGAGACGCCCAGCTCGCCTGAAGCTCGGCTGCTGCTGCGGCTGCTGCGTCCAGACCGCTGGCGGGACGGCCAGGCAGTCAACGGCGGCGGCGCCAGCGGCGGAGGCTGCGGGTCGTACCTGGGATGTTTGCTGTCGTACGGTGAGGTACGGCAGGCGGCGGCGCTGGTGGCGACGATGGGCAAGGTGTTGCGGCGGCTGGAGGGGGCGGTGGTGGAGGAGCTGACGGCAGCGGCGGCGGTTGGCGGAGGTGGCGATGACGATGACGTCAGCAGCGGCGGTGACGCAGCGGCGGCGGCGGCGGCTGAGCTGGCGGAGGCGGTTATTGAAGCCATGTACGACACCTTCCTGGTGTGCGCTGGCAAGTGGTTGATGACGGCTTGTACGACAGAAGCGGCAGCAGCGGCGGTTGCAATGCCGGAGACGTCGACGGTTTGGTCTCATGAGTCTGTCCATGCGACGGCGGCGGCTGCAGCGAATGCGTTACCCACTGGGGAGGAGCAGAGCGGCCAACAGCAGCAGCAGCAGTCACAGAGCTCCAATAGTGCTGTCATGCGCATGGGGCCGTTCATTGGGAACACCGCTGTACGGCAGCTGGCTCTCCTCGTGTCGTACGCGGCTTGTCAGTGGCTGCCGCAGCTCTCCCTGCTGACTCAGCTGGCGGCGGCGGAGGTCCTGGCGGCGGAGGCGGGTGGTGATGATGACGTCACCGCGGAGCCCTACGGCGGCACTCGCAGTGCTGGCTTCGGCGCCGCTGCTTCGGGTAGCCCTCCCCGCCGCCACACCCTGACGCATGGCTCTTCTTCCTCTTCTTCCCCCCGCCTACCTCTCCCGGAGCTGATCAACCGCCTTGTGTTGCCACTGGTCAGCTGGCTGCCGGTGCTGGGGTACCGAGCCTGCGGAGGCGGAAGTGACGGAGGCGGCGGCGGAGGTGGCTGTAGCAGCCGAAACGGTACCGATGGAGGCTGCTGGCTGCAGCTGCTGCGTGACGTGGGCGCCGTACCGCTGCTGGGTGCCGTACTCCGGTTGGCGGCGCCGCTAGCGGAGGTCTGGAGCGGCGAGGCCTGGCGGGGCCTCCCGCTGTGGAGCCTGGCGGAGAGCTGCTACTGGGTGGCGGCGGCGTACGGCGGTGCGGCGGAGGTTCGACAACAGTGCGACAGCTGGCGGCCGGAGCTGCTACGGGCGCTGTTGCCGTACCTCAGACAGCCCTGCTGGGGTAAGACGGCGGAAGCGACGGAGGCGCTGGCGGCTCAATTGGAAGCCTGGGCTGGCGGCGGCGGCGGCGGCGATGGGGGCGGTGATGGCAACAACAACCCTCCGCCGCTGTCGCCGGCGCCGTGGGTACGAGATGTGTCGTACCTTGTCATGTCATCTCCGGTATTATCGGCCCTTCCGGAGGCGCGGAGCCTTATAAGGACCTGCGGAAATCCTGGTTGTACGGATTTGCGTGGGGAGAGTGAGGTGGGGGAGCGGCGGCGGCTGCGGCCGTGTAGTGGGGGGTGCGGTACGGCTTGGTATTGTTGTACGGCGTGCCGTATCGCGCATATGAGGTTGGGTCATGCGGGGGAATGTGGGCGTGGATTAGGGGCTCATGCGGAGTTGAAGAGGTAGGTTGAGGGAGGTGGTGGCGTGATCGGGATGGGAGCAGATTGAGAGCAGCAGCAGCGCGGGTTCTTAGCGGTGATGACGTATCGTATCAGATAGCTGGACTGCATGCGGGGAAGGATGTGGAACGTGGGGATTGTACTCTACTGTGTAAGAGAGACATGGCAGTATGTAGGAGACATGGCAGCAGCTTCTGCATGCGTATGTGGCAGACATGCATGGGGGTGGTGAACAAGTGGGTCTGACTCGTCGGAGCAAGGCGATGGATGTGGTTATCGTGTGTAAACCAAAGGGCTGTTGGGTCGCTTGCGAAACGGTCTTGCGGCACCATGTATACTATTCACTATTTAGCATGCAGGCGTTGCATGTGCTGTTGTACTCATTGTACGATATAAACTATGGCCTATATTGGAAACATACGGCAAATGGCTTAAGAAAACACGGATGCTGTTGCTGCCGGTGTTTACTAGCCGTGTCAGGGCTGTGGCACTCTTTCGCCCACCGGTGCACTGCTTGATTGAAGGCGCAAGGAATGCAGAGAAATGCGTTTGCCTGTTCTGTCTGCCTTTCGTTAGAACATGTTGATTTCGGTTACATGCCTTGGACACTTTCTGCCCCTGCGTGAGCACTGGACAGCTGGTTGTGAAGTGGCTGATGTAGGAGTAGGGAGTATATAGGGATATGTTACATGCCGGCGCTTGTGTGCGCACCGGAGGCCCCGAACGCTCATCCTTCTCCGGCGAGGAGGTGAGGCGGCTGGACACGGGTGGGGAGCGAGGCCGCCTTCCTCCCTCGCCACCCCCACCAGTAGTACATAGCTGGAGGCCCACTCCTGCTCCACCCCCACCCACCAAACGAAGCGCGTCTCGCCACCTTCCTCCACAGGAGCAGGCGGTCACTAGATCACCGCGGGGACATCACAGCCCTCCTAACTAACATCCCAGAAGGCCCCCGGCCAGCACGCTAGGGATACTTCACCCCTTCCTTCCTACAATTTGGACCCTACATTCCATTCCAATAACCCATTAGTAGTATATTACCCCGTTCTGCCTAATTTCCCCGCACACGTCTGCTTCCCCGCCTCCTCACCACCGGACCAGCAGACACAGCTATACTCAGCGCACACATGCGCAACCATACGTTCCACATCACGACAAGTTCTCTTAAAACACACACACACACAGGCGCACACGCACGCATGCAGCATTCTTCCCATAACCTCTCGCAGCTTCACCCAGGAGGGAAGAGGACCGAAGGACCGCAGGGTGCCTAATTAGGCGCCCTGTTGACCCAGCTGTCACCCCGACAGGTAGGTGGACAAGTTTTGAATCCAAGAATACACACACGCAACACCGGGAGGAGACGAATACCTCCCCACTTCCTTCTGCTAGGCGCTTCATAACAACTGCCCCTTGAAGGCATTAGGGTATCTTCAGCGTTTCCCCGCTTTCTTCCTATCCTCCTCCACCGCATTCACCTACATCCCTCCCGCATCAACCGTACCCAAACACGCGTCGGCACACACACATGCAGCAACACAACCCAACACACGTAACAATCCCACAAACGCAAAACGCCTCCTGCTCATTGTCACATCGGACCGTGACCACATCGTACCACAACACCACAGAAACCAACCAACAACGATCCACCTGGATGATGAAAGCACTAAACACCACCTCAATACGAAACCGAAGCATATTAAATAACATGGAAATTAAGCCGCCACCACCCATCCATCCACCCATCCAACGGTTCACGTGGCCGTTCGACCATCCCTTCCCCGGCGGTGCGAAACGCGCCGCACCTGAAGTTTGCTCACGTTGCGGACGAGGGGAAGCAGCAGCAGCAGCGGCATTGCATGAAGACCAGCACATTATGAAACCCCATCCGATCACAACACCCAGGAACGCAGAAGCAGCAGCAGCAGCGGCTACTGCTGCAAACCTCTCTCATGCCACGAACGCCGCCATACCACACACAGCACGCGTGGAATGACACGGGGTATATAAAGCAGAAGGATTAGGCGCAGGTGCAGGTGGAGGTGCCGCCCTCCGCACTCCCGGCATCTGCCCCCCAGCACCATCTACCCCCCATACGCCGTACGCGCATCAATACGGGAATCACCGTCCCCACGGGAATCACCGTACGGGAATCACCGTCCCCTTGGCATACAACCAAACTAACGCCAAGCACCACCATAGATACCTAATTCCCCCGACTGCTGCTCCCCTTTTATCTGCACGCATGTACACATAAACTGAAAAACAGCCCTCACACCGCTGCTGCCACTGTACGACAGCCTTCGTACGCCGTACACCATTGCATGCCGTACGACACCATACACGGCATCCCTCGGCACGCATCACCGTAGCAGCAACAGAGAGCCATGATCGAAATCCCCTTCCTCTGCCGGGCCGTTGTTTCCCCGCTCCTGCCGCCGCTCCTCCGCCTCCCCATCTACGTCCATCTGGTAACTCGCCTCCCGCAACAGCTGCCCATTACATGCCAATTGCTGCTGCTGCTGCTCCTCCTGTTGCTCCTTTCGGCGGTAGGAAGCGACCGCAGCCGCGGCCGCAGTGACCCGTGGGTCACTCAGCGGCAGCCGGCCTGCCACCGCCGCCGCCACAGCAGCCGCGGCGGAGGCTGCTAGCGAGGAAGCGGTAGCGCTGATGGTGTTGGTGACTGTGTTACCGGTGTTGTTGTCCCTGTCCTCGCTCGCCAGGGCCGCCACGCCGTGGAACAACCGCCCCTCCACTCCCGCTCCCTCCTCCTCCTCCTCCGCTGCCTGCTGCTGCCGCTGCTGGCTCGGCATCAGCTGCTGGCGTCGGAGCTGCGTGTGGTGTTGGTGGAAGGCGGACGCCAGCGGGCTGCCGTCCACGGTGGCGAACCTGTGTGCGTGCGGGAGGGGGGGAGGGAACAAGGAGCGAAGCGAAGAGGAGGAGGTTAGCGGGTCAGGGTCAGGGAGGTGTGGGCGGATGGAAGGGGCCGGGGTACAAAAGCAACAACAGCAACAGCAACAGCAACAGCCACAGCCACAGCCACAGCCACAGCCACAGCAACAACAACAGGAGATGCTGTACAGCTAGCAACCTAAGGTTGCGGTAGCGCACCGCGAACCCCACGCACGCACCATCCCCAGTGCACCACCCTTCCCCATCTGAGACCGCAGCTCCCCTCTCTCAGACCCCACCCGCTTCATCCCCCCCCCCTCACCAGGGCGTTCGGAACATGAGTTGCATCATGAGCAGCATGGGGTTGTCCACCGGCGGTACGGCACCGCACACCATGTCGTACAGCAGCGGGGCGCCCCGTACGTTGTTGCCCGTCATCAGCCGTACGAGTACGTCCGCGAAATGGATGCAGTTGTTGCGGATGGCGTGGTAGGGCCGGCTCTCGGCGAAGGAGATGAGCTGCGGAGGGGCAGGGAAGAGGAGCAGGGAGAGTGGGTAAGCAGGTAAGAAGAGGTGGGTAAATAAGGAGGTAAGGAGGAGCCAGAATAGGTAACAAGGCGGGCATAGGAGTGGGCGGGCGCTCTGCAGATAAGGTGGCAAGCTGGAGGGACGGAAGCAGGAGCAGGTAGGCAGGCTGGAGGGACGGAAGCAGGAGCAGGTAGGCAGGCTGGAGGGACGGAAGCAGGAGCAGGTAGGCAAGCTGGAGGGACGGAAGCAGGAGCAGGTAGGCAGGCTGGAGGGACGGAAGCAGGAGCAGGTAGGCAAGCTGGAGGGACGGAAGCAGGAGCAGGTAGGCAAGCTGGAGGGACGGAAGCAGGAGCAGGTAGGCAAGCTGGAGGGACGGAAGCAGGAGCAGGTAGGCAAGCTGGAGGGACGGAAGCAGGAGCAGGTAGGCAGGCAGGGAGCCGCAAGGCAGTTACCGTCACCCGCCAGGCGGTTGCCGAGTAACGAACACGCAATGGCACCCCCCGGGTAACCCACATCCGCACAAAACACACACACCACAACCCCAACCACCCACCTCCTGCACCAGCGGGTGCTCCACCCCGCGCAACGCGGGCCCCAGGTACAGGTACGGCAGGCTGTCATCCGCACCCGCACCCGCACCCGCACCCGCCGGTGTCACCGCCGCAGTCGCCACCGCCGTGGCAGCGTTGGCCGCCGCCGCTAGCGCCGCCGCCACCACGTTTGGTGACCCCGACGGGGGAGGAGGTGGGGGAGGGGGAGACGCAGCAGCGTCTGTGGATGCCACTGCAGGAGAGCCCTCAGCTGGAGCGGCTGCGGCAGCAGCACCGGCAGCAACACCGGTGGCAGCAGCAGCAGCGGCGGCCATAGTAGTTGCTGGTAAAGCTGGCGACACCGCGAGCGCAACATCTCTTGAAGCAGCATCAGCTGAAGCTGAAATGGTTACTTGTGAGCCAGCGGAGGAGGCAGCGGCAACAGCGGCAGTGGGGACGGAGCCGTTTGCGGAGGAATCGGAGGCGGGTGGTAGCGGTGAGGAGGCGGGTGGGGACGAACACAGCGGCAGCACTGACGGCATCATGCAGGTGGCGGTAGGGGAGGTGGTGGTGGTGGTGGTGGTAGGGATGGCGACAGGGGAGGGGGCGCTAGCAGCCCCCGCAGGGTTGGCAGCAGCAGTCTCCAATACCACTGCGGGAGCAGCGCCAGCGCCAGCACCAGCACCAGCAGCAGCAGCAGCGGGGGCCGGGGGAGGGTACGCCGCTGCCGCCAGCGCCGCCGCTGTTGGGCAGCTGCCTGCCGCTGCTGCCAGTGCCGCCGCCGCTGCGGGCGATGGGAAGGGGGTGGACTCCAGGATGGTCTTGGCGGGCGCCTCCTCCAGGATGTTGGCGGTGACGTCGGCTCCGTTGGCGGGGCCGTAGTCCAGGCAGTGCAGCAGGGGGCCCTGGGCGGGGGCGGGGGAGGGGGAAGGGGTAAGGAAAAGGGGGGAAAGGAGGAGGACCATGCGTTGGGTGAATGAGAGGGGATGTGTCATGGGGCGCGGAGAGCAGCGAGGCTGCGCGCGAGGGCGCATGGGCAGCGAGGCACTTGCCTGCCTAGGAGCTACTTGAGAGCTGTTTTTCTAGCGCGCTTCAGCAGCAGCCTTGGTTTGATTCCTCTCCTCCTCCCCTCCCGCCTCCCCCCCCACCTGCTTCACGTAGACCAGCACGTGATGCAGCACGGTACCGCACACGGCTAGGGGGCTGGCACCGTTGGGGGCGCGGACGATCCTAGGGAGGGGGAGGGGGAGAGGGAACACGACGTCAGACGGGAGTTCAGTGAGCATTGGAACATGCGGGGCACATTGTTGTGTGGTGCTGTCGTACATTGCTGTGGGGTGCTGTCGTACATTGTTGTGAGGTGCTGTCGTACATTGCTGTGAGGTGCTGTCGTACATTGCTGTGAGGTGCTGTCGTACATTGCTGTGAGGTGCTGTCGTACATTGCTGTGAGGTGCTGTCGTACATTGCTGTGAGGTGCTGTCGTACATTGCTGTGAGGTGCTGTCGTACATTGCTGTGCTGTGTTGTCGTACACCGCCTCACCCCTTTCCCTCTTGAGACAACAACTCCCTCCCCCGTGCCCAGCTGCCGCTGTCCCCCCACGCTGGCCCCACCACCCCGACCCCCACCTCTTGAGCACGTATATTCCGTCCTGCTTCACCTCCCGCACCATGCGCCCCACACCGCCCCCCGGACCCCAGCCGCCCAGCGCTGCCCGCAGCCGGTGGAAGTAGGCGGACCTGGGGGAGAGGGGGAGGAGGGTGAGAGGTGAAGGGGGAGAAGGTGAGGGGAGAGGGACACTACACCTTCTCTTCCGCTCCGACGTGGGCTGTTACAGAGATAGGGCCACCATTACCCTAACCCGCCCTAATTCCCTAACCCCCCCCTCTTCTCCAGCTCCCCTCCCACTCCCTCCCACAGAACAGGCTCCCCAGCTCCCTCCTCCCTCCACCCCCCCCCCTTGCCACTCACATGGACTCCCCAAAGCCCGCTGACAGCAGCTGGTCCGAAAAGCCAGCCTCCAAGTCGTCAGGCACACCCATCTCCGTCTCAGCTGCTGCTGGTGCTGACGGCTTCACCCCCGCCTCCGACTCAGCTGTTGTTGACGCCTGAGACGTAGCAGTAGCGGCCTCAGCCTGCGCAACCGCCGGCACAGCGTTTGAATCGTCCACCGAAGCTGTCTCCCCCAACAGCGCCCTCTGGAGCTGCGCAGGTTCGCGCGGGTCCGTGTTGGCTTTGACCGAGTCAACCAGATCCATGGGAGCCGGAGTCGGGAGCTGTTGCGAAACGTCTTGAGGAACGGCTTGAATCGGAGTTGCGGCCTGCTGCCCGCCCAAGTCGCCATCTCCGAGGTCCTCAGCAGATAGCAGGGATGTAGGGAATAGATGTTGCTGTGATAAAAGTGAAGAAGAGTCTTGGTTCTGGGCGGGATGCTGTTTTTGTTGTGTCGCAAGGTTCTTAATGGACTTTACACGCTGCCGCTTCAGCGACAGGATGTTCTCCAGCGAGGGTGCATTGTGAAGATGAAGCTGATGCCGTTGGTGCTGGGGCTGGAATGAGCCATGCTGCTGTGAGTAGCCATCAGTGATGTCGATGGGTACATCGGCTTGCACGGCGGCAGCCGCCGGTGCGCCCCCACTGATCATTGGTTTAAGCTTCGACTTCTGTGCTATACCTAATGCCCCCTGCAAATAGGTTACGGGCGTTATGACAGGGCGAGACCTGGTGATTAGGAGCACGATACGTGCGCAGTGCGTGCGCTGCGTTACATGAGTCATTGGGCATGTTTTAGGCTTATATCATGCTGCATATGAAAGCTCTGGAGGGCCGCGAATAGTCGAGAATTAACCGGTACAACAGAACCCGCTGCAACCGAAGAACCCTTCATGCAGGCCCTTGCAATTACCACCACCAAACAGAATTATAATTACTCCCTGTTTCTAGCATCTTCTACGCGGGAAGGCATTTACGCGACACATACCGTGACAGTTGCTTGTGAGCGCTGCGCACACATCTTGCACACCCTCTCGCGGAACCTCGCGTGCTCGCGTGCCCGGAGCAACCTCAGCGGAAAGGCTACTCTCGCAGACATTAGTGCGTGAATCTATAATCAAGTGGTTAAACCGCTTGTCTACGGCAGTGGGTTCGTGTGGAGCCGAGTCTTTAGACACGCACACACCCCTCGCACCCTTCGTATATGTAAGTATACCGTTTGCGCTGTTCCCTTGACTTAAACCGTACCGCATTTATATCCTGGTCCCGTGTGGCGTTCGGGGCCTGGTCAGGCCCCGAACTAGGCCCATGGCTTCCTTCAAGGTTCGGATCAGGGTGCCGCAGCCGAAGAAGTGTGCTTGCCTCAACGCTGTTTCCTTCTACTTCGCACCCGGAACATGTAAACCCAGGGCCCCCTACGCCATGCCAGGCCCTGCCAATCACCTGTATTGTCACAGCGGTTAGTTACAACGGTACCTGGAAGTTGCAGCGTTTCAGTGTACCGGTACACCCGTGTTGTTCGGAAACGACCTATCGCACGTGCACCCCCTTCCCTATCGCCTCCTCCCCCCCACCGCCCGCTGTGACACTTCACCGGTACGGCAACTCGTGCTGCGTGTCGTGCTAGGTCGTGTTGCGACGGCTTGTAAGACCATCCACCATCCTTCTCCACGACGTCACTCTTCGCGTCAGTTTCCCAATCATCAACACTCGGCCCGCATGCACCTTGTCGCTTCCCCACTTCCTCGCGTCTTTGCTGGCGTGTTGCCTCCGCGCGGTCTGCCCGGCCTGTCTGGCCCGACGGAGTACAAACAAGAGAGAGACCACGCATCGGAGGATAAGGAACAGCTATGCCACCAACAGCTATGCCGCAGAACGCGAGAAGCGGGCCCACTGCTGTGGGGCTGCTACTGGGGTGTCGACAACCGCGCTGCCAACCACGAACACCCCCACACAGCGCCCCCTCACGCACTCGCCGCACCTGCCCCCAAGCATGCATGCATGCATACATACCGGCACCCGCCTCACCACTAACATATCCTACCCTACATACACTTTTGTTTCACTTATTTAATTTTTTACCCTACATACATCATAATTACCCTACATACATCAGCATGAGGTACGTGTGTGTCTCTCCGCTGGTCTTAACATACATACATACATACATACCTCCTGTATGTCCGTCTCTCCCGCAGCAGTGGGCCTGCAGTGCGACAGCAGCCGCCGTACAAACCAGCCGCACTCCCTCATGCAGGCGTGCAAGTGGCGGTGTACGACCTAGCTCTCCACCCCCCTCTCCCGCCGCAGCCCTACACCTCCTCTCCCGCCGGCGCATGCTCGCTCCGCTGCGCCTCCGTCAACCCCAGCCGCCCCACCTTCTCCGCCGCCGCCTGCACCCGCCCCTCCCCATCCTGCCCCACCGCCTCCATCCGCCCATCCTGCCCCCCCTGCCCCTGCCCCTGCCCTCCCGCGCCCGGCGGTCCCGTCCTGTGCGCCCCGCTGCTGCCCGGCCCCAGCGGCCGCAGCTGGGTGGCCCGCACCGCCGCCCGCCTGCGGGGCTTGGAGAGGTCGGGCTCGCCCCACACGAGGCGCAGCCGGGGCAGCCGCAGCGCGCAGTAGGAGGAGAGGGCCTGGGAGGGGGAGGGAGGGAGGGGGCGATGGAAGGGGGGGGCACAGTTGCAGCTAGCTAGGAGGACTGTTGGACAGCGGCAGCCGGGGGCAGCCAGGGAGTATGTTACACAGCTGTGCGAGCCACGTACGTACAGGGCCCCCCTCCTCCCCAACCACCCCACCCTCCTCCTCACCTCCGGAGAGACCCCCTTGTCCTTCACCTCCGCAACCAGCACCACCACATCCTCCCACGCCATGTTGAGCCCCATGCCGTCCGGGGGCCCGGTGTGCGCCGCGTCACCCACCACCACCACATTGCCGCGGACCCAGTCGGGGGCCTGGGGGGGGGAGGGGGGTGCGGGGGTTTGTGAGAGTGTGTGTTTGTGAGAGAGTGTGTGGGGGGGAAAGAGGGATATATTCGATGCGAGGTGCGACAGTGATAAACCAGGTGACAAGCCCTGGGGTGAAAGGTACCGGCGAGGCGAGCAGGCCCAGTCAGGCCCAGTCAGCCCCACCCCCCGCCCCGATGCGCACGCACCCCCTGGATGGCGTCCATGTCGTGGGTGTAGTAGCCGTGTTCCGTGATGACCCGCGGGTCGGTGCGGGTCAGCAGGTCGCGCAGCTCGGGCGGGTGGTGCCGGAAGACGGCCAGGCAGCGGGACTTGGGGTCGGAGCCGGCGGAGCCTTGGGGGAGGAGGGGGAGGGGGGAAGGGGAGGATAAATGAAAAATGAAGTAAATAAATAATAAACGAAAAATGAAGCAACAGGAGCGGCTAGGGGAGAGATACGAGATATGCAGATGCAGGAGATGAGCAGGAGAAGACCTAAGCCGCGGGCCTTCTCATCCCCTGCCTCCCTCCTCCACCCTCCTCCCTCCTCCGCCCCCCTCCCCTCCCCCACCTGTTTGCTGAATGCCCAGGTCCTGGTCGGCTTCCCGCATGAGGGGGCTCCAGGGGGGCAGGCCTGGGTGGGGGGGAGGTAGGGGGGGCGGAGGGAGGGGTATGAGAAGGAACAGCCAACCGTGTGATAGGGAGCCCGCATGCCGGAATGGGATGGAGGGGTGGGATGGCGGGTGCGGACCCCCCTGTCCTGAACATCACTACCGCTCCCAATACTACCCCACCACCGATCCCCTACGTATCACCACCGGCCCCCCCCTCCCCTCCCGCCCCCTCCCAATCCCCCACCCGCCGCCTCAATGTCCGCTGCCGGCGCGGAGCAGGTCCACACGAAGCGCCCGTCGTTCACCGGGTACACCAGCGCAGTGCGCAGGGGGGGCTGGGGGGAGGGGAAGAAGGGGGGGACGGGGGGAGGGAGGGGAGTACGTGAAGATTGAAGCAAGCGGGGAGGGATGGTGGGTTTGCCATCCGGAACTGACGGGGCCGGCTAGGGAAGAGGGGGTATAATGTGGCTCCGCTAACGTTTAACCCACCCTACCCCACCCACCCTCACCTGCCCCGGCGCCATCCACCACACCGCCGCTGCGGCGCCGTCCGCCTGCCGCAGCAGCTCCGGCATGACCCGTGGGTCGCTGTAGCCCACCAGCGCCCGCCAGATGACCTTGCCGCGGAAGGAGGGCAGCAGCGGGGGACCGGAGGCGCCGAAGGCCTGAGGGGAGAGGGTGGGGTGGGGAGGGCAGGGCGGGATGGGCAGGGCGGGGTGGGCGGGAGTGAGGACGGGATGGGGTACGGCAGGGAGGCATGGGAGGAGGTGGTATGGAGGACAGGGATCAGATACCGGTAAGCTGAGCCGCGAGGAAACATCGAGGGGGCAGCGAGGAGGGTATGCGTGTGGCTGCGCGCTTGCGGGCGGGGATGTGGTTTGCAATCGCCATGACGCCACTGCTGCCACCCTAGCAGCTAGCACTACTACGGCCTGTTCCCCCCGCCCCCGCCCGTCAAAAGGCCCCTATAGGAGCTAAAGTACGAAACCTCCCGCCCTCCTCCTCACCATCCTCTTGGTGCGGCTGTAGTAGCCGTCCGCGGCGATGACAAGGCCGGCCGTGACGGTGCGGGCGCGACTGCTGCTGCCGCTGCCACCACCCTCCTCATCGCCGCTGCCTGGGGCCTGCATAGGGGCAAGGGGGTATAGGGGCATGGGAGCCTCATTGGGGCAGAACGCCTTCCAGGAGCCCCGCAGGCAGCGCAAAGCAGGCGTCCCAATGCATTACATACCCCCCCGATTCATGGTTCTTATCCTTGTTCCCCCCCCCCCGCACCCGCACCTGCACCTGCAGCTGCAGGACGGCGGGCTTGCCCCCGGGTTCGCCAGGCGTAATCCCCACCACACGGGTGCCGAAACACACCGTGTCTGGAGGGCACACAAAGGGGGGGGGGAGAAGGGTTACAAGGAGGGACCCATGGGTCACAAGGCCGGGACCGAGATTCTCCCACTTTCCCGTCGCTCGCCTCACGCCATCCTCCCCTCACCCCGCACCCAGCCTCCCCGCATACAGCCCGTCAGTCTCTTCCTCTTTCCCGCCCCTACATCCCCCCCTCCCTCACCCCCTGCCCCCTGCCCCTCTCACCCCCCGGCAGCGCCTCCCACAGCAGCTGCCGGATGTCGCCCCAGTGAACCATCACGCTGGTGTGCCCGTGGAGCTGATGAAGGGGGGAGGGGAGAGGTGGGGGGGTGTAGGTGGGGGGAAACGAGGAGGATTGATGCGTGGGGCGACGGTTGGGGATGTGTGGGTGGGTTTCGGAGGGCGAGTGGTTCGGGTGGCGAGCGCTCTCCCCCCGAACCGTGCAGCCAATACTACCACCACCGGTGCACCCAAGCAGCCCCCGCCGCACGCACGCGCCCCAGCCCCCTCCTCCTACCCGTACCGCACGGTCCGTTATATGTTTCCTCTTTTACCCCCTACCCGCCCCGCTATGTATTGTAGCCTTGCTACAGCCCCCCTCCCTACCCGCATGTTGTCCTCGTGCTCTGTCCGCAGAGGCGGCTCGGGGAAGGGCCGACCCGCCTCGTCGTAGTACCTGGGGTGGGCAGCAGGGGGCAGGCGGCAGGGGGCAGGCGGCAGGCTAGGCTTCTTAGAGGGGAGAAAACAAGCAGACACTTACTCCTTATGTCTTGGCCCCTTGTGACAACACGTCAGGGCAAATAAGCCAGACGTGTTGTGATACCCTCACAACATGTTGTATATGTCCTCACCGCTCATCATACATCAAAGTAGCACACCGAGCAGAGTACAAACCACCGCAGCAGTCCCCCAGCCCCCCCCCGCCTCCCGCATGCGCTACCTGGACCCGCGTATGAGTATGCCCCTGCCCCGCATGCGCTCCGCCAGCTGCTGGTCCACCGCGTGCAGCGCCCGCCAGCCGTTGATCTCGATGGACACGCCCGCACCCTGGGGGTGGTAGCTGCGGGCCGCCTCGAACACCTGGGGGCGGGGGAGGGGCGGGGGAGGGGAGGGGGAGGAAATGCATGAGAAGTGGCAGGGGGGACTTCCCCTCGACCCTACTGCCCGACCCAGATCACGGAACGCAGGCCCTCTAGCACATCGCATGCTACATCGCTCTTATCACACCTTCAGCAGCCGCAGCGCAGTTATACCCGTGCACAGCCAAGCAGCATCCAATGCAGCCCGACCCAAGCATCTATACCACTAGCATCTATACCACTAGCACGCTACCGGTATTCCATCACAAATGCCCCCGACCTTGACACTGGCGGTTGGCAGTGCCGACATCACAGCCTTTGCGGCCAGCAATCCGGCAGGGCCGCCCCCGATGATTGCAATGTCGTAGTGTGGAGCCAGTCCGTCGCTTGGGGCCGCAGCAGCGGCAGCGCGCTCGGAGCCGTGCGCTTCGGCGTTGACGGACATGGCGTGGCAGTTGGTTGCAGGCAGTGGCTTTGTGCAGCGCAAACCTAAGGAGTTTGCCAGTGGTAATAGGCGTACAGGGCTTTGCAATTGTGCGTTGCGACGCTTGGCCTGGAGCCGTGGAGCAGTGGCTGTAGTAGGAAGTCTGGCCGAGTAAGGTTGGCGGTGTTGCAAACCGCTTAGCGTGAAGTGCGACATGACGTGGGTTGAGACAAGGACGTCGGTCGGCGAAGGCGTTGTGCACTTTTATGCAAGGAGGAAAGCCGTCGATTCGTTGGACTGTGACGCGGCCCACTTCGGTTCCCCTAAGAAATTTTGACCGAGCTCAGACTCAAGTAAAATTGACTTCTACTGCTATGTAGTAATAAGCAATACTGTATTATAGCAGGCAACTACGCAGCTGCGCGTTGGGGCGCCGTATCTTTGCATGCCACTGAGTGGAGCGAGTCTCCGTAGAGCACATGAAGTGGCAAGGCCACTCCGACTGCTAAGATAGGCGTTGATATGTTGTTGCAATTACTCGGGCAGCTGTCTTAAACTGATATCCGCATTCTCGCGCATGGAACTTTTAACCGTCGTGGCGACATGTCGGTTGCCAATGTCCCCGCCAGCCATGCGCACACACGCCGGCAGCGCCCAAACCCTCGGTGGTGCCCCCCTCAAAGGCCATGGGCTAGGCATGGCCAATCATCTCCGAAACTATGACGCTCCCACAGAGACACAGATGGCAGAAAGGAATAAGGCACGCACCCAGTTGGTTCTCACGACCTACTACCCCGAAAGTCTATACCCCCCAAGGTCAGATGGCAGAGCAGACGAAAAGCAGCCAGACGGCAGTCATGCACCTGACGCCGCGGACGCTTGATTTGCGGCATTCCTACGACCAGGCATTCCAACGTACAAGGCATGATCCCTGAACGCACTTACCATCAGCCTCTCCGTATCCGCATCCAAAATACAAATGCATACGACATCGGGCATAACTTATGCCCCTGGGGCATACCTTATGCTCTGGGTATAACTTATGCCCGGGGCATAACCTATGTCCGGGGTATTAATTATGCCCGGGGTATAACTCAAGCATGCTCGCCAACCTCCCAAGCTCTTCATTATGTCGCAGGGACGTGACTCCGGGGCATAACATATGCACCAGGGGGCATAAGTTATGCCCCCGGGGGCATAAGGCTGGGGCATAACTTATGCCCCGGGTGTAACTTTTGCCCCTCCTTTGAAAAGCGAATGGCGCTGCCCCATTCCCCGAGACAATTTTGCAGAAGCTGAAAATTAATACCAGTACTAACGGTGTGCACGCACGCAAAGGTTAGCAGCAGCAGGTGTACATAGCACGGTGTATGGTCGCAGTTGCAAAACGCTGCGTACTTCTTCCCGTGGGTGCCTAGGTGCGGTTCTTCCGTGTTACTGAATAGCATGATGGGGCAGGTGTCGTGCTTCCTTGCGTATATCCTGTCTTTCCTTGCCCAACGTAAGTGTTCCTGTATGTGCCTTTGGACCTGTGCTGCCTTTTAATGAAACGGGTGTGGGTAGGACTGGTCTATACTCAAGCCTAGTGGTATAAGCTCGTGTGTCTCGTTAACGGGGTTGCCATGAGAGCTTTAATCATGCGTAGTGGTCTAGGTTGCTTGGGAACCACCACTGAAGGTTTGGTCACTGGCGAGTATGTGCGCATGGCTGGTGCTGACATCGACAGCTGACATGTCTCGCCACAATGGTTCAATGTTTTCTGCGCTAAAATGCATGCAAGAGTTCGGAGCAGATGGACCAATGCATGTAGCAACATATCAATGCCTTCCGTAGCAGTCGGAATGGGCTTGCCACTTATGTGCTCTACAAAGTGGCATGCAAAGATACGGCACCCAAACGCGCAACTGAGCCATTGCCTGCTATATTACGGTACTTCCTATTGCTACATAGCAGTAGAAGTCACTTTTGATTGAGTCTGAGCTCGGTCAAAATTTCTTAGGGGAACCGAAGTGGGCCACTCACCCGTGACCGTGACCACGCGTGAGCCCTTGGAGGCATCGACGCATGCATGCAAGTATGTGGCCGTTATCGTGGCGATGCCATGCACCCGAATATGGGGATACTTATAGACAGAATCCCCACTTTTAGTGGTTGATGTGTCAACCAAGAATACGGCTGGGTCGTACACGAAATTATTGCTTATGCAGCCTTTTTGCTGCAAAGGATTACCAAGTCTGCCAACCAGGGCAGTTGGCCGTAGGTTCAGGTGGTTTAATTTATTGTATTAAAGCTGTGGCGCCGCACTTCAATCAGGCTGGGCTTTACACTCCAAACAGATTTTTTTGACGCGTTGACTTGCTTAATTTCGCAACTAGCATAACTATCAGCTTGCACCTGGTTTCCTAGGATTTTGGGGGCCCCGTAAGGGCACAATCGATATGGACAAGCTTTTAGACTTCGGCTTCCAGAACATCGAGCTATGGCGCAGCGAGGAGATGGAGCTTGTGAGGCTGCTCATACCGAGCGAGAGTGCCCACGATACCGTGGCGGCCCTTGGCGAGGTTGGCCTACTTCAGTTCAAGGACCTTAACAGCGAGAAGAGCGCCTTCCAGCGTACTTACGCCAACCAGGTAATTGCAAGTTTTGTAATTATGTTAAACCAGCACGCTCCCCGGTGTCCGCATATTCCAGCATAATTGCGCTGAGGCCATCAACTTCTTGCCGCCATGACACCCTTGCCTTCCATGATCGTTCTATGCAGGTCAAGCGCTGCGATGAGATGGCACGCAGGTTGCGCTTTTTCCGTGAGCAAATCGACAAAGCAGGGCTTGCCCCAGCTGTGCACGGGACTCCGACGGGGAAGCATGAGCTTGACGACCTCGAGAACAAACTTGAAGAGCTTGAGAAGGAGCTTATTAGCATGAACGACAACTCCGAGCGCCTTGACCGCACTTATAACGAGCTGGTTGAGCTGCAGGTGAGCATGTACGCTGAACGAGTGCAACACCGTCACTGCCAAGTACAGCGACATTAGCTGATCTTGCTCGTGTTGCCAAAATCTTATTACAGGTGGTCCTGGAGCATGCGGGAAAGTTCTTTGACAAGGCCAAGGCCAACGTCCGGGCGGACGCGTTCGAGCGGGAGTATTCGGGTGTGGAGACTTCTGATGCACCGTTGCTGGAGACGGGGGTAAGAACCAGCGGTTGCCGGGGTTATGTAGGAGAGGGCTTGTCGTGAATAGCGCCGCGCGTTGTCAACCCCACCATGCATGCATAACAGCTATCGTGGGAAACCCAGATGCTTGTGGCATGTGCCCATACAATGGCTTGCCAAACCCCTATCACAGCTCTACCTTATAACCGTCGCACCTGAATCGAATTCGAACTGGGTCGTCTTCATGCTCCCCCGTAGGCCCAGGAGAAGGTTTCGCGGATTGGCTTTGTGGCGGGCACCATCCCAGCGGACAAGGTGAACGGCTTCGAGCGGCTGCTGTTCCGCGCGACTCGCGGCAACATGTACCTCCGGCAGGGCTCCGTGGGGAGGGTGAAGGACCCTATTACCAACGAGACCGTCAACAAGCACGTCTTCGTCATCTTCTTTGCTGGCGACCGCTCAAAGATTAAGATCATGAAGGTGTGTCGCGTTCCTACTAGTGACCATACGGGAGTGAACTGGCCTTGAACTGTGCTTGCAGCTAACCAGTCCGCCGTCTTTGGACTCATGCGTAGCCTAACCCCTTTCTCATAGGTTGAAAGATGTATTGGGTTACCTGCCTGCCTCCCTGCAGATCTGCGAGGCCTTCGGCGCCAACCGATACCCCTTCCCCGACGAGGCGGCTCGCCAACGGCAGATGGACAGCGAGGTGACGGCACGCATCCGGGAGCTGCAGACCACGATCGACGTTGGCGAGCGGCACCGCACGTCGCTGCTGCAGACCATCGCCACCAACCTGGACGAGTGGACGACGCTGGTAAGCAACGTTCCCCCATCTGGGTCGCATCATATCCTTTCTAGGCTGCACCTTCCTCTCGTGTGATTGTGACTCAGCAATAGTATGGGCCATAGGTCCTATCGGAACTGCTAACCCCCTGGTTCCGCCCCAGTATGGGCCATAGGTCCTATCGGAACTGCTAACCCCCTGGTTCCGCCCCTGTTCACGGCTTAGGTGCGGCGCGAGAAGGCAGTGTACCATACGCTCAACAAGATGAACGTGGACGTGACCAGCAAGGTGCTGGTGGCGGAGGCTTGGGTGCCATCGGTTGCGAAGGCGGACGTGCAGCGGGCCCTGCGGGAGAGCGCCGAGAACAGCAGCACACAGGTAGGCAGGCAGTTGGCGTGCTGGGCCTTGTTCTTTGGGGCTGTTCAGCGCGAGAAAAGGGGTGCTAAAGCTACCCCTGTGCGGTATGTGTGTCCCATTGTAACCCAAACTGTGTGCGTTTGGCGTCCTCCCGCTGCCCCCACCTCCTGTTCCCCGCAGCTCAATGTCATCATGCAGCCCGTCCTCACGCACGAGCAGCCGCCCACCTACTACCGCACCAACAAGTTCACGTCGGCCTTCCAGAACATTGTCGACTCGTACGGCATTGCGCGGTACCGTGAGGTCAACCCCGCGGTGCTGACGCTCATGACCTTCCCTTTCCTGTTTGCCGTCATGTTCGGCGACTTTGGACACGCCATTCTCATGATTGCTTTCGCCGCCTTCTTGGTGATCAAGGAGAAGAAGCTAGCGAAGCAGGTGGGTGCGCTAGCTTGGGTGGGTTCGTGGACTTCGTCTTGCGTAGCAGCTAGGGCACCATCAGCAAGAGGTTTGCCTGCCCGGGGGCAATGCACATGCACCTATCCGACCATGTTATACTGCGGCAAGTGTAGTAACCTACCTTCCCATGCTGGCTGGCTGCAGGATCTGGGCGACATGCTGTCCCTGCTGTTCGGCGGTCGCTATGTCATCCTGCTGATGGGCATCTTCTCCCTCTACATGGGCCTTATCTACAACGAGTTCTTCTCCATGCCCACCGTCATCTTTGGCCACACCAAGTTCAAGTGCTACAATGCTGACCTGTCGGAGATCGTGAACGCCCGTGGCCAGCCGATCACCAACATGATTGACCCCCGCGACTGCAAGATGCTCTACAAGTACGTTGGGCAGCCCATTTTGTGACTGGCATGCTTGGCTTTGGTGGATTGATCGTGTACAGCTGACCTTGCAAGTTGTTCTTCATGCATATATTCTTTCATGACCTAATGTGGTTATCCGTGCACTGCTTCCATTGCAGGGGTGTCCTGAAGATGCCCCCTGACAGCGCGCCCATCGTCTTCGGGATGGACCCCATCTGGCACGGCCGCAAGACCGAGGTAAGAGGGATGGCTAATCGGGTTATCGTGTGTCTCCGGAGCTTTAAGACGGACAGTGCATGACCCCCATTTCCCCCCAACCTCTCTTCCGTGCAGCTGCCGTACCTGAACTCCGTTAAGATGAAGATGTCGATCCTCTTGGGCGTGACGCACATGGACTTCGGCATTCTCAACTCGCTCTTCAACAACCTGTACTTCAGGTGAGCTGGAAGCCGGGAGTTGGTTGTTATGCTCGCTGATGGAATACAACATTGCATGCATGACCTCCTGCCACACTAACACGCTGCTTACATCTTTGTTTGACACCCACCCGTGATTGTCCCGGTCCTTGCAAAACAGGGACACGTTGTCAACGGTCTGCGAGTTCATTCCTCAGATGATCTTCCTCAACGGCATCTTCGGCTACCTGTGCCTGCTGATTGTCATCAAGTGGTGCACGGGCAAGCTGACGGACCTCTACCACGTTATGATCTACATGTTCCTGTCGCCCGGTAGGTTCCTGTTAGGACCTGACGCGTCCTACGTGTTACTCCTTGCTGAGACTGGCTTGTGCGATGTTCGGGAACTGCACGATGCTGGCTTTCTCACGCGTCCTTCCCTCGTTATTGCCTGCCTGACCAGGCTCGGGCCCGGAGAACAAGGCGGATGAGCTGATCAACGGGCAGGGCGGCCTTCAGGTGTTCCTGCTGCTGGTTGCCTTCTTTGCTGTTCCGTGGATGCTGCTGCCGAAGCCGCTGATCCTCAAGAAGCGGCACGAGGCCATGCAGGCTGCCAAGGTAGGGCACGGCTGTAGAAGGTTGCGAGCACTGACTGGGTACCAAGTGCGTCTTCTGGCCCCCACCTGTTCCCCATTAATAGCGTCAGTGGCTTAACTCCGCGCATTGCATGTGCTCCACAGGGCCGGTCGGTCGAGATGACCCAGAACTACGGGGCGCTGGCTGACGACGAGGAGAGCCGCCACCGGCCGCACGGCGGCGCCCACGGGAGCAGCCAGTCCCATGGTGGAGGCGACCACGGCGGTGGCCACGGTGGACACGGGCACGGGGAGTTTGAGTTCGGCGAGGTCATGGTTCACCAGGTACGCGGCGGGAAAGGTGTACCCACGGTTGGGGTGCGTCGTTGAGAAGCGGGTTCATGCAGTTGCGCCTTGCAGCTGTCATTCAATATACATTTCGAGCACCTACTGGCGCTACTGCTGTACGTACCAACCTAGCCCCTGTGCACGTTACATTGCGCTTGTTCCACAGATGATCCACACCATTGAGTTCGTGCTGGGCGCTGTGTCCAACACCGCCTCCTACTTGCGTCTGTGGGCTCTGTCGCTGGCGCACAGCCAGCTGTCCGGTGTCTTCTACGACCGCGTGCTGATGCTGACCATCTCCATGAACAGCGTGCCGGCTATGATTATCGGCTTCTTCGTCTTTGCCTGCGCGACGCTGGGCGTGCTGATGGTGATGGAGTCGCTGTCGGCCTTCCTGCACGCGCTGCGCCTGCACTGGGTGGAGTACCAGAACAAGTTCTACAAGGGTGACGGCTACAAGTTTGCGCCCTTCAACTTTAGCGACCTGAAGCAGCTTGAGGAGTCTCCGGGCCAGTAAACGGCCCTCTGCTAGTAGGATGACGTGGGGGAGGCGCCATGCATGCAGCAGCAGCGGCAAGGCGGCGTTAGTAGAAGCATGACGGCCGCCAGGTTGTGTTTCGCGTATAATGAGGCAGGGAATAGCTTTAGGCACACCACCCGAAGCTGTGGCTTTAGCTACGAGCGCATGGTTGGATTGCAACTAGGAGTGTCGCTGGCCATGTAGGCTCCTGCCTTCAACAGGCGCAACTGTAGGCACGGCACCGCGGTTGGGAATGGGGCATGGGCTGTAATTGGCGGCTTCTGACTGAGAGAATGTGTGTATGTTCGACTTGGTTATCTAGCTGCTACTGCCCACTGGGATTGGCAGAGACTGGCGCTGTGGGTCCATAGCCTGTGTGCTCTGCTCGATGCAGGCAACGTGGATACATGCTGCAGAGGGTTAAGCGAGAACTTGAGTGCGATTCTTGCGTGACTGAACCCGCATGGGTGCGTGAAAAACCATTATAAGTGCAAGTAGATGGGGAGTACCGTATATGACACCCTGTTGGGGCAAGGGTGCGTGAGGTTTCACCGTCGTGCAAGGGTGCGATTGTGCCCCCAAACCGGTAACCCGTGCTTGGTGGCGTGTTTCGGAAGAATTGGGGTTCAATCTACCCTTACCAGTTATAAATTGTAGTGCTGGCAATTGATCGAGTCTGGGCGCACGTTTGTCCATGACGCTTCTGCTCGTATGGGGTTCATGAATACGTGGTCGTCTGGACACATTGACCTTTGGCCTCGATGTGTAAGGGAACATGCGTCTTTACCACAACCGTTCGGACCTCGTGGGGATTTGGGTTGACCGCAGTACAGGATAACGATTCAGCCCAGCAGCCCTGCTGGGGCGGAGGCAAACGCGAAAGGGCCGGACAAGGTACTAATAGGGTACCTTAGGCTACCAGCCCCATCATCGTACGGCAAGAGCCGTTTGACGTTGGGCCGGCACATACCATTTAACTGGTGGAGAGAAACCTCGGTATGCAAAGTGCATGTTCGTCGCCTGCGCAACGAGCGGGGTGTAAACACGTCCCAACACAACCCAGCGGTTGGTTCGCGAGCAACATGCCAGCGGTTGGTCTGTAAAGAGCTGCGCCCCATTCCCCAGCGAGCTCCTTGCTTAAAATTGCTCTACTATGGCGCGCCCCTGTTGCAACACGGTTGCCTGAGCCATAAGGACATGCGATGTGCCAGGGTTACTTTACGCGTCAACGGTGCACAATAACTTAATATTGCAATGAATTACAATGGTGGGTGTTGCCTATTGTACTACCTTTGATTGGCCTTCGGGTCTTACGTGTGACGATTGGGATGTGCATCGCCTCATGCACCCTATCATAAAAACAGGCTTCCTTCTTTGTCAACTTTCCCATTGTCGAGACGGTCTATTATATACTGACTTAATAGTTCAAGGATACGTCCTAGCGTCCCCTTCAGGCTTACTAGATCCACCCGATCGCAACCTATCAGTTAAAGGCAGCAGCGCGTGCGCACTTCCTTTTAACCGGTTAGGATCTAGGAGGGCAGGATGGCGACTGCTGATGTCTTGCCACCTAGGGGGGACGACATGGAGACGGATGCCCCTATGCTAGTGCCAGAGACAGTAACCACAAGCGGGGCAGATGAGGATCTGTACTCGACGCTTAAGAACCTGCAGCGTCAGCTTGAGTTCCTGGAGATTCAGGAGGAGTACATTAAGGAGGAGCAGAAGAACCTCAAGCGCGAACTGCTGCGCGCGCAAGAGGAAGTCAAGCGCATTCAGAGCGTGCCGCTGGTCATCGGACAGTTCCTGGAAATGGTTGATGCGAACAGCGGCATTGTTGGCTCCACCACGGGCTCCAACTACTACGTCCGCATCCTGAGCACCCTCAATCGGGAATTGCTCAAGCCATCTGCCTCGGTGGCGCTTCACCGGCACTCCAACGCGCTGGTGGACATCCTGCCTCCCGAGGCAGACAGCAGCATCTCGCTGCTGGGAGACAACGAGCGCCCGGACGTGACCTACTCGGTGGGTTGGTTACATGGGTAGTGAGTGCTGGTGTTTGGAGGCTGTTCAAGGGACTACTTGTTCGGAGAGGTTGGTTTTGAACTGGAGTTGGCCAGGGGAAGAGTTATGGGGGAAGCGCTTCCGGAGAAAGGAAGGAAAGCAGCTTGCGAGTTGTGCGGTCCTGCTGGGTCCTGTTGTTGAGTCGCCGTGGCACTGAGTGCTCCTCGCCCTTACCAGTACTGCCGCTGCCGCCCCTGCAGGACATTGGCGGGTACGACATGCAGAAGCAGGAGATCCGCGAGGCGGTGGAGCTGCCGCTGGTGCAGGCGGACCTGTACAAGCAGATCGGCATCGACCCGCCGCGGGGCGTGCTGCTGTATGGTGGGTGGGGTTGCGGGAGGGATGACTCAAGTGGTGGTGAGCGATGGTGATGGGCGGAGGGGGATGGGGAGGGGATGGCTGTCACGGATGGAGGGAGGATGGTTAAGTCAAGCGTTTGGGGGTGCTGCTTCTGTGCAGGGATGATGGGGGGTGTGAGGGGAGAGCGAACATAGCGTGCAAATCCCCCTGCTACCTTGTGCCGAGAATGCAAGCACAGCAACCCAAGGGTGCTGTTCCCGGGTAGCCATATCATGCATGTGCGTCCCCCAGCCCCCATACCTACATCGTGCATTCCTCCATCCTCCTGCCCCTCCCTCCCTCCCTCCCTCCCTCCTGCTCACCCCCAACCCCCAGGTCCCCCCGGCACCGGCAAGACCATGCTGGCCAAGGCGGTGGCGCACCACACCACCGCCGCCTTCATCCGCGTGGTGGGGTCGGAGTTCGTGCAAAAGTACCTGGGAGAGGTGAGGGGCGGGGGTGGGAGGGGAGGGGGGGAGGGGGAGAAGGCAGCTATAAAGACGTACAGTGTGAAGCAGCAGTCAGGACAGCACTAAGGAGCGTGGTGGGGCAGTGGGAAGAAGGGGGGCAACACGCAAGCAATCAAACCGCAGACGAGGGATCGGGAGGACAGGGAGGACAGGGTGCGAGAAGGCCTTCCTATCTAGCCACACCCTCTCGACCAGCCAAACACACCCCGCACCACCTTACCATCATTTTAACTCGTTGAGCCTCCTCCCCCCACCCCAGGGCCCCCGCATGGTCCGCGACGTGTTCCGCCTGGCCAAGGAGAACGCGCCCTCCATCATCTTCATCGACGAGGTGCGAGCGGAGCCAGCTGCGTGTGTGTGTGTGCTGTGCATGCGTGATGCATGGGCGGTTGCTGCGCTGTGCGGACTTGGTTCTTCTTCTTCCTCTTTCCCTCACCCCTCACCCCCCTGATCCCTCACCCGCACCCCTCACCCCCGCCCCCCTCCCCCAGGTTGACGCCATCGCCACCGCCCGCTTCGACGCCCAGACGGGTGCGGACCGCGAGGTGCAGCGCATCCTCATGGAGCTGCTCAACCAGATGGACGGATTCGACCAGACAGTCAACGTCAAGGTGGGTTTAAATTAGGCAATTGGCGAACGTCAAGGTGGGGGGAGGGGGGGACGGTGAATGTCAAGGCGGGGGAGTGGGAAAGAAGATAATTTAGCATATGTGGAATGGTAAACGGGAGGGGAGGTAGGGGGTTGGGAGGAGGACCTCAGGACGGTGTCAATGTCTAGGTAAAGAGGGGGTGATGTAGCAACCCATGCTGATGCCAGCATGTCATGCAACTCGTCGGTTTCCATGATCCCTCCCCCCCCTCCCCCCCCCCCCACGAAACACAGGTTATCATGGCCACCAACCGCGCCGACACGCTGGACCCCGCGCTGCTGCGGCCGGGCCGGCTGGACCGCAAGATCGAGTTCCCCGTGCCGGACCGCAGGCAGAAGCGCCTCATCTTCCAGGTAGGCGGGGAGGGGGCGGGGTTCAGGGTGTGAGGATGTGAGCAGGAGGATCCTAGCGGACCGGAGGGCGAGGGGGCTCCACCAGGGGGGGGGCTGCATGGCACCTAGCCCAGGAGCCCATCCCTGTCATGTTAAGAGGTCCTTACAGCCTTGCCTGTCTCCCTTATGCCCCCTACCCCCCCAAATTCCCCGGCCGGCTCCCCTCCCCATTACTTCGCCTCCTAAACTGTAGCTTCCAATGCTCTTCGGTACACTCTCTGACCCCCCCCCCCGCTCCCCGCTCCCCACCTGCCCCGCCTCGGCAGGTGTGCACCAGCAAGATGAACCTGAGCGACGAGGTGGATCTGGAGGACTACGTGTCCCGCCCCGACAAGATCAGCGCCGCGGAGATAGCCGCCATCTGCCAGGAGGCGGGCATGCTGGCGGTGCGCAAGAACAGGTGGGGTTGGGGGGGTGGGGGTGGGGGGGCCTGCTGTACGTCCCTTTCTTGTGTTGCTGCCGCATGTGGTGTTGCCGACCCCGCCCAGCATGCCCCGGCCCTTCTTCCCTGTTGCCAACCCTCCTGCTTTTAATTCCCCGCTGCCCCCCCTGCCCCGCTGCTGCTGCTGTCCGCGCAGGTACGTCATCCTGCCCAAGGACTTCGAGAAGGGCTACAAGAGCAACGTCAAGAAGAGCGACACGGAGTTCGCATTCTACCAGTAGTAGAGCAGCAGGAGGAGGTGCAGGAGGAGGAGGAGGTGGTACGGGAGGTGTAGGGGAGGAGCCGTGTGATGACACAACAGCAGAAGCAAGCAAGCAGCTGGGATGAGAGGAGGGGGATAAAGAGGAAATGTGTGGGAGGAGGTGGGACTTCTAGGTGGGAATATGTCCGGAGAAAGCAGGGGTGGCTGCTGGTAGTGTGGTGGGAAGGTAGCCGCTAATGATGCCCCCATGCTGCCCCCTTTGCTGCTGCCTGGAGGTGTGTGGTCGTACCGGCATGGTGATAGGGCGAGGAGAGCAGTCGTGCGGAGGTATAAGTGGACTTGAGGGGCACAACTTGTCCTTCTTCCTAGTTGTGGGTGTAGCGCGCGGGGGTCGTTGTTTGTTAGGTGTTGGTAGCAGAAGAAGAAACAGGGAGAAGAACCCAGGGAGACGTGCGCGGATGGATGAGGAGGGTAGCTGGATAGTAGCTGTTGAGCTAGACACCGCCGACACACGTACAGAGAAGCAATAGTAGCATGACAGCAGCTACATGCCGTTTATGGGGTGTGATGGGTTTGGATGCCAGGGGGATTGCCTGTGCTGAGTAGATTTCAGGGCTGGGCTGAGGCGTGAGGTACCCATGTCATTGGCAGCGGTTGGGAAACCAGGGTTGGTTTGGGGTCGTTTCAGGCTATAGAAGTTTACGTTTCTGCGATTTGGTTGTAGTATGTGTGCTGCCACGTAGGATTGAAGAGTGGTAGCTGAAAGCCGCTCATGTAACGACCATGCTCATCTTGACAAGGTGACTCGGCTGATGAACCGCCCTCCAAGCTTTGCTGGCAGTCCTTAATGTGAAGGCCAGGTTTAACCCAACCGCCTTGCGAGATGTGGTCTAGTACGCAATCATCCGCCATCTCGCATCGCAACGGTCTCACTGTACGAAGCAAACGACTGCCAACCTGAAGGCCGAGTGCGCTGAAGCCCTGCCCAGTCTGAAATCGACTTCTGTAATTGGTGTCTTCTACGGTGACATGGCAGGCGTAATAGCGGCGTAGGGTGTCGACGGTGGGATTCGACTGCCCACCTGCATAGACAGTGTTGGACGCGTTGTAAACCTTACCGGTTTGTCCGTAATGCAATCTGCCAATCGAAAGCGGAAACTGAACTGGGTCAACCTGTGAACATGGTGAGCAAGGAAAAGGATTGACTTGCTCGTCAGTCCTAGACAGTCCATGTTGGCTCCATAATTGGCTCCATCGTTCCCTCTGTGCGTCTCTTGACCAACTTAGCATAAGGGTCCTTCTCAGCGGTAACCATCACATTTCCCAACGCTCGTCTCTTGCTGAAATCCTACAGCCAACGGTGGACAGTTATTATGATATGCTTGCGGCTAACGAAAAGCGGCTGGAGGAGGGCCGCAACACGCAGCGGCAAGCAGTCGATTCGCCGCGCAGCATGCAACTCCGGGAGCAGTACTTGCGCCAGGCGGTGAGTAAGAAGCTGCGTTTCTATGACTTTACGTTTAAAGCTATGTAACCTCTACTGCAAGCGTGGTAAAAAGTTGCGAAGCCGTTGCGGTTACCCTGCCCATCGGCTGGGAGAAGTTAGGACGCTTGCAGTCTATTTTGGGTGCCCGACTCGCTAGAGAGCCGACATACATCATATGCGCTAGCCGTCTTTTAAACAGTATCCAGGATTTGCCACCTCAGCGCAATCCTATCGTAGTCTTATAGGGCTACTGCCAAGCCTTCGCACCAGGATCAGCATCCCTAACAAATCCATTTCTGGTCTCCCGCTCCGCCTGTATTCCTGGCAGGTCAATCTTGGCCTTATCCCGGCCAAGTTCTACTCTCCTCCAGCGACAGCCGCCCAATCTCCTCGCCCCTCCACAGCCGCCGCTGCCACAACCGCCTCTCCTCGTAGTCGCCGCGTCACTGGACCCTCAGCAAGCGCAGTACGGCACAGCCCAAGCCACGGCCGCGGCCGCAGCAACACGTACGGAGGCGGGGGCCACAATGGTAGCGATGACCTGAGCCCTGACGGCATGGCCCGGGAATTGGTGCGGGCCGACCTCACGACACGGAGCTCTGCGGTGTTTACAGACAGGCGGCAGCAGCAGCGGCTGAGCGGGCGTGCACGTGACCAGGACGGCAGCATGGATGATGGTGATGATGATGACCATGATGTTCAGGAGGAGGAGCAGGAGAAAAGGGTGCGGTTTCTGGACTCTCGGGCCTCAGGCAGACAGGCCGCCAATGGCAGCAGCAGCGGCAGCAGCAGCAACAGCGGCAGTAGCGATAGTGAGGAGTACGGCATCAGACGAGGCGTTCCCGAGAGGCTGCACGGCCGCAGCATGGGAGGCTTTGATGGCCGCGGCGGCGGCGGCAGCCCTGCAAGCCGGCGGCGGCGTGGTGAAAGTGAGGGTGGTGTTCGCGGCTTGGATGTGCCGTCGCCGGCTTTTCTTCGCAGGTGGCGAGCCAACAAGCAAAGTAAGCCTACACGGATTCCAGCCTAGTAGAGAGTAGTGAAATAGGAGCAGCTAGACGAGTTCAGGTTCCAGCACCGTATACTTGCCGTGCCTCAGTCCTAGCCCTTAACACCCCACACTAGCACGCTTTGCGCGTTCTGCTGCCCATGAACGGACCTGCTGCCCTCTGCTCCTCCCTCCTGGTCGCAGAGGAGGACCCTGGCGGTCATGTAGTGCGGTTCCTGCTTCACACGTCAGGTAGGGGTCGCTGGAAAGGAAACGCATGCTAAAGCATGTTGGCACCGACGGATTGCTGCCTGTTCAGATCTCCGTACCTGCCTTTACCGCTAGCTGCCTGCACGGCGCACCCATCCCATGCAGAAGAGATTCGGAGCGGCGGTGACGAAGACGATGAAGCGGCCGCTGTTGAGGAGCAGCAAGGTGCCGTACCTTTATCCGGGCGGCCGAGCAGCGGCGGCGGTGTCGGTTGGGCTAACAGCCCCAAGGCCAACGCAAGTACGGCAAGCGGAGGTGGTTGGGCCGCGAATAATCCCCAGCTCAACGGCTACCCGCTGCAGTGCAGTGGTGGCAGTTCAGCCCGCCGCTGCGGCGATGCTGTTGCTGCCGACCCATGCGATACCGACTGCGGTTGCGGTGGAGGTGGTGGCGGCTGCGCCGGATGGGTCAGCGGCGGTTGTGGCAGCGGCACATGGGCTGACGGCGGCATCGCTGGCGACGCAAAGGTTTGTTGGAGTGACCCGCGTCACGACACCGCTAACGGCGGTTGGTCCAGTTGCGGCGGCGCCACCAGTAGCAACGGGCCTAGCGGCGATGATGGCGCTGCTGCTGCTTACCGGTGCCGCAGCAGTTTCGGCTCAGCGGCGCAGCATCCGCAGCAGCCTGCCATAATACGGCCCGCGTACGACACACCTCGTACAGCATATGATCAGGTGTACGACACACCACGGATGTCGTACAATCCCTCGCCGCTGAGTGGACGACGACAAGTCGTGTTGTCGGAGGCTGGAGCGACTGCGGCTGCTTCAGCTCGCATGCGCAACGTGTCAGTGTCCGTGTCGCCTAGGCAGCAACAGGAACAACATCAACAACAACAACAGCATGTGCTGCAGTCTCAGCCGCCATACCCAGAGCCGCAGCTGCAACGACAGCTACTCTTGCAGCAGCTGCAAAAGCAGCAGCAGCAGCAACAACAGCAGCTCCTGCTGTCACAGCTACAGGAGCAGCAACAGCAGTCGCTGCAGTCGCCATCCCCGCCACAGCAGCCCGGCGGGCTGGTCATCTACCGCACAGTGGGAACCCAGACGCCCGTACCTCTCTCGCTCGGCGGTAGTCCCATGCAGCTCAACCATCCAGGCAGCCAGCCCACATCTGTTGGCGGGGCATCAGCAGCAGCAACAAGAGGACCTCTCCCCGTGCCCTATCCTCCCCATCCCAATGCCCCCACCGCAGCACCCCAAAACCACATCGGCGGCGTTGGAAGCCCTGCTATGGTGCCCCACCAACATCATCAAATGTACGACAGTTCGGTTAGGGAGTTCGGATTGTCGTACAGCGGGCCTTCGGGTGATGCGCCTCTGCCGTACGCCGGTTGCGCTGCTGTACCATCCTACTCCCACGCATGTGTTGGCACCTCGTCATCTCCTCAGCTGCTTGCTGGCGGAGGCAGCAGCAGCAGCACTGAGGCGGGTCCAGGAGCGACAGCAGCTGCCTTGGCAGCTAATGGGGCTGCGGCATGGGTGCCGTACGAGAATCCAAGCCTTGGAAATTCTCCGTACCTTGGCACAGCTCGGTCGCACGGGGGTGCTGTTCCGGTCGCTCCTAATGTTTTTGCTACGAGCTATCATGAGGGTAGCCACGGCAATTGCCGTACTGTGTCGTACGACGATAGCATCCCGGTCCATGATGACGTCAGATTTCAAACGTCGTACGATCCATACGGAAACACAAGCCCCCCTCCGCCGTACGGTAGCAGGGTTCCTCCGAGCCACAGTGTGAACAGCGACAGCAGCTTCTTCGCAGCCATGCAACAGCAGCAGCAGCAGCAGTACGAGCAGTACGACAGCAGCGCCGGTAGCAGCCTCATTGGCTGCGGAGAGAGCCAAACCTGGCAGCAGCGTGCCAGCAGCGGCATCGACGTTGCCGCAGACCCATCCCCGCCACAGACCCTCCGGCTGTCCATGCATCAGACGCTGTCTACCTCCTCCACCTCCACCAACGGGATAGCCCCAACCACACGGCCCGGTGTCATAGCTCCATCACCGCCCACCTCCTTATCGGGCGTCTCAAACGCAATCGCTCACGTGACCCGTCCTCACCATTCACAACGCAGCAGCAACAGCAGCACCTCAACCAACGCCCCAACCACCAAGGCCCATTATTCCCACGGTGTTGTCGTACGGCAATCCAGCTGTGCGCCTGAGGCCTCCTCCTCCAACTGTGAGACCTCCAACGCTGTATTCAGCCGGGGCGCTGGTGCTGCTGCCGCAGAGGGCAACATCGCTGTTGACGCTAATGCTGGCGCTGATGCTGATGACGTCGATGACCTCGATAGCCGCATGTCGGCATTGGTGGAAGCCACCGTGAGCCTAGGAGGGAGCTGGGTCATCGAGGACGGCCGGCCTTCCCCTTCACTGCCATCAACATCATCACCATCAGCAGCAGCACTGCGCGCTACCAACCGTCCTGCTGGCGGTGCGCCCGCAGTAAATGGTTGGGAGGAGCGCTTCGCGGGCTTTGGCGGGCCTGCAGGGGCCGTTCGTGGCTGGTTGCGTGACGGTGCTGGTGGCGTTGGTGGTTGTGATGCTGGGGGCTCGAATGAGGAGGTCCCCGGTGGGGGCTGCCAGTGGTCTGCAGCAGCACCCAGGGAGGCACAGTGGGCGGAAGCGGCAGGTGGTGATGGTGGTGCTGCTGCTGCCTCGGTGCCTCTGCCGCCTCCGCCGCCGCATGAAAGCGTATGGCCGTCGTCTTCGCCTTCTGCAGCCGCAGCAGCAGCAGCGGGGGATATATCGCTTCGGGATCAGCAGGCGGCGGTGGTGCGGGAGATGCAGGTGCTGCTGCACCGTTTGGCAGACATACGTGGGCAGCTGGGTGGCGGGTAGGAGCTGCGGTGCTGTGATGAGCGAGGGTTGAAGATGGCGCGGTTGGTTTACCTGGTAGCCTGATGACCTGGTTTGACCTCCTGTGTAAGCGGGACGTGACGGAACCAAGTGCGTGAACACTCAGGAAGAAAGCCATTCTGAGGAAACGGCGCTATCCATGTATGTTTTCGTGTGGTGGTGGGGGTGGCAGGGTGGGGCATAATGTGTCTCTTGGCAGTCAGCTTGGTAGCATATGTATAAGGATGAATGCATTACATGTATTTGCCTTTTCAGTGTCCGTTCATAGGCAAAGAGCAATGCTTCTGGCAAACACATTTATTCTATTGGCAAAGCCCTATCTGCAGACGGGTGTATAGGATACTGGAATGATGACAACGCTACCAAGCTATAGCCGTAAGGCCCATCCTCGACTGGTTCATTCTGGTGGTTTGTGTTGTTACCTGCTGTACCTGGACAACTCTTTGGTGTCTGTGGTGATGTGGCGTGGATGCGCATTTTGGTGTCAACGACTGTCTCTCTCTCAAATCCTAACCTTGGCCTGCCATGAGCGAAATGGAGGCTGTAAGGGCGTAGTCGCGTGGTTGTAACTCCATAACTGCACCACACTCTCCGAACTGCAAGACCCAGGTCACACGGCTCTGGTCCGTGTCCCAGCTGACAAACTCGGCCAATGAGGCCTGAGTTCGATTCCTGCGTAGAAGGCGCACCCTTCCCACCCTTCCCCTGCCAGATAAAGGTTCCCACACCACCCACACCACAGGCGGCACCAAAGCAACACTCCCCCAGGCGATATGGTAATTGGGTTTTGCATCTGCGTAGGAGGCGGGTGGGGGCCTTGGACGAGCAAAACGTCAGCGACGACCGTACAAGGGGTCGAACCTTGGACCTTGACCTTAGGAAGGACACGCTCTATCCACTGAGCTACACGGCCGGATGATACCAGGCCACTTGCAGATGCCCAAGATCGGGTCGGGCCCGCAACCGGCATTCTTTGCGCACGCCCCGTGGCGTTGCAGCTTGCTAGGGTGGCGGGGCGCGGGACGTGTTGCATTGGTGGACACGTGGGGAAGCCGGAGGGCATGCATGTACGCTGAGACGGGTGGGGGCGGTGTGTGAAGGGTTTGGCAGCATTAGGATGGTGGCGGGAGGCATCTGAGCAGGAGGACGTGCGAGGGCGGCGTGGAATGTGGGTTTTGCATCTACGTAGGAGGCGGGTGGGGGCCTTGGACGAGCAAAACGTCAGCGACGACCGTACAAGGGGTCGAACCTTGGACCTTGACCTTAGGAAGGACACGCTCTATCCACTGAGCTACACGGCCGGATGATACAAGGCCACTTGCAGATGCCCAAGATCGGGTCGGGCCCGCAACCGGCATTCTTTGCGCACGCCCCGTGGCGTTGCAGCTTGCTAGGGTGGCGGGGCGCGGGGCGTCTTGCATTGGTGGACACGTGGGGAAGCCGGAGAGCATGCATGTACGCTGAGACGGGTGGGGGCGGTGTGTGAAGGGTTTGGCAGCATTAGGATGGTGGCGGGAGGCATCTGAGCAGGAGGACGTGCGAGGGCGGCGTGGAATGTGGGTTTTGCATCTACGTAGGAGGCGGGTGGGGGCCTTGGACGAGCAAAACGTCAGCGACGACCGTACAAGGGGTCGAACCTTGGACCTTGACCTTAGGAAGGACACGCTCTATCCACTGAGCTACACGGCCGGATGATACAAGGCCACTTGCAGATGCCCAAGATCGGGTCGGGCCCGCAACCGGCATTCTTTGCGCACGCCCCGTGGCGTTGCAGCTTGCTAGGGTGGCGGGGCGCGGGACGTGTTGCATTGGTGGACACGTGTGGAAGCCGGAGGGCATGCATGTACGCTGAGACGGGTGGGGGCGGTGTGTGAAGAGACGGGTGGGGGCGGTTTGGCAGCATTAGGATGGTGGCGGGAGGCATCTGAGCAGGAGGACGTGCGAGGGCGGCGTGGAATGTGGGTTTTGCATCTACGTAGGAGGCGGGTGGGGGCCTTGGACGAGCAAAACGTCAGCGACGACCGTACAAGGGGTCGAACCTTGGACCTTGACCTTAGGAAGGACACGCTCTATCCACTGAGCTACACGGCCGGATGACACAAGTCCACTTGCAGATGCCCAAGATCGGGTCGGGCCCGCAACCGGCATTCTTTGCGCACGCCCCGTGGCGTTGCAGCTTGCTAGGGTGGCGGGGCGCGGGACGTGTTGCATTGGTGGACACGTGGGGAAGCCGGAGGGCATGCATGTACGCTGAGACGGGTGGGGGCGGTGTGTGAAGGGTTTGGCAGCATTAGGATGGTGGCGGGAGGCATCTGAGCAGGAGGACGTGCGAGGGCGGCGTGGAATGTGGGTTTCGCATCTACGTAAGAGGCGGGTGGGGGCCTTGGACGAGCAAAACGTCAGCGACGACCGTACAAGGGGTCGAACCTTGGACCTTGACCTTAGGAAGGACACGCTCTATCCACTGAGCTACACGGCCGGATGATACAAGGCCACTTGCGGATGCCCAAGATCGGGTCGGGCCCGCAACCGGCATTCTTTGCGCACGCCCCGTGACGTTGCAGCTTGCTAGGGTGGCGGCGCGCGGGGCGTGTTGCATTGGTGGACACGTGGGGAAGCCGGAGAGCATGCATGTACGCTGAGACGGGTGGGGGCGGTGTGTGAAGGGTTTGGCAGCATTAGGATGGTGGCGGGAGGCATCTGAGCAGGAGGACGTGCGAGGGCGGCGTGGAATGTGGGTTTTGCATCTACGTAGGAGGCGGGTGGGGGCCTTGGACGAGCAAAACGTCAGCGACGACCGTACAAGGGGTCGAACCTTGGACCTTGACCTTAGGAAGGACACGCTCTATCCACTGAGCTACACGGCCGGATGATGTAGAGCCACTTTCAGGTGCCCAAGATCGGGTCGGGCCCGCAACCGGCATTCTTTGCGCACGCCCCCTGGCGCTGCAGCTTGCTAGGGTGGCGGCGCGCGGGGCGTGTTGCATTGGTGGACACGTGGGGAAGCCGGAGAGCATGCATGTACGCTGAGACGGGTGGGGGCGGTGTGTGAAGGGTTTGGCAGCATTAGGATGGTGGCGGGAGGCATCTGAGCAGGAGGACGTGCGAGGGCGGCGTGGAATGTGGGTTTTGCATCTACGTAGGAGGCGGGTGGGGGCCTTGGACGAGCAAAACGTCAGCGACGACCGTACAAGGGGTCGAACCTTGGACCTTGACCTTAGGAAGGACACGCTCTATCCACTGAGCTACACGGCCGGATGATGTAGAGCCACTTTCAGGTGCCCAAGATCGGGTCGGGCCCGCAACCGGCATTCTTTGCGCACGCCCCCTGGCGCTGCAGCTTGCTAGGGTGGCGGCGCGCGGGGCGTGTTGCATTGGTGGACACGTGGGGAAGCCGGAGAGCATGCATGTACGCTGAGACGGGTGGGGGCGGTGTGTGAAGGGTTTGGCAGCATTAGGATGGTGGCGGGAGGCATCTGAGCAGGAGGACGTGCGAGGGCGGCGTGGAATGTGGGTTTTGCATCTACGTAGGAGGCGGGTGGGGGCCTTGGACGAGCAAAACGTCAGCGACGACCGTACAAGGGGTCGAACCTTGGACCTTGACCTTAGGAAGGACACGCTCTATCCACTGAGCTACACGGCCGGATGATACAAGGCCACTTGCAGATGCCCAAGATCGGGTCGGGCCCGCAACCGGCATTCTTTGCGCACGCCCCGTGGCGTTGCAGCTTGCTAGGGTGGCGGGGCGCGGGACGTGTTGCATTGGTGGACACGTGGGGAAGCCGGAGGGCATGCATGTACGCTGAGACGGGTGGGGGCGGTGTGTGAGAGACGGTGGGGGCGGTTTGGCAGCATTAGGATGGTGGCGGGAGGCATCTGAGCAGGAGGACGTGCGAGGGCGGCGTGGAATGTGGGTTTCGCATCTACGTAAGAGGCGGGTGGGGGCCTTGGACGAGCAAAACGTCAGCGACGACCGTACAAGGGGTCGAACCTTGGACCTTGACCTTAGGAAGGACACGCTCTATCCACTGAGCTACACGGCCGGATGATACAAGGCCACTTGCAGATGCCCAAGATCGGGTCGGGCCCGCAACCGGCATTCTTTGCGCACGCCCCGTGGCGTTGCAGCTTGCTAGGGTGGCGGGGCGCGGGGCGTCTTGCATTGGTGGACACGTGGGGAAGCCGGAGAGCATGCATGTACGCTGAGACGGGTGGGGGCGGTGTGTGAAGGGTTTGGCAGCATTAGGATGGTGGCGGGAGGCATCTGAGCAGGAGGACGTGCGAGGGCGGCGTGGAATGTGGGTTTTGCATCTACGTAGGAGGCGGGTGGGGGCCTTGGACGAGCAAAACGTCAGCGACGACCGTACAAGGGGTCGAACCTTGGACCTTGACCTTAGGAAGGACACGCTCTATCCACTGAGCTACACGGCCGGATGATGTGGAGCCACTTTCAGGTGCCCAAGATCGGGTCGGGCCCGCAACCGGCATTCTTTGCGCACGCCCCCTGGCGCTGCAGCTTGCTAGGGTGGCGGCGCGCGGGGCGTGTTGCATTGGTGGACACGTGGGGAAGCCGGAGAGCATGCATGTACGCTGAGACGGGTGGGGGCGGTGTGTGAAGGGTTTGGCAGCATTAGGATGGTGGCGGGAGGCATCTGAGCAGGAGGACGTGCGAGGGCGGCGTGGAATGTGGGTTTTGCATCTACGTAGGAGGCGGGTGGGGGCCTTGGACGAGCAAAACGTCAGCGACGACCGTACAAGGGGTCGAACCTTGGACCTTGACCTTAGGAAGGACACGCTCTATCCACTGAGCTACACGGCCGGATGATACAAGGCCACTTGCAGATGCCCAAGATCGGGTCGGGCCCGCAACCGGCATTCTTTGCGCACGCCCCGTGGCGTTGCAGCTTGCTAGGGTGGCGGGGCGCGGGACGTGTTGCATTGGTGGACACGTGGGGAAGCCGGAGGGCATGCATGTACGCTGAGACGGGTGGGGGCGGTGTGTGAAGAGACGGGTGGGGGCGGTTTGGCAGCATTAGGATGGTGGCGGGAGGCATCTGAGCAGGAGGACGTGCGAGGGCGGCGTGGAATGTGGGTTTTGCATCTACGTAGGAGGCGGGTGGGGGCCTTGGACGAGCAAAACGTCAGCGACGACCGTACAAGGGGTCGAACCTTGGACCTTGACCTTAGGAAGGACACGCTCTATCCACTGAGCTACACGGCCGGATGATGTAGGGCCACTTTCAGGTCCCCAAGATCGGGTCGGGCCCGCAACCGGCATTCTTTGCGCACGCCCCCTGGCGCTGCAGCTTGCTAGGGTGGCGGCGCGCGGGGCGTGTTGCATCGATGGACACGTGGGGAAGCCGGAGGGCATGCATGCACGCTGAGACGGGTGGGGGCAGTGTATGAAGGGTGATCCTCGGTTATTCCCCTGCCGGTATAGAACGGTCGGAGATGGCCGCTCCATCATCAGCATCCCACTTGGATGCCCCACATTCACATCGCTCCGAGCCGCTCGATTGCCGCTGCTCTCCGTCCGTATGTTGGTGCGTGTGTCAAGGAAACTGTGTAACGTGTGTAGAAGTGGCCGCGAGTCGGAACGTACTGTGATTGTCGGAAGATGGAGTCCTCCCAGAAGATGTGTTGCAGGACATGGCATGCGACAGCGTGCAAAAGGCTAGTATTGAAGGTTGCGTGGTTCGAACTCTGCCGTTTAAGGTCGCATGATATGTTGGTACATGCGGCAACCTTAGGCATATGGATAGATCAAGGTAGTTAGGAAGATTCTGGCTAGCATGGGCTTCTAGAACCCAGTACTTGTGTCGTACTTTCCGGAGACACTCCAGGGTAGGACTACTTGTACGGTATCCCTAGGATATTTAAGTGCTCCCAAGGAGCCCATGGAACAACAAGAACAAGAACAAGAACTAGAACAGGAATCATCCCTTGTAACGAACTAAGGAATATCCCAAATCCCTAGTCTCTCCCTAGTCCCTAGTGCCCCCCAGAACGGCGTCCGCCTACAATATGTGTGTGCGTGTGCCCACATACCGCAGTTGCTGTTACATTATGAATTGAGTATGCAGTGAACAACTACATTTCCATTCAGTACGTTGGCTCTCTCTCCCCTTGCAGCTCTCCAATACGCTAGACCCTACACCGAACAAAATGCTGCACAGGGCAGTGAGCTTCCGCACGCACCTCCCGCACTCACTCGGCACAACAAAACGGGGTACCTACACCGCAAAGCCCTCCACACTTACTCCTCGACTCCGCACACCAACAGACCCGCACAGCAGTCGCCGTCGCAACCTCCATCTTCACACCTCCTCTCCTCGAAGCAAAAGCCCCCGGCAGCACACCCACCCCCTCAGCACCTGCATGCATGCTGCCCCTCACGCATACTCCGCACACCAGACACTGATCACGTGATCAGTGAATGAGTGACCGTTACAATTGTTCCCCTGAAAGGGAACACGGCTGTTGAACCCAACCCTACACTGCAGCCGGACCAGCTCTCAACCCACCCCTGTCGCCCCTACCACCCGGGGGCCCCCGCCGTGCTGCCACTAAGCACACACTCGCCGTCACTGCCCTGCCGTCACAGCCCCCCTACCCCCCGCCCTAGCTACCCCACACGTGTCCCCATGCAACACATCATCACATCGCACCAACACACACCGCTCTACACGTGTGCGACGTACGCGTCAGGCGACGCCACCGCCTCCCCCCCCTGCTGCTGCTGCTGCTCGTAGCCCTGCTCCCCCTCCTGCTGCTGCTGCTGCTCCCCCTCCACCTGCTGCTGCTGCTGCTGCTGAGCGGCGTCAAGTAGCGCCTGCGCAGTTGGGGGAGGAGGGATACGGGCAGAGGTCTGGGGAGGAGGGATACGGACAGAGGTCTGGGGAGGAGGGATACGGGCAGAGGTCTGGGGAGGAGGGGGTACGGGCAGAGGTCTGGGGAGGAGGGGGTACGGGCAGAGGTCTGGGGAGGAGGGATACGGACAGAGGTCTGGGGAGGAGGGATACGGGCAGAGGTCTGGGGAGGAGGGGTACGGGCAGAGGTCTGGGGAGGAGGGATACGGGCAGAGGTCTGGGGAGGAGGGATACGGGCAGAGGTCTGAGGAGGAGGGAACCGTCATCATCCTGTTGATACCGATAGCGACCATGTGTGTGTTGAATGCCGCTGCAGCCACTGCAGATAGGCAATGCGGATGATGATACCGGCCCAAACAAGGAAGTCCCGCACCCACAGCCCTCCCGGGCAGCTGCAGGGCAATAATACTCCCCAACTGCTACTCCTCCACCCCCTTCCACCCCTACCCCCCCACCCCCCCACCTGCGCCTGCGCCACCACCTGCCCCAGTCGGTACCCCGACCCCAGCAGCGGCAGCGCCGACACCACCTTGGACAGCGCGTCCGGTGAGGCGGCGGGCAGCTTGTCACGGCAGGCTAGCACCAGCTCGTCTAGCCACCTGGGGGAGAGGGGAGCGGAAGGGGGGGAAGCGGGAGCGGGAGGGGGGGAGTTGAGTTGGAATGGGAATGGCTCAATCAGCAACGTTACCCCGCCCCCCCTCCACCCCAGGCCCCAGTCGATTGCTTCTCCCTAACCTGTGGTCCTGGCTAATCTACCGCCTTCATCACCCTGAGGGTTCCCATGGTTTGGTATGGTCTTTGACACCCCTCCCCCCCCCCTGTCCCCTCATTACTTCTTTTACCCCCCAGTCCCCCCCCACCCATGGAGAAGCCTCGTCATTCAGTTCGTCACTTTTCCTTATTTCTACCCCACCTGTCATTGGGCGGTCTGTACTGCCAGAGCGCCAGACTCATCGCCACGTTGGCCACCTCCTCGCCCGTCATGCGGCTCCAGGCGCGCGGCAGGGCGAGGGCCAGCAGGTGCAGGTCGTCCGGGGAGGGGCGAGCTTGCAGGTAGGCCAGCGAGTAGGCCAGGGTGGCCAGGTCGGAGGGCAGGCAGTACCTGGCAGGGGGGGAGAGGGGGGGAGTTGATGATGAGACTGGATTGATAAGAAAACAAACAATAGTGTTCATGAGCCAGAGTTGGAGTTGGAAGAACACAAACTATGTAATGGCGGGCAAGCGATGCTACGCACTGTGCAATGTAGGTAGCGGTACACCTCCACACACACTTCATCTTCATCCGGCAATCACAGCACCGTACGCTCCGACTCGCGGCCAGTTCCCTAAACACACACACGCTGTCTCCCTCCCCCGCTATGGTTCTTTGGCCCCTACGTCAGTTGCCGAATGAATCCGCGTGTCGCCGCCGCCAGCCACTCCCGCGGGGGCCGCCAGTCGAACTGCGTGAGCGCCCAGGTGGTGCGCGTGAGGTCCGCCACGCGCATACTCTCCACCGCACCCGCACCACCACCTCCTCCACCGCCTCCACCAGCAGCAGCACCAGCAGCAGCACTTCTATCTGCACCGCCGGCATTGCTGCCGCCCGCTGCCGCCCCTGCTGCCGCTGTGGCTCCCCCCCGCTCCAGCAGCGGTCCCAGCCAGCTGCCCGGGTCAGGGCCCCCCGTGTAGCCTAATGAGGCGATGCTGAACAGCGTGTTGACGGCCTCCAGGTTGTTGAAGAGGGAGGCCTGGGAGGGGAGGGGGGGGAGGGGGAGGGAGAGAGAGGGTCAGAGAGAGAGGGAGAGGAAGAGAGAGGGTCAGCGACCATACCACAAGGGGGTGAGGGCACAAGACAACAGGGACAAGAGGCGGCAGGGTGTGTGTTAAGAACACTCGCCTCTCTCCTCTCCTCCCCTCCCCTCTTCACAGCCCCCCGCCCTCCCCTCCATCCCCCCCCCCACCTGCCCCCCCCCACCTGCGCCCCCACTGACGCCGTGAACGCCTCCATCCACGCCGCTCCCGGCACGTGCCCCAGCTTCACCAGCGCCCCCACCGTGTTGCTCAGCTCCACGGGGCGGAACTGGCTGAGCCGCCGCTCGGTCCTGGGGGGGGGGGGGGGGGGGGTTGGAGTGGGTGAGAGGAGTGAGAGGGGTGAAAGAAGGAGCACCTTACTGAAACATACACCCTTACATGCGAATAACCCCCTTATTGAACGGGTGCCACCCCCCTCCAGCCGGCGCCACACATGACCTCCCCCCACTTCCCCACTTCCCCAACCACCCCCCCACCTCCCCACCTCCCCCACCTCCCCACCCGCCCCCGCCCACCAGTACACAAACGTGTTGAGCCACTCCTCCCCCGGAGTGAAGTTCATGCGACTGAAGGCCCACACCGTGTTGGAGTACTCCCAGGGGGTCAGGTTGCCCATGAGCTGGGGGGGGGGTAGGAGGGAGGGGGCAGGAGGGAGCAGTGTGGCCGTCAACAAAGGACATCTAGAGCTGAAGAGAAGAGGCTCTACACACCCTCACACACACCTCATCTGTACACACCTCACTACAGCACATACCCTATCTCCGTACCCCCACCCCCACCCCCATCCCCCCCCACCTCCGTACCGGCTCTCATACCAGCAACCCAACCATGATGACGCCCTACCACACAGTTCCTTCTTTCCCCCCCCCTCCTCCCCCCTCCCCCCTCCCCCCCCCACCTGCAGTGCCCGCTCCGCCAGCCCCCCCGCCAGCTCCGCATTGAACAGCTCCAGTCGCGCCATGGCGTACAGGCTGGCCGCCACCTGCCGCCCCCGCAGCCCGCCCATCAGGGCCGCCAGCCAGCCGTACAGCGAGCTAACCAGCTGCTGGAAGGCGGCGGAGTCGGGGGAGGAGTCGGGCGGGCGGGACTCCCTGGCGATCTGCGGGGGGCGGGGGTGTTGCGAGAGGGGGGGAGTTTGGGGTGGGGAGTTGGGGAGTTGTTGTACAGGCGAAGCACTGCAATCCACATCTCGTATAGCCCGAGCGAGGTTGGGTGGGAGTTACGGAAGCGCCCCATGCATGCAAGGGTGCGTGTGCGTTCTGAGAGGACTGGCCGCGAGGTTGTACGACAGTAAAACACCACACCCTTCCGCTCCCCCCACACACACACCTTGAACAGCATGGCCCCGATGTGTTCCCCGTCCAGCCCCTCCCCCCGCTCCGCCAGCACCGCCGCCACCGCCCGCCAGTCAGCCGCATCGCGCACCGCCGCGTTGATAGCGAGCATGGCGGAGTGGGCCTCGGGGGAGAGCGACTCACGGGGGCCTGGGAGGGGGGGGGAGGAGGGGAGGAGGGGGAGAGGTCGAAGGCGGGTCAGTGTATCACGGGGTTGGTGCCACCGGCCACTGATAGGGCTGCTAGGCTCCTTCTCCCTTCCCACCTGCACCCGTGAATGGATGTGCCCCCTTACCCCCACCGCTACACTAACCACATGCATCTCCACCACTCCTCCCACTCGCCCGCCAGTTTCCTTACTCTTACCAACCCCCCCTCCTACCCTCCCCACAGCAGAAGCAGCACCCACCCCGCACCCACCTCGCATCCCACCGCCACCTGGGCGCCCCCCGCCCTCCACACTGCCGCCGCCGACACCGCCCTCGCCCTCACCGCCGCCCTCCCATCCGCCGCCGCCGCTGCCGCCGCTTCGCCACCCCCGCCCCCTCCCGCTGCCGTACCGCCCCTGCCCGCCCCGCCCGCCCCGGTAGCGCCCCTGCCCCTGCGCCTGCCCCTCACCCCACTGCCCCTGCCCCTGTCCTGCTCCTCCGCCTTCGCCCTCGCCCCAGCCCCAGGCCTGCTGCCCTCCTCCTCCTCCTGCTGCTGCCGCTCCACCGCTGCTGCTGCCGCCGTCCTCCCCCCAGAACCCGGAACCCTGCAGCTGCTCCCCGCCGGCAGCCCCACTGCTGCCGCTGGAGCCGCCCCACCGCCGCTCGCCGCTGTAGGAGGTTGACCCACTGCCGCCACCACTGCCGCCACCTCGGCCCCGGTAGCCCCTGAGGTGCGGCAGGCAGGCAGGGGGAGTTGGAGGACCGATATAGTAGCCGGATGGGGCGCAGGTGCGTCACGTAAAGCGGGAGGAGGAGGTGGCAAGCGGGAGGAGGAGGTGGCGCGGGGGGACAGCCGCAGGGGTTATCCGCCGTACGTGGAGCCCGTCTGAGGGCCGAGCGCCGACACCACCCTAACTACTGCGGTTACTCCTGAAACGGAACAACTACCGGTAACCAACCAACCTGCCGCCACCTCCACCACCACCCCGTCGGGCGTAACCGCCTCCGCCTCCTCCTCCTCCTCGCCCGTACTGCCCTCCGCCGTACTGCCCCTGTCTCCCACCGCTGCCGCTGTCGCTGCCGCTGCTGGTCATGCCGGGAATGACAACCTCCTCACTGAAGGAGCTGCCGTCGCCTCCACCCACCACAGCGGTCCACTCATCCGACTCCTCCCTACAGCGGGGCAAGCGACAGGGGCGCGGCGGTAGAGGCAGCGGTGAGCAGCGGTGGCGAATGAAAGTAAAAAGGGTCCGTTTTGAATCCGTATGGAACCAGCATGGCCGTACAGAAGGGTTTTTGAGATTACGGATAACACGTGATATAGCGCGATAAGAGATGTACTAGTAAGGTCGATATCCATATCGCTTACTCTTGTCTGTTTGGCCGCCTGCGTTGGTTTCCGCCCTGGCGATAGCGCGAACCGCGACCCGACCCCTCGCCGCTCTCATAGTCCTGGAGAAGAGAAGGGGGAAATGACCCAATAAAGCCCGGTTTTGAAGGCGAAAATACCATGAGCGGAAGCGGTGATTTTGCGGTGGTGCAAACCTACTTCGTCATAGTAGGCGCGCGAGCGGACGTCAGGCGTCCTGACGCTCATGCAAGGCCGGGTCGGCACCAGTTGGGCTCCATGCGGCCCCGCAACCTTGTATACCTGAATTGATAGGTTTGTGTCAGGAGTGACATGGGTCCACAAGTTGTGTCTGATTACTGGTCCACGCCTCGCAAACGAATTGTCGCTAACCAACCTTCAGAGGAGCATCTCGGCAAACCGCAGGCCGAAATGTTGCTCTGCAAATTAACGTTTGCCAATTGTTAAATCTCTAGGCAGGATCTTGCCGGTTGCTTCTAGGCTCAGCACCTAACGAGCCATGCCGCCGCCGCTCGTCGCGGAGGAACACGCTGCTGAAGCAACTTTCGTCCCAACCCTTGACTTACGATTTCTGCAGCATGAATGTGAGACGCGAACTATCCCGGCGACGACTGGGGGCAATTAACCGTGTGCTGATAGAAAGAGCTAGAGCTAATGGTAAACTATACGCTCGATCGGATTAATTGTGAAGCAGAAACATAGCAAGGAAAACTGCACCGTCAATTCTGCACCGCGAAAGAGCGACGTACTAGAGGAGACACGATCCACAACCTCGATACGACTGCTGCATCCTGGCTTTCAGACCAGCATACGTGCGTAATGCGAATATACTATAATAAGTGAACGGAGAATCTGTTCACACGCAAGATTGCATTACAGCGGCTGCGGTATTAACCGGATGGCAGCCCCCCAAAGCCCTCCGCATGAGCACAGGCCGACGCGGAGCCCGCGGCAGTCAACAGAACTTCCAGCGCTGGCCGCAGTTGGTGCACGTGACGAACGTTGTCATGGGCTGTGGGGGCGGAAACAGGGCATGTGGCGTTAGCTAGCGGAATGTCGGTTGCTTTGCAATGAGACCCTTCGTGACAACAGCTACCGTGCTTCGGGCAAATCCTTAACACTCAGGATGCGTTTTGCAAACGCATCCTGTCATGCGCTTAAAGCAAGCCATGTCAGCAGCCATATGGCCGCACCCAACCCAACCCTCCTTCCCCAGTGCCGTACTCTCACCTCATCAGCGGACCGGGTTTGCAGTTGCTGCAGCGGAGATCAGGAATGGGGAGGGGAAGAGAGGGGAAGGGAGGGAGGAAGGGAACAACAGTAAGCACGTGAGGAGTGAAAGGGGTTGGGAAGCTCACGCACAGCCTCAGCCTGCACGGTGGCATCAGCAAGACCTGCACAGCCAGACGAACCCCTACCAAGGGGGTGCACGGAGCCGAAACCGGCCACGGATCATGTCAGAAGCCCATGATAGCGGTACGGCCGGTGAGGCATCCCTCGCTGCGGTCGACACGCCCCCGGGTTCTTCCCCTTCATTACCCCCCCCCTTGGGTGGCGCGTTTCCTTGTGTGTGTGCAGTCGAGTAGAACAAGAGCAAGCAGTTGGGATAGGCCTCCCCGCGGCTCCGTTGGACTGCTCTACCCCACCCATATCAGCCTCGCGACCTCTCTCCCTCCGTCCCGCCCACACGAGCCCCTGCCCTCCCTCTCCCGCCAGCCCGCTCCCGCCCTCCCTCTCATGCAATAGCGCTACCCCGAACCGCTCCGCAAGCCCCCACCACCACCACTAACCAACACTTTGTCTTGTGGCACCCTGGCGCCTCCTATCCCCACTGCTTTGCCCTAACTTGTTATTAACTATAGCTTGGGTGGTCTACCCCCCACCACCACTCACGTAGTAGGTGCATTTCCGCTGTTTGCAGCGGCCACACCTGGAGGAGGGGGAGGGAGGGAGGGAGGGACAGGGGGACGAAGAAGGGAGGTAAGTTGGGAGGAGGGAGCGCGAGAGGGCGTGGGAAGAGCACTAGCACCGCTCCACTAGCACCGCGCCACACCCTCATTGAGGGAGATGCGGCTGCTGCTGTGCGCCCCTCCGCCCCTTCCACCGCTGCTGCTACTGCAACTGCCGCCCCCCCCCCTTAACTGCTATCCAGTTTGTCAGTTTTCCTTCTTTTTACCCCTCCCTTAACTGCTCGTCAGTGTCCTCTTTTTTCCCTCTCTCTCTCCCTTTCCTCCCTCCCCCGCCACCCTCCGTCCCCCCTCCCGCACGTACTGGAACATGTCGGTAGTCGCCGCGTTGCTGGTGCCCCCCCGCACCGCCTCCTTCGCCAGCCACTCCTTCAGCTCGCGGTTCTTCTTCTTCTGCTCGTCACTCGCCATCTCCTCCGCGCTCAGTCGCACCAGCGTCTCAGGCGGCACACTGCCGCTGAGCACCCGCTCCCGCAGGTCGGGGTTCTTGGCGTCCTTCAGGTTGAAGCACAGTGACCGGGCCTTAGCCTTGTACTCCGCACTCACCGCGCCGCCGCCTCCGCCCATCAAATCATACAGCGCATCCTCGATGGCTGCTGCTAGCAGGTTGGGAGACTGGAGGGCGGTTTCGGAGCCGGAGCCTCCGCTGCTGGAGGAGGAGGAGGCGGAGTAGCCGACGGCGAGGGCCTCCGCGAGCATGGTGCGTACCTTGTCGCGCGTGTCGTTGCCGCAGCGAGGAGGGTTTATGGAGAAGGGGACGGAGGAGGTGGAGGGCTGGCGGGGAAGGGAGGAGCCCGGGGTGGAGGCTGGGGGCGGGCGGGAGGCGGCTGGGCTGGGGGAGGGTGCGGGGGCGCGGGATGATGGCGCGGGTTGGCTGCTGCTGGTGCCCGCGGGGCCGCCTCGTGAAGGCGCCTCTGGCTCTGAGGGTTCGGCTCCGTTGCCTCCGTCTGTTTGTTGTTGTTCCTGCTTTACGCATTGCTTCCAGGCTTCTACGGCCAGCTTGGCCGCGGCGCTGATGGCATCGCTGCTGTGTCTGCAGAACTTGTTGAGGCGCTTGCCCGCGTTTGTACGCTTTAGAAGGTCCGCTGTCACAGCTCGCTTTTGCAACTGTTTAAGCACGTCCAGCATGCGCGACTCCTCAGCGCGGTCTCCATCGGCGGCGCCATTGCTGCACGATTCTAGGGTCTTGAGGCATGTGTTCAAATCGGCTTCAGATATCAAAGACATGATCGGCCTCGAGGCTCAACTGTAACGTAGAAAAGCGACACAAGCGTGGGGTTGGCAAGATGGTCCGTTACTATATCTAACTGAGCGCGCTTCGATCAGATTCCCTGTCTAAGAAATCGAAGAAATGTTGCAAATGATCGGTGCAGCGATAGCAGTTAGGGTTAGGCTGGGCGGGAAGGAACTGCACTTGACTTGCAAGCGTTGGTCTTCGCTTACAAATGTCACTGGAACGGCGTGGATAACACCTACGATGACTGATCTTCTATTCACGTGGACCTTTGTAGTGCTGCATGCAACTAACCGGCGTTAACGGTCGGCAAGCGGCATTTACGGCTACTGCAACACTTTGCGCATATTTACAGTGGGCCATGCAAAGCCAAACCTCTTGGGAGATGCTTCCGGGACAACGCAGCCATACTAACAGTACTACCAGCACCCGCGCGCGCTCTCCTGTCAGCGCTACCAAAAGCGGATGCAATTGCACCCGCGTGCCACCCACTATAACGAATGCGCTCCTTCAGAAGCCCCTGCACTCCGTCAACCCAACAACTCCTCTACATACGCCGCCAAAGCCCTACTATGCCCCCGTCTGCTAGAACCGAGTCCAGTCAACCCCCGGTGCGCAACAAGAACAGCTCCGTGCGACATCCTGCCCCAACTGCTGTGCAGTAGCAGCACTGCTGCGAGCCCTACAGCACATACCGCAGGCGCCTGTGACCACACCAGCCCCTGCTGCATGTACCCCTCTCCTCAAGCCTCCCCCTCCCATCTCCACACTAGCTCCTCTGAACCCCCTCTTCCTCCTCCTCCTCCTCATAATCCTCCCCTATATACTCCTACCAGCCCACCTCCACCTCCTCCTCTCCTCCACCTCCCCCTTCACCTCTACCTGAACTTGATGCTCACCAGCGGCACGTCCAGGTCCTCCCCCTCCTCGTCCTCACACGCCACCACCACATCGAAGTGGTCGCGGGCGGTGGGCAGTTCCATCTGGGTCGGGAGGGAGGAAGGGGGTGGGGCAGGTGAGAAGGGGCGGGAGGGTTACATGAGGAAAGGAAGCACCTGGAGTCCTAATCCAGAGGCGGGAGGTGGGAGGTGGGACCTTCTCCACCTGACATCCCGCAACCCGCCACCACCACCCAACCGCACACATCAGCCCCCAGCCCCCACCCACCCACCCGGTCGTCTATTCACCCTACCCCCCCACCCTTCCCCCCTTTACCTTGGCCACGCTGACCACCAGCTCGCTCATCTTCTTGCCCAGCCGCTCCGCGTGCTTGGGGAAGATGTTGTTGTAGAGCAGCGCGGGGCCGCAGCTGATGGAGTAGGCGGTCAGCCCCTTGGCCCCGAACCAGTCCAGCACCTGCTGCACGGTGAGGTCGCCCTCCAGCGTCCAGCGGTCCCACAGGCTCCACTCCAACCCGTTGTACTTGATGACCTGGGGGGGGAGGGGAGGGCGTGGAGACATGGTGAGTGCCCTTTCAATGCTACCTAGTTTAGGGGTAAAGCGGCCAACAAGCCATGTAAGCCCCCCGCCCCCAGCCCGCCAGTTGATACCGCCCTTCAACACCCACAAGGCAATACCCACAAACACCCCCCCTCCCACCCACCCCCCTACCTTTGGCGGGATGGGTTCCGCCATGGCGAACAGCGGCAGCGCCAGGTTGGCGAAGGTGTTGCGGAAGGCCTCCAGCGGCTTGCCGGGCAGCACCGCCTTGTACAGCTCCAGACACACCATGCCTGGGGGGGGGAGGGAGGAGGGGAGTGACCCGTGGGTCGCAGATTGAGACATGATCTCACACACATGCATACCTTCGGCCACCCACCGCGGACTTGGGGACCGATAGCCCTCTTTTGTTTCTGCTTCCCTCTATCCCCGCTGCTTTGCCCTAACCTGTGGTTTTGGTATATCTCTGACCCCTCCCCCATTTGTTGTTTCAGTTCGACCACTTCTGGTGGGGTGGGACGGGCCGGGTCCCATGTAGCAACCCATGGAAAAGCCAGCCGTCATACAGCTCGTCAGTTCCCTCCTTTCTATCCCTCCCCCATCCCCCCCAACCCTACCCGTAGCCACCGCGGTGGCGGTGGCGATGGCGGGGATGATGCGCCCCGCGATCAGCTTGGCCTTGAGCTTGTCCACCTCGGGAATGGAGTAGTTGCGTGCGCGCATGTTGGCCAGGCCGGCGATGAGGTCCATGTGGAAGTTGGTGTCGTCGTCCTTCTCGAACTGGGGGAGGGGAGGAGGGGGGGGATTATATAAAGTCCCAATCCCATATCCCGACTCATGCAGTGAGTGCATGGGGAGGATAAGACCAAGTCGGGGAGACAAGAGGGGAGGAAAAAAGAAATTCCAAAGTGTGTATGATAATGAGACAAGTTGCTGACAACCCCTGGTGGAATCAACCGTGAGTCGAGCCGAAAAGGTGGTTAAAGCAATGCAAGCAATGGGGAGGAGGGGAGCTCTGGGGTTACGGGGCGAGGGTGGAAAGCAGCGCGCGGGCGGGCAGCTGGCGACTCGTGCACAGCGCCCCGTCGCCATGTGGGTCGGAGGGGCAGGGGCAGGCAAGAAGCAGAGCAGGGCGCAACCTGCACGCCCTCCCTGGCAGCCGGCAGTCACACGGTCCCCTCCACACACCCGCCCACCCAGCCAATCCCCCCCCGCCCACCTGGATGGGGCTGATCTGCAGCCCCGCCCCCAGCTGCCCCACTGCGCCCTCCAACCGACCCAGCAGTGACTCGATCACAGCCTCGTCGTCGTGGGCTGGGGGGGGAGAGGGTTAGGGAGGGGAGGTGGATAAGGATAATAGTAAGGGGTGAGTAACCACCCACATTGCCGATATCATGCTGTTGTCAAGGCTGCAGAACAGCCCTTGATGGACACAAAGCCCCTCTCCACGCAGCTATGAAGCATACGAGTCGAACCGAGTGTGCAGCTACAGGGTTCTTTCCTCTTTACCCCCCCCCACTCACTCCTCTCCGCCTGCGAGGGCTTGCTGCGGTCGGCCTTGGGGTCCGTCTCGATCTGCACACCCGCGCGCGGTACGAACGCCGGCACGTCCACCCCCGCCGCCACCGCCGCCACGCGGGCGGGGTCGGCGGCCCAGTCGGGGCGGGGGATGCCGTACACCTCGGCACGCAGGATGGCGGCAGCCTGGCAGGGGGATGGGGAGGGGAGGGGAGGGGGGATGTGGCGGGGTGCTGAAACGCTGTGCGCGGGTGGGGGGGTGGTTTTGGGTTGCGAGCTTAGGGCATATCCTGCGATGAGCTATAACACTAACGGCACAGTGCCGTGGAGAGGCGCGATGTAACACAAGTTAACGGCACGTCCAACCCGGCGAGACATCCCCCATTCCCCCCTCCCGCCCCCAACCTGCACGAAGGACGCATGCGACTTGTCTGCCGGGTCGAAGTTGAGCGGTCGCGGGAAGCGCTTTGGCGCCGACCAGAAGGGCGCCCCGGTGGAGGTGGTGGCGTCCTCGGGGAAGGTGTAGGTCAGCTGCGCGATGCGGTTGTGGAAGTAGTCCTGGGGGTGGCGGGGATGAGGGGGGATGAGGGGGAGCGAAGGAGAATTGACAGGGGGGAGGGCACTGTTCGGGACTGTAGTTGCCCCAGGTAGGTATATCCCTTACTGCATAGTCCTGTTCCCCTCCACATGGTGTGTGCTCATTTGCAGCTGAGGAATGGTGGGATACATACACCCTTTCCTTCCCTCCCTCCCTCCTAACGACCCACTGGTTTGCCCCCCCTCTGCCTGCCTCCCCTACCAAGCCCCCCCAAACCTCCCCCCCACCTGGAACCTCGTCCTGGCCCAGCTGATGCACTGCTCGAAGCTGCCCGCCCGCCCCTCCAGCAGCACCTCCGCCACCGCCTCCAGCTGCTGACGCGCGGAGGCATCTGGGTTGGCGCGCAGGGAGCGGGCGTAGTCGGCGGGGGCGGCCAGGTAGGCGGCGGCCTCGCGGGGGGCCTTCTCGAGCAGCCCCTCAAACTCTGGAGGGGGGGGTGGGAACGGGAAGGGGGGGAAAGGGGGAGGGCATGTGTATTGAGATTACTTGCAACGGGCTGTGTGTATGGGGCTGTGTGCAGCCATCCACGGCCAGGAACAACCGGAGTCAGATCCAAAGAGCTGCGCGGGTAGCTAGCGTGGCGGTACCAGGCGTACCACGGCACCAAGCATGCGGTCCGCACCAGCAGCCCCTCACCCCGCACCCCCCTCCCGCCCCCGCCCCAGCCCCTCCCGCCCCTCTCCCCCCCTCCTACCCGACCGCGCCCATGTGAGGCAGTGGTCTATGTTGTGCGGGAAGGAGTGGACGGTGCACATGGGCGCCTGCTTCTCGGGCGGGTCGCGGGAGGCGCCGTAGTTCTCGGTGAGGCGGGGGATGACCTGGGGGGGGAGGGGAGGGAAGTAGACCACGCAGGGGGGTAAGGGTAAGGGGGGAAGGGAAGGGGATAGGACCCAGTTGGCAACGGTAACCTGTGCTGACGGAGGAGCGAGGCCACCTCACAGCCTCACCCCCATCACCCGGACGGCTCTGGCTGCATCAGCACACCAATGCATGGGGTCATGGGTGCCATGTCTCCCCCCTCCCCCTGGCCCTGCCTCTCCCCTCGCACCATGGTTGCACCCCATGGTGAAGCCTTGTCATACAGCTCTTCAGTTGCCTTGTCAGTTTCCATTATGTTCCCGCCCCCCTCCCCCTCCCCCGCCACCCGCCCCGCCCTCCCCCCCCCACCATCTGCGTGTTGCACTTGGGTCCCAGCGTGCCGCTCTCCAGCAGCGGCTTGCAGAAGTACACGCAGCGGCTGTCCACGTACAGCCGCGCGTTCACATTGTCAAGCGCGTTAACGACCAGGTCTAGACCCTGGGGAGGGGGAGGGAGGGGGGGTGAGGTGGGGAGGGAGTAGTAAAGGAGAAGTGAAGCAATTGGAGTCCCAAGCCCATGTTCCCAACTGCACGCAGTGAGCGAGCGCAACTACACAAACTAGGAGGGTCCGAAGGAGGGGAGGAGGATTATCAGCAGTCAAGCAGCAGCAAGAGCAGCAGCAGCGCTAGCAGCAAGCCCCCTGCTGTCCGCCCTTCGCTCCACCTCCCTCCTCCCGGCGGCACCGAGTGCCCCGCCCCTGCCTCTACCCCTCACATATACACCCGAGCGAAACCCCCCAACCTCCCTCCCTCCCCCCCACCTGCCAGAACACGTCATTGAACACGTTTTCCGTTTCCGGTGACACGCGGTTCTGCAGCGGGGTGACGGAGAAGGCAGGGTTGAGGCGCTGGGCGGCGGCAGCCGCCACCGTGGACTTGGAGCTGTGTATGGGGGGGAGGGGGTGAGAGGAGGGGGAGGGGGTGTTTTGGTTGCCGTGTCGTGAGAAGGAAAGGGTACGAGGGACCTTAACACACGGAGGGCATACGGAGGGCATACGGAGGGCATACACGGAGCTCAGCTTGCAGGGTGGCGGGTGGAGGGTGGAGGGTGGCGGGCGGTGCGGGAAGATTTGGAGGACAGCGGCGACCCAGCTCACTGCCCCATGAGCAGCCCCGACCTCAAACCCCTCCCTCCATTCCCCTTCATGGTTTGTGGTTCACCTTTGTCCCCCCTACTCCCCCCCTTAACCTCTAGTTCTGGTAATCCTTTGACCCCCCCTCCCCCCCCGCCTACCTCCCGATGTCCCAGTCCCTGAACAGGAACTGCCGGCTCAGGTTGCTCTTCTCGATCACGTCGTCATCCGTCACCGTCACCCTGCCCGCTGCCCCTCCCCCCGGCAGCGCGCAGCCCACCCCCATGCACGCGAAGTTCTTGAGGAACTCGCAGCCCAGCGCACCCGCACCAACCTGGGCGGGGGGGCGGACGGGGGGTTTCAGACACTCCAGAAGGATACCAAAACCATAGGCTAGGGCAGGGTTTCTTCCTCCTCCCCTCTCAGGCATCCTCCCCCTCCCCTCCCGGCCCCCCTCGCCCTGCACCCCTCCCCCCTCCCCCCTCCCCTCCCCCCCCGCTCACCAGGAACAGGTTGAGCCCCGCCAGCCGCCGCTGCATCGTGCGTCCAAACACCGCTATGTGGGGGTCGTACCTGGGGGGAGGGGGGGAGGGGGGGAGGGGCAGGGAGGTGGTGAGGACGTAACCTACTAACCAGACAGGGAGGGTTGGAGGCGGGGAGTAGGAAGCTAGGTATACACTCCAAGCACTTTAGAAACTAGCAGCAACACACAAGCTTCCCCTCGGCCAACCCGAGACGGGGCGCCACGCGGTACCAGAATGCAGCCGGCCGCGAGATGCAGGAACCCCTCCTCCCCACCCCCCTACCTCGACCCCAGCGGCTGGAACTCCTCCGCCCCGCCCCCTCCCTCCTTGGCCAGCTGTTCCGGGTCCGGCAGCGACTCCAGCGAGTCGAAGTAGAGCCACTGGAACACGGGGTGGAACTTGCCGCTCACCGCCTTCACCACCTCCTGACCCACCACACCGCCTGAGGTGGGGGGCGGGGGGGAGGAGGAGGAGGAGAGCGAGAATCGTGCGTTGAATGCGGGGCGCATGCATCCTACATGGTAGTGCGTTCCTCCTCGCGGATAGTTTGCAATACATATTAGATGATGAGGGCCTGGGGACAGGGTACAGGACCCGAGGCTAGCAAGGTACCCGAAACCCAATTCTCCCCGCTACCCCTGACACACCCGACGTGTGCGCTACAGCCCCATGCAACCAAGCAGCTGCAGCACAATCCGCTCCAATCCCCTGCCAAGCCACCACCGCAAACCCATCCATCCACCTGCCCCCTCCCTTCCCCCCCCAGTACGTCAGTTTCCCCTATTTTTATCAGTTTTCCCGATCAGCATTCCCTATTTTTACCCCCCTCATCCCCCCCGTCGGGTGCAGTGTAGCAACCCATGGTGAAGCCTCGTCATACAGCTCGTCCATTCCCCCCCCCCCCCCCCCCCCCCCTCCAGCTCACCAAACATGGCCGCCATGGGGTTGATCTCCGCCCCCGCACAGTGCGCCAACTGCCGCACCACACCCCCGTCCACCGCCTCCACCTTGTGCGCCGCGCCCTCCGCCGCCCCCGCCGCCACCCCCTCAGCCAGCCGCAGCAGCTCCGCCGCGTCCTCCGGCTGCGCGGGGCGGGGCGGGCGCCCCGCTGCCGCCTCGAACGCGTCCAGCGCCGCGAAGGCGGTGTGCAGCTGCGCGGGGCGGTCGAGCTTGGAGAAGTCGGTGAGCAGGAACTCACCCGGATCGGACAGGGCCTGGGGGGGGAGGGGGAGGGGGGAGAGGGGAGGGAGGGAAGGAGGGGAGGGATCAATAGGGATTCCGCATTAGGCTGCAGAGGATAGGGTGTATACATGAAGTTGTTAGAAGGGGAGACGGGGAGACGGAAGTAAGCGGGTGAGAGGGTGGGGGCGGGTAGAGCGCCCTCTCAGTCGCTCTGTGACTGACTCTCCCGAGTGCTAATGCGAATTGCTCCTGCCCCCACTGCTAACGAACTCTGCCCTCCTTGCCCCCTCCCTCTCCTCCCAACCCCCGGCCCCCCCCACCTGCTCCAGCTTCCTGAACGCCAGGGTCTTGGGCTCCTTCACCTGCACCACGATGCCCCCCCGCACGTACTCGCCCCACCCGCTGGTGTCGGCGTCAAGCTCGAAGGAGTGGGCCTGGCAGGGGGGAGGGGGGGAGGAGGAGGGGAGGGGTGATAAAGAGGGGTGTACTGAGGGAGAAGAGGGGGTCGAGGAGGACAGAGTGGCTTCATGCGTTACGAGGGGGATGGGGGGATGCCGGCAGCACTGAAGGGCAGGCAGGACGCAGCGGCCGGCAGGCAGCCCGGCAGTGGCTAAGGCAGCCCAAGGAAGACCCCTACCACCCACATCGCCACAATCCCCCACCCCTCCCTTCTCCCTTATCCTCCTCACCCCCCGCCTCCCACCCCCACCTTGCAGTTCTTGACCTTGAAGGGTCCGTGGCTGTTCAGCTTCTCCATGCCCACCACCTCGCTGAACTGCACCAGCTCGCCGTCCTGGGGGGGGAGGGGGAGGGGGTAAGAGGAAACAAATAAGTGACTGTGTGATAAGGCGGGGGGGAGGTGAGGGGTTAAAACCAAGAGCAGCAAGACCCACTGATCAAGCGCTCCCCCTACCCTCCTTCCCTCCCTCCCTGACCTCCCTCCCAGGAGCGGCGCGACACCTCATTCCGCCCCCGCCCTCGCCTACCCCTTCCCAAAACGCGGTGACCCCCACCACTCATCCCTCCGCAGCCCCCGGCTCTCCCCTCCCCCTACCCAGCCTGCACTTATCTTTAAATTTTCCCCACCCAGCCTCGATGCATCCTTCAGCGACGTATCCATTAGCTGTTACCCCCCCCCGCCTTCCACACATGGCTGTCTTCCCCTCCCCGCCCGCCGGTGGGATGGGCCGGCTACTATGTTCGCACCCCCATGATGAAGCGTACATGTCACAAAGCTCCTCACTTTCCTCCTTTTAACCCACCCCGCCCCTTCCCCCCACCCCTCCTCCCCGCCCCTCCTCCCCGCCCCCTCCCCCGCCCCCACCTGGAACTCCAGCCGCTCGTCCTCCACGCACGTCACCATGGCGGGGCAGCCGCTGCTCACCGAGGCGACGATACCCGAGTGGGGCTCCTCGCCTGGCGGGGTTTGTGGCGGGGGGGAAGTTAGGGGGGCAATTAGAGGTTTGGGAGGGTAAGGGCCATGACGTTCAATGCACAGCTGCCTCCTGCTGCGCTTCCCCCGCCTGCCACCTCCCCTTTCCCACTATCCCGCCGCTCCATATCCATCCCCCTCCCTCCCTCCTCCCCTCCCTCCCCCCCTTCCAACTCCCCCACCATTCACATCGTACACCGTGAACGCGGGTCCAAAGTCCGTGAACACGCGTGCGAACACGCCGCGCGTCTGCGCCCAGATGAAGGCGGTGCCGGCGGAGTGGCACAGCCCGTCCAGCCGCTTGGACTCCGCCAGGGGGGCGGTGGTGGAGACGACAACCTGGGGGGGAGGGGAAGACGAATATCCAATGTGTGGTGTGATAGTGGGGGGGAGGGGGGGGGCCGGGGGGAAGCAAGTATGAAGACCCAATGCGTTGAATGATGGGGATAATAGATGCAGGGGTGGGGGTGGCAGGGGTTGGCAGACTTGGCACCCACCGGCCACCCTCCAGCTCCTCCCCCTCCCTCCCCACCCAGACATGGGATTGGGGGACTCGTGCTGCTTCACTTTTCATGTATCCCCTGCCCTCCCCTCACCCCACCTGGAACTGCTTCACGAAGTCGTCCGCCAGCTGCCCGGAGGCCGCATGCACCGCCACCCCCGTGTTCAGCTCCTGCAGCTTCTCGCGGCAGGCCTCGGCGCGGTTGCGACCCACATCCTGGGGGAGGGAGGGGGCGTGTGTGTGGGGTGTATTTGGGGGGGCGGCAAACGTGGATAAGGGAATTTGGGTGATTCTTCCGTGCCCTGCGTGTAGCTGTGCGACCCAAATGCGCTGGGCGGCGCAAACATACTGTCAGGAAAGGAAAGGACACACCGCTGCTGCCCTGAAGCTGCCCGCAGCCCGCACCTGCTCGGTGAGGTAGAACTGCGCAGACAGGTCCTGAAGCGTCACGGAGGCGGTGTCATGGATCGTCACGCTCCGCACGCCAGCCAAGATCACGTTTTTAGCTGCAAGGAGGGGAAATGTTCAAAAGACATGGCGAAAAGGAGGCGAAGGGGCTCAGGGACGCGGCATTTCGCAAAGGAATTGCACTATTCCAACAAAGCCCCTTGGAGTTACCCTGAGGGTTCTAAGCTATAAGGAGTCAGCAACACTACAAGCCAAGCCCCGGGTGCTATCCGCTTGGAGTGCTATTCTTCGACGGCAGATCCCCTCCGCAGGAACACCTTACCGACTTCAACGCCAAGTCCGTTCAGGCCGCTAATCAGGACCGATGACGTTGCCATACGCTTCATGGCCTCACGGCCATAGACCGCAAGCTGGCGAGAGTGAAGATTCTCATCGATCTCGACTTGGCCGGGTCCCCCGTCAGGCGCGCCGCTCTTGCTCATGGTGGGCTTTTTGGCTGACGGGGTATCAGAAGAGCCTTCAGCGGCGCGTTTGGACATGAAGCGCACAGGCGCGTTCTGGACGCGTCGGGGCGGGCCCGACAAGCTTCCACGCTGCACACAACCGAACGACTACGGCACGTTTGCAAGATCCGATTTGTATCAGCAAGTGTGCTAAGTTTACTGGGCCCGTGAGGGCGCGGTATCTGAGGCGACGCCAACACAGGGTTCTCGTACAGTAGCAGTTAGTTGCACAGCTGGTTCGGCTGAGAGAAAGCCAGAGCCGGACATACATGCATTACCCAATAACAAGTTATGTTAGAATATTTCAATGGTAAAAACACGTTTAAGTAGACAAACATCAAGCAGTATTTCCTTGCCGTGCGAAGCAACGTGGCCTTTGACTTTTTGCGTGATGCGGCCTCAGATGGACGTGAACAGGTGTGTGCTCTAACGCACATGTGGGTAGCCGAGCACTTAAACCAGCTCCGTGCACAACCTCCAGATGTACGGCGGTGTAGGCAAGCTGGGGCCTGCCATAGGAATGTACCGCGGTGGCCTTCTAAAAGCCCGGGGTGTTATGAGCTTGTGTCGCCACCAGTGATGTGGCCTGCCTAACGGCCTAACTTAGCATGCTGCTGCTGCGCCATTCCGCGCCCTGCAGCCACCACACCCGCGCATGCTACCGAGCCTGAGCAGCACGGGGTCTGGCTGGAGTGAAGGGTCATGGGGCCCATGCAGCGAAGTCACGCATGCATGCATGTGGGTCAGGAACGTGCAGGCGCATGCCACTGCAGCCTGACATGTTACCGGCTGCCTAACGCATTGGCATTTGGGCTGAGGTGAGGCGATGGGGGTGGGATTTGGGTTTAAGGGCGCGTGCGGTGCCAACTGGTGTGAAGTGGGTGGATGTGAACCGTGTGAAGCTTTGCATGCGGGCAGAGGAGAAGGGCATGCAAGGTTGGCGATTGCTAACACGGCTGCAAATCATCTCGCTGCCTGCGGAGTTGGTAAGGCAGGGGGCGTCCTTCCTGCCCTTTTCGCCCTGTCATAACATGCACGTGGGTTGCAGTGGCAGAGACATGCCTGAAAGCAAGGCAGATTCCTTATAGCCCTTCTTGTTAAAGGCTCAACAACTATCCGCCATGTGGGATGTCTAAGTCGACATGTCTCTGAACTCAACTTCAGCAAGGCAGATTCCTTATAGCCCTTCTTGTTAAACGCTCAACAACTATCCGCCATGTGGGATGTCTAAGTCGACATGTCTCTGAACTCAACTTCAGCACAGAACCATCGTGCGTCCTGAAGTACCCCTATCTTCCCATGTCGTACAACGGAAACCACATGCCCGCATACACAACCTGAGTGCCCGGTAGCCTCTCTGTCAACGTAATGTCACCAGGGGTGAAACCCTGCAGCAACAGCACAATTCTGCGGTAAAGTCATCGCCACATGCCGAGCGTCGGCCTGGAGGGCAGGTTTGTTGGTTACAAATGAGAGCTTGATGGCTAAGTTGCTTCGGACAACGGAAGTTAACGCTTTACGAAATATATAATTTACCAGCTTAAAGGTTGAGAATATGTGCATGGCCCCGGGCACTGCAATCGGTGGGGCCTTGCAATTCGGGTGTTGCGTACGAGTGCACGACAGCTGCCCAAGGCTTTGCCATGTTCTCTGCAAGCCGATCGTCCCATGTTTGTGAAGACAAATTATACTGGCTTTTTAATAAATTAGTTTCCCCAAAACTTTAGGGAACTACCGTTAGCTTGTAATGTTCTGAGGCATGGTATAAAACAAGCTTCAGGAAGTTCCTTTCCTCCGTTAAAATGGTTAGCGCCATCGTGGTTCGCGGCCTCGAGGAGGCGGGCTTGAAGAAGTTTGTAGGAGCTTTTGCTGGCATTTCGGACCAGGCTTTCTTGGGACTAATGATGAGCGATTATGCTTCACATGGTGTGATCGATCTAGAGGATAAGCAGCGGCTATTCCGTCTCATAAAGTCCATTTCAGCTGCTTCGAAGTTGTCAGGCGAGGCGCCATCTCAGCCAGCTGTGGAGAGGCCCAACGCTCTGATTGATCTGGACGAAAACGACGGTGATCTCCTGTCAGATGTGCGTGAAGCTGCATGAGCTGTTGGGGAGTCTGGCTGTTGAGCTCTTTAACTGTTCCCGCCTACTTGCCGCATGCTGTTTCACTGCACAACTTCAGGCCGGCGTTGCTTTCCAGCTATCACCGATAGCGAACCAGAAAGCAGCTGCACCGTCTGTGGCCTTGGCGAATAACGTGGACGACCCACCCAAAATTCGCGTCGTCGTCCGCAAGCGCCCTATAAGCAAGAAGGTGCCTCGGGATCGTGGCACGATCGTATCCTTATAGGTCATACAGCTAAATTACATGCTAATATCGGGTATAACCCGCTGTGACCGTTCATATGCTTCCCCTGCCGGTTACCGTGTGCATCTTCACGGAACTTCACAAAGTTAACCGCTACCTTTGGTTGCCTGGCCGCATTCCATGTACAGGAGCGTGAGCGTGGTGATGAGGACGTGGTGGACGTGCTCTCAAAGGCCGGCACTGTGGTTGTGAACGAGGAGAAGGTGAAAGTGGACCTAACCAAGTACGTCGAGAAGCACGCTTTCAAGTTTGATGAGGCGCTCGACGAGCAGGTCAGCAACGAGGCGGTGTACCAGCTCACGGTGGGGCCGCTGGTGCGCACGCTCTTCCGCAGCGGCCGTGCATCTTGTTTTGCGTACGGCCAGACTGGCAGTGGAAAGACGTACACCATGTCGCCGCTGCCGATCCGCGCCTCCGCCGACATCTTCACTTACATGGCTCAGCAGCAGTACCGGGACATTAGCCTGTGCGTCTCCTGCTTCGAGATCTACGGGAACAAGGTGAGACGTCATGCACCCGTGCATGGGGTTGTTTTGGGCTTATGGGTTTCCTTAGCTGATCCGCATGCACTCCGTCACCAGGCCCTGCCCCTTGGGGTACATGTGGGTTAATCGGCGGTATGAGTATACGAGGGGCGGCCGAGGAATAGTTAGGCCATGCATGACTCGGCTGCAGCCCTTGGTACCAGATGGGTGCCTACGCGTTCGCTCAGGCTAATATCCACCCTCTTGCGATGTGGGTCGGGCTCCTCTTGCTTCCTCCTGCGCCAGGCGTCCCCACCCCGTCGTGTACTGCAGACATGTGACAACTAGCGCGCTCACACATGCCCTGCCAAATGTGTATCTTGGCTATCCTGCTTACCCGCACCTGGCTCCTCTGCTTACCCGCACCTAACCGTTGCCGCCCAGGTCTTCGACCTGCTCAACCAGCGCAAGAAGCTCAACATCCTGGAGGACGGCAAGCGCAAGGTGGTGGTGGTGGGCCTCAAGGAGTTTGCGGTGGACGATGTGGAGGGCGTCAAGGCGCTCATCGAGGAGGCCTCCAAGCAGCGCTCCACCGGCTCCACCGCAGCCAACTCGGACTCCTCGCGCTCGCACTCCATCATGCAGTTTGCTCTAAAGCGCGCTGCCCCGGTCGCGGCTGGCGGCTTCCGTCGTGGCGAGGAGCCGCCCGAGCCCCGTGTGGTCGGTAAGATCAGCTTCATTGACCTGGCGGGCAGCGAGCGCGGTGCCGACACGTACGACAACAACCGACAGACGCGGCTGGAGGGCGCGGAGATCAACAAGTCGCTGCTGGCGCTCAAGGAGTGCATCCGGGCGCTGGACAGCGATGCGCGACACGTGCCGTTCCGGGGGTCCAAGCTGACGGCTGTGCTGCGGGACTCGTTTGTGGGCGACCAGGCTCGCACTGTCATGATTGCCAACATCTCCCCGTGCTCCACCTCGGTAGAGCATACACTCAACACGCTGCGGTATGCGGACCGTGTCAAAGGTGCGTGACTGCAGGTTACCGGAAGATCAGGGCTGGCCCGGGTTAGAGTTGCTGCACGGAACAATGGGGCTCCTTTATGCCGTGCGCGAAGGTGGGAGTTCTTACCACCAGGCCTTCTTACAGGCAGTGCCCAGTGCCCTAGCATGGGACTCCTTGAACACCGCCAGGCGTTAACTATCCCTAAGCACCGGCATGTGAACTTCTGTCAGTGCTGTTTAGCCCAAATCCCGGGTAGTACTTTCAGCGTCCTATCCAATGCAAACGCCCCTCGCCGATAGTGTTTCCATTGTTCACGCTGCAACACCACCCCGTAGAGCTACGCAAAGACAAGGCGGAGCGCACTCCGGGCGGCGTGACCCCCGGCGACGATGCCTACTATGCAGCTGTTGCGCGGGCGGCGGTGCCCGGCCCGGAGCCAGTGGAGCGGGAGCGGTTTGACCAACCGGAGCGGGAGCGGTTGGACCAACCGGAACGAGAGCGGTTTGACCAACGGGACCGTGACTGGGAGCGTGACCGAGGCCCTGACCGCTACCCCAGCCCTCCCCACCAGCAGGTAGGGTAAAGCTGGATTCGGAGCCATTAATGGGTCAGGGGCACCCGAATTTGCCTGTGTACGGATTGTGTACGGATTGAGGAGCCGTCTTAGGCGCCACCGCATACCCGCTGCTTGGCATACTGCTCACTATTGTGGGGTTGCTTCTATAGACATGCTCACAACTCGGCTACTATAACTCAACTTGTACCATGTGCCAGGGCGGCTGCTTCGTGGGCGGCGTCGGCGACGCGGATGCCGACGCGCTGGCGGAGCGGCACGACGAGCTGATGGACAGCATCCTGCTGGAGGAGGAGAACCTTGTGGCCTTCCACCGCGCCAAGCTGGAGGAGGACATGGAGACGATGCGGCAGGAGATGGCGCTGCTGCAGGAGGTGGACAAGCCCGGCAGCGAGATTGACCACTACGTGGAGCAGATGACGGCGCTGCTTAACATCAAGCGGCAAGGCATCCAGGGGCTGCAGGTGCGGTGGCCGCATTCCGGGGTGGCTACACGGGTTTGGTGATTCTACTTGCAATCCTTACCCTTGTTGTCTAGCAGCCGATTGGCGTGAGACGCGCTGAGCCTTTGACGGCGCAGCTTTCGTGCTACACTGGGTTAGCAGGGGTGTCCAGAGCTGAGTTGGGGTTCAGACATCACCGCCAGCGTCTTGACGGCGCGTTGTCAACCCGTTGGAAGTGTATAGGGGTACATGCTGGGGACACCTGCGCCAGCCCCCACGCGGCGTTGTTGACATGCCGCTTCCCGCCCCACCCCTGCAGGCGAAACTGGACGCCTTCAAGGCGAAGCTGCGGGAAGAGGAAGCACTCAGCAGGACGGTGCACAAGATTCGCGCATAATGTACGGAACCGTGCTCAGTCGGATGGATTCCTGCATGTCCTGAAGGGGTTTGAAGGGGCGTCGGCTTGTATGCGTACAACAGTGTCACAGATGTGAAGCCCCATCCGCCGGTGGGATGGTGCGTAGTAGTTTGTAGGTTATCAGGCCGTTAGCAAGCTCGTGTTTAGGTATACATGCTTGGGAGGCTTGGGCTCTAGGCAGCAACAGTAGAAATAACCACTGCGCAGGGTCATGCAGGGCCTCTACGGTCTGTTAGGCAAGGATGTTAGAAGTCGGTAGGGGCTGGTAGCATGACCTGTCCGCAGGGCGAGATTCCGAGCGGTAGTTAGACGAGGCACTTCCATGTGCATGGAGTGAAAAACGAGCGATTTATGGTGAACAGTACCTGATGCTGGTTAGCCACGCAGGAGTAGCTGGTGCTTTTACGGGTGTACCCCACGGATACTTGCGTTAAGGGTAACGGTACTGCTTCATCCTTGAACGTTATGAACTGAGACCATACATTCTTGGCAAGCCGTCCCGGTGTGCCTTTGCATGGCTCCATCAAACGTTATGCCGACCCGGGGGCTTGGAGGCAAGGCAGAGTAAACCAAACGGGAATACCTACCATAACCGTTGGCCGGGATGCGGGGAAGGGGAGGGCATGCTGGTCTGTAATCCCAAGCGGCCGCGGGACTGGACTTCATACGTTAACCCACATGTCCGAGAACTTGTATGCCCCGGCAGGCCCCGGTAAGCTTTTGTAGCTTTGCTCCTGAACATGGGCGCTGTGGACTTACCTGCACGAATACCGCATCGCTATCGCCTCAGTAACATAACTGCAAACATACATAGTATGACTGAACAATCGGAATCCCTTCGAGTCGTTCTCTGGCCCTTGGAACGGCACGCAAAGCAACATCCCAAAGTGCCGGTGTCCCTTTTAAGGACGTTACAGACCAGAATCAACCTAACTATTATTACATCAGCAATACAAAATTATCCGCAACAGAGCACCTCCTTTGCTTTGCTACGAAGCCGAAGAGGCAAACGCTGTATCGGAGCAAACAAGGGCTGTTCCGCAGGCGGATCCTGTCAGCTTTCGGGTATGAAGTCATATTCCTTGCTCGGTAACCGCGATGGTGGAACCCATGGTTTCGGCATGCTGTTGCTTCAACCGGGATACTGCTCTAGGGAGGCCCATTCGTGGTGCCGTCCAACATGGAGGACAATATAACCATGCCCATGCGCCTTCATCTTCACTTTTAGAGTCTTTTTAGAAGACTCGACTTACTTGTCAGTTCCAGCACAGCAGTGTCTGGTACCGTCTGATTCACGGAACCTCACTGCGGCTTGTTTCGGAACCTCTCCAAACAAGCAAAATGGGCGACAAGAACTTCCTCGTTGTAAGCACTCTTGGAGACTTGGGCACGGGAGCGGAGACTTTGGGTGCGCCGACTTCTGATGTGATGACGGAAATCTCAATGTTTCTTGGCCGCAGGACTTCCTGGCTGGCGGTGTTTCCGCTGCCGTCTCCAAGACGGCTGCCGCTCCTATTGAGCGTGTGAAGCTGCTGATCCAGAACCAGGATGAGATGATTAAGCAGGGCCGCCTGGCGACCCCCTACAAGGGCATCGGCGACTGCTTCGGCCGCACCATGAAGGAGGAGGGCTTTGTCTCGCTGTGGCGTGGCAACACCGCCAACGTCATCCGGTACTTCCCTACCCAGGTAATATTGGTCTTGTCATGGACTTCGGCAATCTGGGTCGCGTTGATCGTCTTTCGGTCGGAGGTTCTAACTCTTCTTTTCCACCTGTTGCATGCAGGCCCTGAACTTTGCCTTCAAGGACAAGTTCAAGCGCATGTTCGGCTACAGCAAGGACAAGGAGTACTGGAAGTGGTTCGCCGGTAAGAAACATAGTCCAGCTTGGCGCACGCTTTATCCTCCTACTATCGAGCATATTCTTGGTTAGGCGCATTATTGACAACTGCACGTTTTGCAAAGTAGCGCGGACACCTTGGTGCACACCCCGATGCACGCAAACCATTCCTATGTTACACGAACCAATCATGAGCTCTCATTCCCCTGCTCATTCCTTGACTTCCAGGCAACATGGCCTCCGGTGGTGCTGCTGGTGCCGTTTCGCTGGCGTTCGTCTACTCTCTGGACTACGCCCGTACCCGCCTGGCCAACGACGCCAAGTCTGCCAAGAAGGGTGGCGGCGACCGCCAGTTCAACGGCCTGGTCGATGTGTACCGCAAGACCATTGCCTCCGACGGTGTTGCCGGTCTGTACCGCGGCTTCAACATCTCGTGCGTTGGCATTGTGGTGTACCGCGGTCTGTACTTCGGCATGTACGACTCCCTCAAGCCCGTGGTGCTGGTCGGCAACCTGGCCAACAACTTCCTGGCCTCCTTCCTGCTGGGCTGGGGCATCACGATTGGCGCTGGTGGGTTGTTTCCCTAGCCTGTCGTAAGGCAATGGGATGCGCATTTGCCGCTGTTGTTCATGTTGTTTGCATGGCACTTCGCTTTCCTGGCGTGCTTATTGTTATGGATTAACAATGTTCCTTCCTGAACAACGTTATCCGCTTACCTGTCCCCTCACGTTTCCTAAGCCTGCATAACCTACATACGTGACGATTCTTACCCCTCTCCCTTTCCCCCCAGGCCTGGCGTCTTACCCCATCGACACCATTCGTCGTCGTATGATGATGACCTCGGGCGCGGCCGTCAAGTACAACAGCTCCTTCCACTGCTTCCAGGAGATCGTGAAGAACGAGGGCACCAAGTCGCTGTTCAAGGGCGCTGGCGCTAACATCCTGCGTGCCGTGGCCGGCGCTGGTGTGCTGGCTGGCTACGACCAGCTGCAGGTCATTCTCCTGGGCAAGAAGTACGGCAGCGGCGAGGCCTAAGCGCCTTGACTTGTGCAGCGCAGTCTCTTGACGGATTGCGGTCCTGTTCCCTTTTGGGGACTCTAGCTTCGCAACATGGCAACATGGCGCAGTACAGTATTCTTTTCTAACTGCAGTGCGACTACGAGTGTGACAGGTGGCACTTCAAGGAAGCTGGATGGCAGTTTCGATTGTTTGATGACGTGCCCGCCTATGGTGGTGTTTCGGTGGTCCCAGGCCCTCGCCTTGACAGATTGCGGCGACCTCTGAAGCCGCACTTCGCGGCTTGGTTGCATAGCATGATCAATAAGTATGTAATGGGCGGTACATTTCGACTGGACGTGCGGTTGTCTTGACTTCTTGTCCCCTGACGTAACATTGTCATGAAGCAGTAATTGGTTTTATGGCGATGTGTGACTCATGGAAGTTGCCAGTGTGTATTGGCACGCAGCAACCGCCATTTTCGCTGCCTCGCTTGGCACTGGGTGTATGTTGCGCACCTTCATATGCCTGTAAGGATTCTACAGCTGATACCGCAGATGCGTTCTATCCTTTTCCATAGTTTCGATTGTAAAGTATTTGGAAGTGGATCAGTGGAATGTACCAGCATGAAGAAAGGTTCAAAAACTTGCGAGGATAAGACATAACATCGGACAAATCGAGTCAAGGAAGAAAATACAGCCCATCCCATGTGCTTAGGTGTTTTCCTTAAACAAAACGTTTACCTTAGTCCTCTGGTCCGTGCGTTTGCTGCAAGACCTCGAAGATGTAAGGCCTCGGTTCACAACCCCGCTGAGCAGTTGGAGCCGTAAAAGGACACCTAGGTCGTACGGCATAAGCGCCCATGTAAGGGCGTGTTCGCCTTGAGAAGGTAACACATTGTGTCTTGTGTGTGTCAGGCCGGGTACGCAAGGCACCCGCAAGCAAACAAACAAACAGTAAATGACGCTGCACTCTTAACTTGAACTACAACAAGCAAAATGTCGTCAACACCGCAGGTAAGCGCAAGAGGGCTGGAGTAACGACAAACGGTTCTTACCTTGCTTGCTGGCAAGACAACTTTAATAGTACATATTCTGACCTTGCCCACTCTATGATCATGTTCATGTGCAGGCATCTGCCAACCCCGACGATGGTTCCTACACTGCTGTCATCATCGTTGGCGTAGTCTTCGGTGCACTTGCCTCGATTTTGTTATACTCCTACTTTAACTACAAGCGTATGGCGTCTATGGCACCGGACCGGCCCAAGAAGAAGCCAGGCGCTAAGCAGCTCAAGCGTGAAAAGCTCAAGATGGGACTGCGACCCCCTGGCGACGACTAGACTGCATCCCTGTCTTTTAGGTCGCTAACAGTTTGAAGTTTATGCAAAATCTAATGGTCATACTGCCCTATGATGCAGCGTGCTTAGCGGTTGGTATCCCACATGGCGGGGCATGTCGGATTAAACAGGAAGGCAGTGGCGGTTTTCTATGATGTGGCAACGAACATGACATGTGTAGTGGAGTAGTGGAGTCTCGTGACTAATGGTGCGGAAGTAAGGGCGCAACACCCTTGTACTGCGTAAGGCAGTTTCATTTGTTGAGCAATCTTGGGCAGATCGGCACAAGGTAATTACCATATGTTGGTTCGTTCACAACACTGGCCAATACACGCCCCGTCTCCCTGGGTCTTCAGCAAGCAGTTACATGTTCAAGCAGCCTGAAGTCGAACTCATATGCGGACACTTCCCAATCCAAGCGGCTACGATGCTATGCCTGCGCTGCCGGAACGCACCCACGCTGCCAGTCAGACCAGGGTAAAGACTGGAGAACACGTAACTCAAGGACCACCCGCAACCGCACAACGGCCTCTGCACACCTAAACCAACACGTCCTACGTGTAACCGCGCTGCATTTCCGCCATAAAGCGTTCGTACTCGTTCAGCTGCTGCTGCTGCTGCTCGGCGCCCGTGCCCGGCGGCAGGGGTGGCTGCGCCTCACCTCCGGGCGCCGCATCCGGCGGAGGCGGTGGCGGAGGCTGAGAGGGTGGCAGCGGTGGGGGGTAGGAGGGCGGGGGCGGCGGCGCTGCCCCCCCGTACCCCGCAGCTCCGTAGTCCCCGCCGTACCCGCCCGCCGCAGCCCCGTACCCGTACGACTGCTGCTGGGGGCCTCCGTACGGCGGCGGAGGTGCCATGCCGTACCCGTGGTCCGGCGGCATGGGAGCGCCGTACGGGTTGTACGGGGCTCCGGGGGGCGGCGGCGGAGGGGCCCCCGGGCCGTAGGGCGGCGGCGGAGGCACTCCGGGAGGGGGGTAGGGGCTGCCGTAGGGCCCCCATTGCGGGTGCGGCGGTGGGTGCGGCGGCGGGTAGGGTGGTGGGTAGGGCGGTGGGGGGCCGGAGGGCGGGTACGGCGCGCCGGGCGGGGGGTAGTGGGGAGGCGGCCCGCCGGGAGGGGGTGCGGGTCCGGGCGGGAAGTGGCCGGGGGGCGGAGGGGGTCCCCCCGCGGGGCCCATCATGCGGCCTTGACCGTCGTGCTTGGGACCCTGGGTGGGAGCAGGGGGGGAGGAGGAGAGGGGGGAGGCGGGCAGCACATGCGGGGCTGGTGGTCAGGTGGGTGCCAGGGGGCTGAGTGCGGGGCGGGGGAGGAGCTAGGGTGACGCCAGTCGAGTGGGAGGAGCCAGTCAGGTTACGGTACCCAAGTCAGGTGCCGCCAAGCACGGGTGGTGTGGTAGGGTGCTTCAAGGACGCATGCATTACCGTACTACAAAGCGACATCCTCTTCCTCACTACCCAGCACTCCTCCCCACAGCCCCGGCCCCCCGCCTCCCTCACCCTGTGGAAGTCCCGGTGCGGTCCCTCGCCGCCTCCCCGCTCGTCCCTGCCGCTGCCCGGCGGCGCCCCCGCCTGCTTCACCACGATGTTCTTCCCGTCCAGTCGGTATCCGTGCATGGCGCGCATCACGGCGGACGCGGCGGCCGGGGTGGACATGGTGAGGAAGCCGAAGCCCTGCGACACGTGACGACGTTACGAGGCACAACCGGGGGTGTTGGTTAGCGGTGGGAAAGGAGGTGGGGAAGGCGGGGCTGCGGTGAGAGCAGGCCGCAGTGGACAGGGCAGCAGCAGGTGCCGTGTCAGCGGCGCCGTGTGTTAAAATAACTGGCCGCGAGGCGAAACGTACTGGCGCCGTGTGTGTAGTTGAGTAGAAACAAGAGCAAGCAGTTGGGATAGGTTCGCATGTGAACCGCGAGTATAGTCAAAACAGGGGCAAAGCAGAGATTAACAAACCTGAAACGTAACTCAATAACTGCTTAAAACGCGGGTGCTGGATGTAAGAAGAGTGGCGGGTTGACGACGCATGTCGGTGATGCTGATGGTGTCGGGAAAAACTAATTACTGCTGAGTACCTAGCCCGCTGACCAACTGGCGCCGTGTGTGTGTGTATATGCAGTTGGGTGGCAGTTGGGTGGTAGTTGGACGTCTGCAGTCCCGACGACAGCACTGCACCCGCACCCACACCCGCACCCCACCTTGAGTCCGCCGCTCTCCCGGTCCCGGATGAGTCGCAGCTCCAGCACGGGGCCGAACGGCTCGAACAGCGGCCGCAGCAGCTGGGGGGGTGGGTGGGGGGGGAAAATTATATAAGAAATGCAAACAACGCAATCCCAATCCCAATGGAGGGGGGGGCACGACATTGGGCGGATGTGCAACAGGCATTGAGGCAGTCAGTCAGGCACCACCCAGCTGGCAACGTATGTCTTCCCTGTTGCTCCTCCCCTCCTTATCCTCCACTCCCCCTCCCCCATCCCTTCCCCCTCCTCACCTGTTCCGAAGCAGTGGCCGGCAGCTGCCCCAGGTATAACTTGCACGCATCATCCACCCCCTCCGAGGGACCGCCGCCGCCGCCTCCCAGCCCCGGCCCCCCTCGCGGCCCGCGCTCATTCCGCTCGCTGCGCAACCGCACTGTGAGTGGCTTGCCCTCAATGAGCCGCCCATCCATACCGTCCCGTGCGGCCTTGGCGGTGGCGGCATCCGGCATGTGCACGAATCCAAAGCCGCGGCTGTTGCCCGCTCCGTCCGTTGCCACCACCGCATACAACACCTGGGGGCCGCGGGGGGAGGAGGAGGAGGGGCAGAGGAGGATGAGGAGGAAGGGCGCGTGGGACGGCGAACGCTGAGGAGCTCTGGTCAGGTGTAGAGCCAAACACGCCGACCTGCACTCCAGGAGGTGCGACCTCCCCACATGCTCACACGTGCATGCGAAGTCAAGGGACAAGCTGTAAACCGTGAAACCTGCTGCCTCCCGCTGCTTGGAGAAGGCGGCAAGCCAGTCCTACCCCTCGCCCCGTGTCCCTGCCACATGTCCCTGTCCTTGCCACTCCTTGCCCCACCGCCACCCCCACCCCAGCATCATGCGGTGCTCCTCGCCCTTACATTGCCGAAGGGTTCGAACATGGACCGCAGCATCACATCGTTGAAGACGGGCGGTAGGCCTGCAATGTAGATCTGGAGGAGGGAAGGAGGCGGAGGGGAGGAGGAGGAGGGGAAGGGGCGGAGGGGAGGAGGCGGAGGGGAGGAGGCGGAGGGGAAGGGGCCCGAATGCGGTTAGTCGACCTGTCGTTTCACGCGCGCAATCTGCCCCACTCCTCGCCACCCGCATTCCCTATCGCTCCTATCAGCGGCATTTATCGCTTGGCTTGGTCAGTCACAATGCCCCTTATCCCTGCTTCTCGTCAATTTCCTCTTTCACCCCCCCCCCCGCCCCCCCCCCGGCCCCCCCACCTTGTGATCCTCCGGCAGATCATCTCCAGGCCTGCGCGGCCGCCCGCCGCTGCCCAGCCCCGGCCTGCCGCCGCCCTCCCTCGCCTCCAGTGCAGCCAGGTCGCCTAGCATCTCGGGCGGGGGGGCACCGCCCAGCTCCTGGGGGGGGGAGAGGGTGGGTGGTGGGGGAGGGCAGAAGTGCGGGTTGAAAATCAGGAGACGGTGTCCTTGTCCAAGCGACATCGTGGCATCACCCACGCCCCCGTGCCTCAGCTCTCCCTACCTCCACTATCATTCAACACATTGGGTCCTCTTCCTTACCCTCCACCCCCCAGCCCCCCCAGCTCTCACCCTCAGGAAGCTCTTGTACTCGTCCTCCAGCCCCCGCCCCGCCGCCGCGCCTCCCTCGCCCGCCATGCGCGCCACATCCCGCGCATACTGCTCCTCCACCTTGGAACGAATGTCATCGGGCAGCCTGCGGGGGGAAGGGGGAAAAAGTAAATATGTGAAACAACGAGTCCCAATCCCATATCCCGGGGGGAAGGGGGGAAGGGGGGGGGTGCTGAGCAAGCAGAATCCTAAGACTCTCCACTGCCCGAACTCAACCCAAAAACAAAAGCAAGCTGGTGCAGCAGCTCTCCCTTTCTCACCACCTCCCCCTGTTACCCAAGCCGCCCTTTCCCCCCTTCCCCTCGTCAGTTTCCTCTTTCCCACCCCCCTCCACTGCATTCCCCCGCCTCCACCCACTTGTACACCTCCACCGCCTGCTGCTTGGGGCACTCGTTGCTGCGGTGGCTGCTCTCGCCGCAAATGTAGCAGGCCTGCGGGGGGGAGGGGGGAGGGGACAGGGTGAGGCAGGCGTGAGAGGGAGAGGTAAAAGGGAGATGGGGGAGGGGCGTTAGCGCGGTAGCCTGTCACATGCCACCTGTCCTGTCCTGCCCAGCCCACAGGCCCACGGGGGAACCCACCCTCCTGCTAAGCAGCACCCTGGGTACCGCTGTAGTGCACCTGCCAGCGAGTACCCAGCGCCATGCAGTCCTCGCGACCAGCTGCTTCCTCCTCCATCCCTCTCTCTCCCACTATCAACCACCGCCCCCCATCTCTCCCCTTCCTCCCATTCCACGCACGCATGCATGCTTCTTCTCCTCCCCCTCCCTCCACCCGCCTGCCACTCACCACCTCGTCCTTCAGCGTGCCGTTCAGTGCCGCCAGCTCGCGCAGCTGCAGCCGCTTGTGTTCGTTGAGCGTGTCGTCATTGGGCTCAAGCAGCCGCTCGATCATCTCAACAGCCTTGTCGACCTGGAAGGGGGGGCAGGGGGGGGGGCGGAGGGGCAGGGGCAGGGGGGTAGGGGTGAGAAAGAGGACCATGCGACATGACATGCAGGCCGCTGCTGCTCCTCCTCCCCTCAAACCCCCTCCCTCCCTCCCTTACGTCATCCTGCCGCTCCCCCGTGATCAGCACGTGCAGCTCCTCCTCCTCCCCGTAGTCGTACTTGGGGTCGCGCGAGGCGCCCTCCTTCACGGAGCCGCGGCCTTTGATGGGGGGGGAGGAGGGGGGGGGCAAATTAGACCAACAAGGGGGGGAGAGGGATGGGGGGGGAGGAGGGGGGGGCAAATTAGACCAACAAGGGGGGGAGAGGGATGGGGGGGGAGGAGGGGGGGGGGGGCAAATTAGACCAACAAGGGGGGGAGAGGGATGGGGGGGGAGGAGGGGGGGGGGGCAAATTAGACCAACAAGGGGGGGAGAGGGTTTTGGCTATCTTCAAACAAAGGACGGAGACGGTAGGGTATTGCAGGTCAGACAACATCTTCCGACAACCCAGTATGTTCCTACTCGCGGCCACCCACCCTAACCACCCCTCCCTCCCTCCCCCCCACCTCTGATGGCGATCTTGGTGTTGGTTTCCTTTTGCATGCGCTTCTGCGTGTTGCCGCGCGGGCCGATGATGAGGCCGATGAAGTTGTAGGTGGGGAAGGAGTCCTGAGGAATGTACACCTTCTTCCAGTACTTCTTGGGTCTGGAAGGAGGGGAGGGGGGGAGGCAGGGGGGGGAGGGAGGCAAATGAATTAAGAATGGGCACAGCGCCACCCCTACCCCCGCCCCCTTCCGTCCCCCTCCCTCCCAACTCCCACAGGCTGTGTTCCCCATCCGCACCTCTATCCAGGCGCACCAAGCCCCTCCCCCACCCTCACACCTCACCCCCGCCCCCCTCCCCCCCACCTGTAATCCGCGGGTGGTTTGAAGCTGGGGTCCTCCCGCATCAGCTCCTCCACCAGCCGGTGACGGCAGTCCAGCAGCCGCTCGCGGTAGCTGGGGGGGGGGTGGGAGGGGGGTGGAGGGGGGTGGGGGGTGGGAAGGAGGCGACATGGGGTCATTGAGGCCACTGGCGCTGCTTGCATCACCTCCCGCTGCCTGGCTCCTGCCCCAAACCCCGCCCTTGCAGCAGTGTCTGCTCCTCCTCCTCGCAGCTTTGCACTCTCTGTTCCCCTCTCCCTGCCGCCCCCCAATTCCCTTAGCCATCTCCCCCAACACTACCCCGCTCAGCCCTCCCCCGCTTCCTCTCTCACCGGATCTCCCGTGTGTTTTGTCGGATGCCGTTTCTGTCGTACACGGGCTCGGGGGAGGGCGAGCGACGCGGGTCTCCCTCGGGCGGAATGTCCAGCTCATTGTTCTGTTCAGTGGGGGTGGTGATGGGTAGTGGGGGGTGGTCAGGGCGGTGTTGAGGCCAGGAGACACGGCGAGAAGGGCGCGGAGGGGACGAGGGGAGGGTGAGACCCCAGCCCTGCAATCGCAGCAGCAGCTGCAATGCCCCCGCGTGTCCCGCCGTGTCCGGATCACCCACCCCCATCATGCTGCAACTGCAACCCGTGATGTAACCTTGCCGTACAGCTACCTCCTCCCAACCCCCCCCCACCTGCAGCCTCCTGTTGAGTCCCTCCAACTCCTCATGAAGCGCCCGCAGCTTGGGGTCGGCATGCGCCAGGGACCCCTCACCCGTGATGGTGGGGGGGAGCGAGACCTGTGCATGAGGGGGAAGGAGGGGGAGGGAGAGGGGAGCAGGGGGTAAAAGAGGAAACAACTACCTGACACTGTGTTTTGGCCACATGGCTGCTGTTGCTCCGGAACCAGTCTGCTGCAGCAGCCTGACGCATGACGCGGAGCTCCTCCCTCCCTCGCTGTGGCCCTGGTGCCATCACCCCCTCGGCTGTACCGCAGTCGCCCCCCTCCCCCTCCATCCTCCCCAGTGCCCTCCCCCTCCCCCTCCCTCCTCCACGACAGACATGTGGTGCAGTCTCTCGCGCGCTCGCCCCATTCAGCATCATTGGCCCCACCCTGCTCCAGGCCCTTCACTCGCCCGCCCCCCTGCACCCCCTTAGCCCCCACCTTGCTTCCCTCCCGCCCCTACAACCGCCCGCACCTTGCCGCCGGTCTCCCCCTCCCCTGGACCCCCTCCCCAGGACTCCTCACCTTGATCCCCCCCGACAGCACCACCTCCCGCGGAAACACCGCCAGCGCCCCGCCCGCCCCGCCCGGCACCAGCGCCAGTGCCGTACCGCCGCCTCCCGCAGCAGCAGCCTCGTTCTCCTCCCACCTGTCCCGGGGGGGACAGCCCGCAGACAGCCACGAGTTACAGGGGCAGAGCGATGGAGGCAGGAGGCGGCCGGGGGGGGGAGGTGGGTAGCAGCAGGTGGCAAGGAAGGAGCAGGTGGGGGGCAGCAGACTGGACATACACCCTCATGGCACGTCATGGCACGTCATGGCACCCCCGCACACACACGCCAGGTGCCCCAAGCAACAAACCCAGCCTGTCCACCCTACCCCAGCTTGCACCAAGCAGTTTGGGTCCCCCAGTCCCCCTCCCACACCCCCTCACCTGCTCCTGCGCCGGCGCTTTCGGTCGCCCTCCGCACCGTCCGCCTCCCCGCCTTGCGTTCCTCCCTCCGGTGGGGGCGTGGAGGAGGTATGACCACCCCCACCGCTCACCCCTGCATGCACCGCCGCCCCTCCATCAACACCCCCCGCCTCCGCAGCAGCACCCGGAACCGCATCCGCTGCGGGCGGTCCCCACTTCCGTCGCCGCCTCTTGTTGGTCTCGCCGCCCGCCCCATCCTCTCCACTACCGCCAGCGCTGGCTTGCCCCAGGGGGCCGCCCTCCGGGACCCCTGGAGCTGCAGCTTCCGGGCCCACAGCAGCAGCAGCAGCAGCCTCCTGGGGGGGAGCTGCCTCCGCTGCTGATGCGGCATCTGTGTATACGAATTGCTGCTGCTGTACGAAGGCGGGGGCCTCCAAGCCGAGGCCCGGAGGCTCAGCAGCAGCAGGCGGTGGTGATGATGGGAGCGGCGCCTCGGTGTTGACAAACACCGGCTCCGCGCCTTGTTGCTGGTCATGATTGTGGTTTTCGCTTTCAGCATTTGTAGCGTTCACCTCCGGCATGCCTTCGTCTGGATTTGGCATGTTTAGCAAGGTTGGTAGTGAGCGAAATTGCGCATGACGGCGTGTGACGCGCTGAAAAGCGATGCAGAATGCAAGGAACAATATGGGGCGCAAGGATAGACTCACAGGATGCTTGAGCATCCAGGCTGCTCTCCTGGTGGCCTTCTTGGCCATCCTGCCCGGCCTCCATCCTGAGATCTCCACTGACGTGCGGTTAGCAGTGCTCGGCGAACAAGCAGAACCGGAGCTGGAGAGGTAAAGCACTTTAAGAAAGCTTCAACTACTCTGTTACATATGCGGCGGACTTGAGCCCGGTTTGTCTCTACTGCTGCCTGTCCGAGTATGTGAGGACGCGCATGGCAACCAGTATCATAGCCGGCAGAACAAATCTGCAAGCGTGTACAAAGTAGTGCGCAGAAGATAAGGCCAACCTTGTGGACGGAAGGACACCGTAGCCTGTAAAGGAGTGCACGTTACAGACTAAATTGTGGACTGAGTTTGCATGTATGATCAGTGCGTTTCATGCCACTTCGAATGTGCTCATTTCGGGGAAATCACACGTCGTACGCTGGATTCCGCGCAGCCCGCAGTAAGACCAAGCTTTCCCATGCACCAAACATAGCATCAGGCCAATCCTGCATCCCGCTTAACCCACGTTTCGCTTAACCCACATGCCATATGGCCACCGCTAGCTAACTCGATACCACCTGCCAGCATCTGGCAAAGACGGGCTCGCAAACCGCTGACACCCACCGAAAGTCTAATCACGTCAGCCTACTCGGATAAAAGATGCACATATATAATTAAAGCGAGCCCGCCGCTACCATCCCTTGGCTACTATCCCGTTACTAACCCCACCCCTAGATTCTGCTCCAAGGCCGCACAGTGGCCCCCCCTACCACTTGCCCCACTCCTCCTCCTCCTTGTCGGAATCTTGTCCACCTTTGCTGAGCGCCGGCATGCTCTTCGACTTGTGTGTCTTGCTGCCTGCCGCCGCTGCGGACCCGCTGCTGCCACCCCGCGACGCTGCCGCCGCCGGTTCAGGAGACCGCCGAGGAGGCTCCACCGCCGCGGCCTTTCCGCTCGCATTTCCCCAGCCACCCCAGCCTGAAGCATGTGGGGGGGGGGCACGTGAGGGTTAGATGCGAGATGCTTCATACTTGGTCGGTGTGTCGTAGGTAGGTCTCCACAAAGAAATCCCTATAATCCCTAACTTCCCTAGTAAGAAAATAGGATAGCATGATTGACAACAACCCAGGGTAAACGAATCCCTTTGGCAGCCACGTCCCATAGGTATCGGCGTGCAGCCCCTCCCATCCCCCCTTACCGTCGCCATCGCCGTCCGCCCCGTCGGCCTCAAAGCCAGCAAAGCCGCTGCCCCCGCCGCTCATCGCCCCCGCCCCCGGCCTGCCGCTACCCTGTCGGAACTGGTTCCCGCTCGACATGCCCCCTCGCTGCCCCGCCCCCGCCCCTGCCGCATCCGCAGAGGCGCCGCCTGCACACACACACGCATCACAACACGGGTCGCGCCCCTCATCAGTTGAGCACATGAAGGTTGAAGCAGTTCCCTACTCGCCCCGACATGCACCTGCTGGGCTACCGGCACGCGTCCCACCCCCCTCAGTCGCCTCGACAGTCAACTCGCGCTCCCCTTGCGCCCTCACCCTCCTCACCGCACACGTTATGTTCCATCACAGCTTTGCGCCCCCTCCCTCACCCCTCCCCCTCCCCCATGCCAACGCACCGTACGAGGTCCCCGCGCTGGCGCCCCCGCAGCTGCTGGACGCCGCTGCCGCCGCCGCCCGGTGCGCCCCCAGGTCGATGCTGAGGCCCTGCTGCCGCGCCACCTGCTCCACCGAGGAGGCCACCTTGGCGTACAGACCCGTCAGGGTGGCGAACCCGGACTGGGGGGAGGGGGGGCGGGGGGTTGGGTGGGGAGCGGGTGGGTGTGTTGGGCATGTGGGAGCGCATGTGCGGGGATGTTGAAGGAACGCTATCAGTCAAGAGGTCAGCAGCAACCAGCCCCTCTGGCCACTTCCAAGTCCCTGTGTCCCCCACCCGCACCACGTACCTGGGCCACATGCACCGCCTTTTCCCCGATGACCTTGGCGTTCTGGCTGAGCGCCTCCCCGACCTGCTTCTCCTGCAGCGTCTGGGTCAGCTGGGCAGAGCCGCTGCGGGGTGGGGTGGGGAGAGCACGGGGGGCATGGGCAGGTGGGCACACACAGGTGCATGGCGTCTGGTTGTTTGGGAGTTGCATCACAAGGTGGCATGCCATCATGCACCCCATGGCGGCCCTAGCCCGCCTCCTGCATGACTTGTCTCCTATGGTTCGATCTGTTTTGACCCCACAGTTGGACTTTCCGTCGCTTCCCCACTACCCCATATGCCCCCCCTCCCCACCTCTTGTACGCCTGCTGTGCGGTCTTTGCGGCCGTCTCCGCCACCTTGCTGACGGTGCTCAGCGTGGAGGACAGCAGGCTGCTCAGGTCCTCCACACCGCCCTGGGTGCGGGGCCGGGGGGCCGGCGCGGAGCCAAACCCCACGTACTTGCCGCCCTGACTGGGGGGCAGACCCTCAGGCCGCGAGGCGTTCTCCTGGGGTGGGTGCCGGAGTGGGGGGAGGGGGGCAGAGGTGAATACGGGATGACCGTGGTTGGAGAGGCCCCCTGATCCCGCCCAGTGTTCGCTGCCACATGCCAGCAACCTTCATGAACGGGGGTCCGTGCGCTGCTGGCGCCGTGCCCGACCCCACGGACCTGCATCTTGCGCGCGAAAAAGGTCTCCTTGCCGGCAGCCGACGCCTCCAGCTGGGACTTCGTGTACTCACTCTTGCCGCCAAAGCCGCTGCCACCGCCCCCCTGCAGCTCAGCGCAGCGCCACACGCGGATCAGCACGGCTACGGCACAGCGTCGCATGTACGACAACCGCACCATTCAGGACACGGGTGGCTACATGGAGGTTGCCGTACCCAACCCAGATCACACCTGCTGCCCAGGCGCGCTGCCTTTGTTGTCCCAGTCGCCCCAGCCGTCGTCCGCCAGCTTGCTGGAGGAGGTCCGCGAGGCGGCCGCACCGCCGCGGGGGCTGGGGCCCACGGGTGACCCGACCTCCGCGGGCGAGGGCGGCGTGTAGTCCCTGCCCTCCACCTGGGCTCGCAGCTTCTCCCGATAAAACTGAGAAGTGGCATGGAGTGGTGGTGTTGGTTAGAGCGGTGGAAATCGGTAGGGAGCTCAACACGGCAAGTCGATGGTCCGGGTGGGTGTTGGGAGACGAGGCGGAGGGTTAAAAACCCTAACGTTAGCCTCACCTCTGCTGCACGCGTGTTGTACTTCTCCTTAATGTCCGTGTTCTTCTCCACGCCGTATTGCTTAAGGAATGTGTTCAGTTTTGCGTTGCCGCCACATTGCATTTTCTTTAGCTGGTCCGCTGACCAGGAATCCATAGTAACCGATCTGCAATAGTATGGGGCAAGGGGGCGTCTGGAAATGCCGCTAGCTGCCAGCGGCATGTTCCATCGCGCACCTGACAAAGCTAATATGGACACCTAGGCCACGGTGTCGCCCACTGCATTCCAAGCACATGAATATACCGTAGGAAACTGCATAGAGCGGAGGTAGGTCAGTCCATCGGCAAAACAATCGGCATCAAGCCAAGAAAAGGCTATCCAACGGTAAGCATCTGTACCTGAAGCCCACTGTGGATTCTTCATCTCACAGTCCGCGCAGACCTGCAAGGTGTTAATCTTAAGAGACCTGAAGGCGAGCAGGCGTCGCTTCCGGCAGGCGCTGCGCACCTTATTGTCTGGACGCGACTGCAGCTCCCTTAGTATAGCAAGAGCCTCTGCTGAAGCCATCGTGCGGTGCTAAGTACAGGCAGCGTACCAATCAGGAGGATGTGATAACTATACTCTGCAGCTATTTCCAACCGTCCGCAAGAAGCACAGTAATGTTACAACAGCTTGCAAGTATATCAAAGTATAGACTCAGGCAATACATAAAGAGGCAGGCACCCATGGTAGTCGTACGGTGCAACAGACCAGTATGTTAGAGAGCGAGGAAAGTACAGTTCCAACTGGCGCATTCCTGCACAAGCTTCACATAACACCCAGTAACGTGGTGTCCTCGCATGTATATCACTTGTGAACCGGTCACATACACTCTGGCATGTTGCACATCTGCGAACTTAACGGCTAAAAGCGCATATGTTGACATGCAAATATACGCTTACACCGGAAATGCGTGTGTGATTCCAATCATTACGGTAGCCCGAGGCGTTACAGAATGCCAGCACGCCTATCCCACCTGACCTCCGGAGTCCGGACACATACCAACCCAATTCAATTGTGCACGCGCTCGCTCACCTGGGTATCTCCCCCGTTCCCTAGTCAGTTCGTCGACGTGGCTGAGGCAAGACAGGGGGCCACGGGACTACAGAACGTGCTTCTAACGTCGCAGGGATCACGGCGCCACTGACGACCAAGGAGCAAGCAGGTGCACTGTGGGGCGTGTACCAGGCGTGATGACTGGCCACGTGACACTACAAACACATAACAGCCAGTGCACCCAACTTCACAACCCATTTCCAATACGCGCTTCCAGGTTATGGCGTGATGTGCTTTTTCACGATGGGGGCTCAACAGGGGCGACCATTTAAGGGCCAGACAGGCCAGACCACGAGTTACATCCTGGGCGGCTCATGTCGCCCCCGTGCACCTCGAGGAGTTGCCGGTACAAGCAAGGCGCTCAGATAGCCCGTGACACTCGTCCTCAACCTCACCACTGTGCGCAAGCAGCACACACACTCGCTACGTATGTACGTTCCGCCTCACGGCCAATTTTCTTAACACACTCGCTAACCGCGAAGCAGGGTGTGAGGCTCGCTACCTGGCCACTACTGCACAGCTAGTGGCCAGGTCCCCAACCAGTAACGCGCCTTGTCCAGCAGTCAAGTCCTAGCCGCCATGCAAACGGAAGCCTAACGGAATCCAAGCTGCTCCCAGCCTGCTGCTCTGCGGCGCCGGTACGGCTGTATGTACCGCACAACATGCAGTCCAGCAAGACATCAACTGCCTCAACCATGTACGCCCGAACAGCAACATTAATAAGCACGATGCATCCCAGCCGAACGCTGCCATTCGAGCTGCTTCAGATCCTGTGTCGCATTCGAATCTTGCACAAGCCGCCTGCCTAGCACCCTCCCGCCAGTCCCACGGAACAACTGCTCCGAGGGTAGCGCAATGCAGCGCCAATAGCGATGCATGCGAGAGGGTTGCGATGCTGAGACCGCTGTCATGTTGGCATCCTACACTGTGTCACAACATAACACGTGCAGGGCGTCCGTCGCTTGTCATTGTCCGAAAGAATTCAATTACGTCCATTTAGGCCCACATCAGTACGATCCCACACCACACTATGCCAGCCGCACTCTCGCCTGAGCCACAGCCATAAGCGCCAAACGTGTGGGTTTGCGTCGTACAATCGTACCGCCCCAAGCCCCTGTCTGCCATGCAACCGCAGCTGCACACAGCCGCCCGCACGCAGACCCTGCCAAGGTAGCATAGCTCGCAACACGGCAAGACAACCTGCCAACACACACGGCCAGTTTCCTTAACACACACACCAGTTCCGACTCGCGGCCAGTTTTCTTAACACACACTCCTCGCACCCCCACACGGACACCTCCGCAGGCACAACCCCTAGAACCCCCGCCCCACTCCTCTCCCTTGTTCCCCCACCTGCCCTGCTACACCTCCTCAGGGCACAGCGCGCTAAACGTGGTATTGAACGCCTTCTCCCGGTTGCTCACACGCACCTGGGTGTTCACGTCAAAGGGTACCCGGTGGTACCACCCCGTCCGCTTCGAGTACATGTAGTCCCGAATCCCCAGGTACAGACACTCCTTCTTGGCGTCCCCGTTGAAGTGCACCGCCAGCGGCACGTTGCCCGCCACCGTGTTGGTCCAGTAGCCGCTGGCGTGCGGCACCAGCCCCGTGCAGTTCAGCCAGCCGCTGTAGAAGATGCCGCCGTACACGTCCAGCGCGCAGCGAGCGCCCTCATCGCCCTTCTTCAGACATACCTCCTCCACAAGAACCATCTGCGCGGCGTG